TACCTGGCAGGCTACCTCTTAAGCCTCCTCCTAAGCCTTAATGCCCTGGCGAAGATCGAGCTCTGCCTGCGTAACGTTAGCGGCCAACAACACCCCCGGCAACGTAGGCCGCTGCTGCTTATCTACCTGTAACAAGGTGACGACGAAAGCACCCACAGCACGCGCGAGTGCCGCGCGCACTGCGGGCGAACCCTGGCCGTAAAGCTTCTTATTAAGGCCGCGCAGCACCATCTTAAAGTTGGCCTAGTTGCCAACCATTAGCGGGAAAACCTGCATTCTATTAGCCACTAGAGCGGCCTATAGCTACTAAAGGGGACTTACCCCGCAACACTCGTGCTTGCTAGCACGGCAGCCGTCGCAGCGCCTAGCGCTAGCGACGCTGTAAATACACGGCACGGCCGCGAACCCAGGCAACTCCGCAGGGAGAGTCGTTAGAAAGCGGTGCAGGCACCGCACGCACGACAAGCCGTCCAAGGCGACCTAGGGGTAAGCTAGTGGCGCAGCCGCTACCAACCCTAGGAGCGCCGGACTAGTAGGGGCAGCTCCTGCACCTTAACGGGCCACCGGAGGCCTAACCGGGGGCACGGCGCGCGCCGCAGTCCGCGCCGAACGACGAACTGTGCCAGCGTGAGCCCCGCGCGCACGTTGCGCGCGGCCGGAACCAGCACCTTGGCCAGAGGGCAGAGGGTGTCGGGGAGCAGGGGCCGGGGCCGTAGCGGGTACTAGAGCGCCAGAGGCGCTCACCGCGGGCACAGGAACGTTAGAATTGGGAGCAGCCATGTTGCTGCTAGAAGACGAATTTGTTGTTTCTGGAAGAAGTGACCGGATGCCAGACCTTACGATAATCTGATTTGACTACGGGACTGACCTCCTAAATAAAGGGAACTGAAGGCGCCTTGAGTCGCCTTTGACAGCGATCTCAGCAAGCACAAAGGGGCCGCCGCAAACGGACAAGCACCACCACCACCAGGAACAAAGGTTGCAAGCCTTTCGTCAAGACCTGCCTCAGGGGAGTCAGGCACAGGAGGGGAGCAATTGTAACGCCGCCCTAGGAAGGGGACCGACGCAGGCTACGCGCAAGCCGTACGCAGTATGCGCACAGCGTATTAGATGCACATCGTGAACTAGAAGCGGTGCTAGTGGCGCAGGCTGCGTGGCGCAGTCTGCGCACAGGCCACAGCACGTGCTAGCGCACGGGCCAAGTAGAAACGGGGTCGCGCCTGTCCTGCGCACTTGGTGCGCCAGAGGTGCGCCTACGATAAAGAGTGCCTCCCGCACTCCCTTAGAGTGCAAAAGGCAAGAATTAGCTATTGAATATACGGCTGCTTCCTCCTGTTAAGAAGATACCTCCTTGCTTGCCTAACTTACCTGGCCTACCTAAGTACACCTTTAACAAATAGTACAAACTAGTTAAGCCTTTATAACTATGCATTGCATACTAGCCTCTTATAGAAAACTGCCTGTATATAGGCGGCGCGTACGTCCTTTATTAAGAGCTGCTATAGCTTTATTATAACAACTAGATCTCTAGGCACTTTGTAGTTGCTAAGACCTTAAAACTACTTTATTACTACTTTTACTAGGAAGAAATAAAGAAGGACGTAAAGGCTTATATTGCCTTGTGCCTAGTTTGCTAGAGTTAGACGATTAAATAGTATGCGTAATATAGTAAGCTAAACTTGCTACCGCTACTATAAGGTCCTTAGCAAAAAATCTTTATAGACTTAATTACTAGGCTACTAGTAGCTAAAGCAAGCACAGGCAGCAAAGTAGATGTAATTCTAGTAATTGTCGACCGCTTTATAAAGATAAACCTCTTCTTTGCTATATAGACTACCTTAACAGCTAAAGGCCTTGCGCACCTTATGCACTAATATATAGAACTAGTGTATAGCATAACACTAAAAGGTATAGTCTTTAACTAAAGAAGTATATTTACTAGCGAATTTTAAAGTGAATATTGCTATTAAACTAGAATCTATAAGCGGCTATTAACTGCATTTTACTCTTAGATAAATAGGTAGATAGAGAGATCTAACTAAACGTTAGAGTAGTACTTACGCTACTTTATAATAAAGGAGTAATTAAATTAGCCCTTTTTGTTGTCTTTAGCGTAATATGCTTATAACAACGCTATTAACGTAACAACTAAAATTAGCCTACTTAAAGCGCTATATAGTTAGAAACTAGACCTATAAACTTGCCCTAAAGGCGGCGCAACTATAAGAGAGGAGTAGGATACGCGCAATACGGTTCTAGTAGGGCATAACCGCTTAGAAAAACTAAAAGCTATATAGAAAAGGTTAGCAGCAAACTAGGAGCATGCAATAAAGCGCTAGAAGCGTTACTATAATGCGCGTTACTAGCCTATAAGCTTTGCAGTAAAAAAGCTAGTAAGCCTTTCTATAAAAAACCTTTGCTTAAAAAATAAGAAGTTAGTACTAAAACATATTAAGCCCTTTAGAATCCTTAGGACTGTAGGTAGATAGGCATATTAACTAGCACTGCTAAAACGATATAGCTAACTATATAACGTTTTCTTAGTCTTGCTATTAAAGCACTAGAAGAGCAAGGTAAGCGTAGAATAAGCGCCTTTAACAATGCTAGCGTTAAAAGACTTAGATAACAAATAAGAAGTAAAAGCAGTCTTAGATAAAAGACGTAAGGCTAGCTAAACTAAATACTTAGTACGTTAGATAGGCTAGCCGACTAAATATAACTAGTAGGTGCTAGAAGAAGATATAGAAAATGCGTACGTAGTAATTAAGTAGTATACGCGTAGCAAGCGCGTAAAGATAAAAACATATAGGCAAGAGCTTAAATTAATTTAACCGGCTAAAAGGCCTTATAAGAGACTACGTAAAACTATCTAAGGAGCCCTTAAAGCAACGCTACGCCGGCCGCTACCTTAGCATAAGCCTTATTTATAACATACGCCCTTGCTACCGCCTTAAGAAAGGCATTAAAGGCTACGGTAAAGGCGGCATAACTAGTGTTACTAGGTATTAGGCGCGGTAGCTAAGAGAGCTACTAAAGGGTTAAAGTAGTAAGCCTAGGTAGTAAAGATAAAGAGGGTGTGTATAGCAATAGCAAGTGCATTTAGGCTAATAAAGCCTACTAAGCCTTTACCTAGTAGGCTACCTCTTAAGCCTCCTCTTAAGCCTTAATACTTTAGCAAAGATTAAGCTTTGCTTACGTAACGTTAGCGGCTAATAACACCCTTAGCAACGTAAGCTGCTACTACTTATCTACCTATAACAAGGTAGCAATAAAAGCACCTATAGCACGCGCAAGTGCCGCGCGCACTATAGGCAAACCTTAGCTATAAAGCTTCTTATTAAGGCTGCGCAGCACTATCTTAAAGTTAGCCTAGTTGCTAACTATTAGCAAGAAAACCTGCATTCTATTAGCTACTAAAGCAGCTTATAGCTACTAAAAGAGACTTACCCTACAACATTCGTGCTTGCTAGCACGGCAGCCATTGTAGCGCCTAGCGCTAGCAACGTTATAAATATATAGCATAGTTGTAAACCTAGGCAACTTTGTAAAGAAAGTTGTTAAAAAGCAGTGTAAGCACTGCATGTATAATAAGCCGTCTAAGGCAACTTAAAGGTAAGCTAGTAGCGCAGCCGCCACTAACCTTAAGAGCGCTAGACTAGTAAGGGCAGCTTCTACACCTTAACAGGCCACTAAAGGCCTAACTAAAGGCACGGCGCGCGCCGCAGTCTGCGCTAAATAACAAACTATGCTAGCGTAAGCCTTGCGCGTACGTTACGCGCGGCTAGAACTAGCACCTTAGCTAGAGGGTAAAGAGTGTTAAGGAGTAAGGGCTAGGGCCGCAGCGGGTACTAGAGCGCTAAAGGCGCTTACTATAGGCATAAAAACGTTAGAATTAAGAGTAGTTATATTGCTGCTAAAAGACGAATTTGTTGTTTCTAGAAGAAGTGACTAAATGCTAGACCTTATAATAATCTAATTTAACTATAAGACTAACCTCTTAAATAAAGGAAACTAAAGGCGCCTTAAGTCGCCTTTAATAGCAATCTTAGTAAGCACAAAGGGGCCGCCGCAAACGGACAAGCACCACTACTACTAGAAACAAAGGTTGCAAGCCTTTTATTAAAACCTGCCTTAAGGGAGTTAGGCATAGGAGAGGAGCAATTATAACGCCGCCCTAGGAAGGGGACCGACGCAGGCTACGCGCAAGCCGTACGCAGTATGCGCACAGCGTATTAGATGCACATCGTAAACTAGAAGCGGTGCTGGTGGCGCAGGCTGCGTGGCGCAGTCTGCGCACAGGCCACAGCACGTGCTAGCGCACGGGCCAAGTAGAAACGGGGTCGCGCCTGTCCTGCGCACTTGGTGCGCCAGAGGTGCGCCTACGATAAAGAGTGCCTCCCGCACTCCCTTAGAGTGCAGAAGGCAAGAATTAGCTATTGAATATACGGCTGCTTCCTCCTGTTAAGAAGATACCTCCTTGCCTGCCTGACTTACCTGGCCTACCCAAGTACACCTTTAACAAAGACCAAGCTCCAGCCTATGCACATGCTTCGCAAGCAGTTGTATACAACCGTGCAGACGTTTAAAGGCTGATTTGGTGCCCGAATTCACCAGATTTGAATATGATCGAGCCATGCTGGATGCACTTAAAAAGGCAGACTACTAAGTTTAGCGCGCCTTTATCAAAGGCACAAGCAGAGGCAGACTGGCAGCGTGCGTGGGCAGACTTAAAACAAGACCGTATTCGGGAGTGGATTGAGAGGATACCGTGGCATATTCAGCAGGTAATCGCTTTAGGTGGTAGTAATGAATATAGGGAGGGACGAAAGGATGCACCAAAAAGGAGACGGAATGTAATTTGAAAATAGATTTCCTAATTAGGCTTAGTGCGAATAGTGGGACCAAAGGCGGTCAGAAAGGACTTTTGGTAGCGACCTCTGTATGTGTAACCTTTTTGACTAAATTTATCTTTCCTTTCTTTTGATGTCTATCATTGCTTGCTAGATGCGCAGCAGCCGCAGCACAAACGACAAGTCGCCGACGGCCTGCTCCTCCTCGACAATCAGGGATTCCTTGTTGGCAGCCTCACCGGATGCCGGCTGCAATGTGCCGCGCAGAGCTGTCCGGAAGATGGTCTCGTGCGATCCCACAACGGCGGCCAGGTCCACGTTCTCCGGGTTTGCCAGCACCTGGTAGTGCATCTGCACGTCGTCCGCCGGCACCAGCCCAGCCTTCTTGCGCAACCGCTGCACCCGGTTGATGATCTCGCGCGCCAGTCCCTCCTCGGCCAGCTCTGGGTGTGGCGTCGTGTCTAGTAGCACAATCATGTCGTCCGCAAAGCCAGGTTCCCAGCTGGGACCGGCCGCCTTGCCAGCCTCGGTCTCGGCTTCCTTCTTGGCTGATCCGGCCTTGGCCGCGTCGCTTAGCACCCGCACAATCGAAATGTCCGTCTCGCCCAGCTCAATGTGGCCCACCTGCACCTTCTTCTCGACCAGGAACCGGCGCAGCTCTGCCTGTGTGAGCCCTGGAAGTGCCTTCTTGACCATCTGCACGTCCTTTTTGAGCTTCTTGCCCAGCGTCGGCCAGTCCACCCGCGCCTCCAGCTGGATGCCGTACTTCTCTTCGTCCTGCGACAGGACCACGTCGCGCACGTTCAGCTCCTCCCGGACGTACGAGCTGAGTGAATCCACGTCGTCCAGGATGTTTTGATCCGCAATCACCACCACCGACAACAACGGCATCTTGAGCGATGCGTTGACTCGCTCGCGAGCCGTCCGCGCCAGCTGAATCACCTTCTGCATCGCTGCCACCTTGCGCTCGATCACCTCGTCGAACAGCGCCTCTTGCACCGTCGGGAACGGCAAAAAGTGCACGCTACGGTCGTCCTTGAACTCGCTCAGCGCCTCCTTGCTCAGATATGGCCTCAGCAGCCCGTAGATGTGCTCGGTGATAAAGGGAATGAACGGTGCCAGCGCGCGCGTCAGCGTAAACAGAACCTGGAACAGCGTGTTCATCGCTGCCGTCGTGTCGTCGACGCCCAGCCCGGCGCTACCCTTGAGTCTCCGCCGGTTGAACCGGATGTACCAATTGGTAAGCTGCTCGATCGACCCCAGCAGTCGCGGCACCACTGTGTATAGCCTCTGGTTTCCTTGTCAGCATGCGTAGGACACAAACATCATGGATGAAAATACGTACGTAGGCAAGCATCTCCTGCTCCACAAACTTCAACAAGCTCTGGACCTCGGCAAGAATCCACCGGTCCATCACGTTGTTCAGCCGCTTGGCATCGCTGATCACAGACAGGTCGGCCACAAACGGCTTGCCGGCCGTCTTCTGGTACAGGAGCGCCTGCTCCGAGAAGAAGCGGTAGCTGTTCCAGAGCGCCAGCAGCACCCGCGACACCATCTCCTTCACGCCCGACTCCTTGAACCGCAGCGACTCGCCGCGGACAACGGGAGAGTTGATCATGTACAGCCGGAGCGCGTCGGCGCCATACTGCTGGAGCACGAGCACCGGGTCTGCGTAGTTCTTGAGACGCTTGGACATCTTCTTGCCGTCCTCCGCCAGCACAATGCCGTTGACGATCACGTTGCGGAAGGGCGACGTGTGGAACAGCTTGTTTCCGAGCACCGTCAACGTGTAGAACCAGCCGCGGGTCTGGTCCAGCCCTTCTGCGATGAAATCGGCAGGGAAGCGCGCCGGCTTGCTGGCATCGTCGGCCCGGCGTGTCTCCTCGCCAAACGGAAAGTGGTTGCTGGCGTACGGCATGGAGCCGGACTCGAACCAGCAGTCGAAGATCTCGTCGATGCGATGCAGCATGCCCTTGCCCGTCTTGGACGGTATCGTGATTCCGTCCACCTTGTCTCGGTGGATGTCGTTGAGCTCGCCGTCGTAGCCGCTCAGCTCCTTCAGCTCGGCCCTGCTGCCGACACAGACAACCTCCTCAAAGTCATCGCTGACCCACAGCGGGATCGGAGCTACAAGAACGGGTCAGCAAGTTCCTAGATATATAAGCCGGGCGGCCTGCAACACTTACTTCCCCAGTACCGATTCCGGGACACATTCCAGTCGTGCGCACTGCCGACCCAGTTGGCAAACCGCTTCTCCTTGACCGAAGCCGGCACCCAGTTGGTCTTTTCTAGGTTCTCCAGCATCTCCGGAATCGCGTCCTTGACCTGGATGAACCACGACGACACGGCCTTGCGGATCAGCTGTGTGTCTGATCGCCAGCAGAACTTGTCTGTGTGCATGATTTGGCTCTCGACCAACAGACGGCCTGTTGGCCGTAGGTCCTTCAGGATGGCCTTATCGGCCACCTTAACATGCTGGCCCACATACTCGGGGATCTCGGCGGTGAAGCAACCCTTGTCATCCACCGGGCATGGCGGCAAGCGCTTGGGCGTGATGAAGCCCGCAGCCACGGCCGCGTCGTAATCCTCCTGACCAAACGCTGGGGCCTGGTGGACCAGACCCGTGCCCTCGCCCTCCTCGACGTAGTCGGCCGCGATGACCTGGAAGCAGTCCGAGTACTCGTCGGCAAAGTACTTGAATATGGGCTCGTACTTCCATCCGATTAGCTCCTTTCCGCGGATCTTCTTGACGACATTGTCTGTTCGCAGTCAGCTGTGCCGTTCGTATGTCGGCAGGAGAAAGTATGGACAGGCATGGAAACTCACACTTCGCCTTCTTAGGGTTCTTGAAGAGAAGCGCGAGACCGGACTCCTGCATAATCTGCTGCCGGCCGGTAGCCTCGTTGAGGATGACCAGGTACTCGAAGTCGTTGTGGGCGGCGATGAGCAGGTTCGACGGCAGGGTCCACGGCGTGGTGGTGTAGATGAGCAGGTCCGTGTTCTCGTAGCCCTCGACGCCGACGACCGGAAAGGCGACCACGATGGCTGGGTCCTGTGTGAGCTTCTCGTTCTGCTTGGACTCCATGTGGCTGAGCGGCGTGCACAGGGCGGTCGAGAAGGGCATGATCTGGTAGGCGCGGTAGACAGAGCCCTGGTCGAAGAGCTGCTTGAACACCCACCAGCACGTCTCCATGAACTTGACATCCATCGTCTTTTCTGTGTCAGCACTCGGCAAAACGGCAGGCACAAAGACAGTCTCCATCACGCACCTTGTAGTCGTTGTCAAAGTCGATCCAACGGCCCAGACGCTCAATGGTCGACCTCCACTCAGCAGAGTAGCGCATGACAATGGCCCGACACTCGGCGTTGTACTTTTCAATGCCCATCTGCATCACAGCATCACGGCCCGAAATGCCCAGCTTCTTGTCGATTTCGTACTCGATGGGCACACCGTGCGTGTCCCAGCCGAATCGGCGCGGCACGTGGTAGCCCTTCATAGCCCAGTACCGCGGGATGATGTCCTTGATCGTAGAGGTCAAGAGATGGCCATAATGGGGGAGACCTGCGCAGGTGTTAGGGGTGCTCTCGGGATGCAGTTGACGTCACAGAGGAGGCAAATTACCGGTAGCTGTGAGAAAGAGCGAGTTAGCAGCCAGGCTCTCGCAAGGACAGCGTCTCGGACGAGACAAACAACCATGCACAGGCAATCCGTTACATACCAAACGGCGGACCATCATAGAAGATGAACGGCTCGTTGCCCTCGTTCAGGCGCACTTGCGTCTGAAAGGCATCAATGTCGCGCCAGAGCTGGATCACCTCCTCCTCGGTTTTCGGAAAATTGATGCTCATTGTTGCGGGCTCTCGGTAGCTTGCATAGGTATGCGGGAAGGATGGAAGGCTGCCGTCACTACCCTGCTGCTCAGACGACGCAGGGTCAATACGTATGTTATATGGAACTTGTCTTGTGTCAACGGGCAAAATCAGCACGGCAAAAAATTGAGGGGCACAGAAAAGTTAGTCACAGAAGGCGCGCCTGGGTCGGACCCCTCCCGCAGCGATGACCAGTCTCGGAGTCTACTTAATCCGAGCAGGCCATCCATCCCCGCTTAAGTCGTATTTATCTAACGAGGCTGCATAAAAAGGCGTTGTATCTCATAGATCGGCCACCTACATACGGAGTACTCTGTAGTACAGATCTCGCAACACATCTTCCGATTTCGTTCTAGTCGCTAACTTTGCGTATTTGCATCACACTCTGTTTCCAAACCCGCCATCAGTAGTCCTTACTCGACTAATTACCAGTTCATGGCCAACTGAGCGAGGGTACATCTTGCGAAGAAGATGTCGGAGAACAACGTTCGTCTCGCCAGCATCGTTTTGCACATGCTTTTGTGGAAAGATCTTATTCTCTTCTTTGGTGTAATCGACAAGCTCTTTCTCAGTTTTGTATACTTTTACGGGAGGACCGGCTTGTCCCGACCGACCCCAACTAATAAGGTCGACAATATTGACATGTTTAGTCCTGATAATCTGGTTTGGGTCAGTACTGGCTCTATCTTTTTGTAAGCAGTAAAGAAGGGTCAATAATATAAACATGCCTTTTCACACTCTTGACAAGTGGCGGGCGGATCCTTTACGCCAATGGCACGGCATAAGTGGTGCCAAGCATTGATGTCGTTTTCGCTGCCGAACAACATCCTGGTCTCCTCATACATCGCGCGACTGTAGCCTTCCCAGGCTTCGTCACGGTCTGCGCGTTTACCCTTCCATCCAAAATATTTCGACAAAGCTCGGTAGGACTCATCTGGCGACAGACCTGAGTTGTAAGGAAACGGAGCATAAGAGGAGAAGTACCGATCCAGTGGAGTGGGCGACGCCACTGTCTCTGTGCTCTCCTCTTCTTCCTTTTTGCTCCGCCTTTTCCCCTTTGTGAAGGTCTTCTGAAACTTCTTCTTAGACTTCGCCTTGCGAAATGTTGTAGAAAACTGGCCGTCCGTAGTGCTCTCGCCGTTAGCAGCGAGAGCATTGTCTGAAAACATGTCGCTCGGGAGCACAGGTGCAGCATGCATAGACGACTGTCTAAAATGGCGTGCCACATCTCGAGGCGACAAAAACAGGAGGGAGCAAAGGGGGCATTTATATGTAGCAGCGATGCGCTCAATCACCAGAACAGTAACCGGAATATCAGGAGGATTGCCAGTAGCTAGAAATGGATAGGAAGTGCCTCTGGAAAAGTGATTCTTTGATCGTCTCACGTGGTCTGCTATGCTGGGCGGATCATTGAACAGCATCGAGCAAGATGGGCACTCATAAATGATCACAGCAGTAGTGCCATCGCCCACGGGAACTTCGACCGGTACCGATGCCGTGGTCATGACAGGTCGGTTTCTAGCAGATCTCCAAGAACTGTGTATGAGCGAATATTCAATGTGATTCTTCAAGGCTGTATCCGTCTTGAACGCTGTATTGCATAACATGCAGTAGTGTTCCGTTGTTGTTGTCATTGTTGTTCTTACTGCTGCCATTGCAATGTTGGGAAGACCACGGCCCGGATGCGGAGACAGCTTCCAGAACAAAAAGGCAAGAAGATGCACACAGCATCACAGCCTAGACCTATCTATTTATGAGAACATATTCGTCGGGGAAGACAAGGCAACCCTCCAACCCGTTGTAGCATGCAGGAATATGCAGCACTGCCTGACCAGCGCACAGAATTGGCACACTGTATATTGTGAAGCTCTAGAATGGAGCGCACTGTGATCGTTCTGACTAATGCCAGCACCGCGGCCTCTCATTGGTCAGACAGATAAAAGTGGGGATTAACCCCAGTGAAATCTCTGCACCAGTGAAGGCGCGCCATGTACCCTCTCCTAGCTAGTTACAACACGTGTCAAATCACTGCTTACTTAGCATAAAGGGTTGGTTGTATTACTAAAGAGAGTAGAGGAGAGGATGCAGCTATTCTAGAGGGATAAAACTCTGCATATGGTGGAGCCCTGATTGACCAATCAGGGCTCATCCGTATGTCACATGACTTGTGATTACTTAACAACACGCAGATCATCAGCCACATCGTGAAGACCCCATACAGTGCACCGCTACCCCTGCCATAAGCATCAGTTGTAACATATATATAGCATGGCGTCGTTATTGGCCAAGTGTTGATCTGTTGTTATTTCACATGGTTTTGTGTTGGTAGTTCATGCTGCAACGGCAAACCATCTTACTCGTGGCAGTCCAATCGACTGCGCAGAAATGGCCGCTAGTCTTGCCACTACAGCGAAAGTACCTGATGAAAGTCCGTTAAGTGAAGATCCCGTGGCTGTACTCCGTATTCTACACGATGTCGCAACAGTCAAACTGGTACAGAACAAAGTATGAGGAACAGCAAAAGAAAAGAAGGTCAAAAAAGGTGGGGGTTCTCCGAGGATCGAACTCGGGACCTCTCGCACCCTAAGCGAGAATCATACCACTAGACCAAGAACCCATTTATCGGATACTAATATTTCCCGTAGTTGACCAATATAGGATCGTTTTTAATAAATGGGGCGGCCTTCTCACAATATCAGACAGCACATAGACTTTCGCTCCTTCCTTGTTCAAGCAGTCTCGTTGTCCACTACGCTTGTCAAAGTCTGTTATCATGAAAGATAGTTCGAAAATGCCTTGGCTTCTGCCTGCTCATACAATGTCGAGGGTACAATGTCGAAAGTGCGTTCATATACACGAACATGAAGGACGACCAGCCTTGTTCGAGAGCAATTCGGTCAATGGAACTGTTCTTGAACAAGACTGAAGATGCTCACAATGACAGGTGAACCTGGTATTTAAAGCAGAGGCGAATGGGCATCATTCCGGGCAGCATTCGGTATCTCTTTCTATTAACATCACAGCACCTCTGCAGGCAAGGTATACTGGCAATCCCATCAATCCACAACAACTCACCATGGGTTTGACGGCTTACTCTCTGGGGTGAGAGGCAGAGAGACAGCTCCAGTTCCTAAATGGGATCTACTATGTCCGGTATCACCAGCTGATTCTCCTCCTTACTCCTAACATCTCGGGGGATGCAGGCACGCACATCATCAACAACACTATCTTTGCACACAGGGACGCTCTGGACGCTATTAATGCCTTCTGACAGGCGCTCTCCAAGTACAGCCTCACTGATGGCTTCAAGCGAGTTGTGCCTTATTTGCCCGTTGACACGCATACATACCTGACTTTGTCGGAGCAGCGAATGCTAACTGAAAGGCGCCGCCTCGTCCCCGAGCAAGGGCCACGCAGGACTGCTGCGCAGATGGAGGACGACGTGGCCGACGAGCTGCACCGACTGCTCCTCGGCTTCGAGAAGGTGGCACGCAGAGCTGCGTCCAAGGACCCGCGTGGCAACATTGCCGACGTGCGTGCCGATGACACCTGGGGTGCGTTCTTTCATCTGCCCTCTGGTGACGGCTGCGACGATCGCTTTGAAGCCGGCCACATCATTTTCCAGCTTTTTTTCATGAACTGGTACCGCATCATGCTCAGATCCCTGAAAGCCTTTTTCGGCCCGCTGGAGGGGCAACCACCTCCAATGCTGGTGCTGCTTCAAAGCCTGCACGTGGGAAAAAACATTGATGAGGAGGGTGATGGCGGCTTTGACGAGGCCACTTCGCTGGCTATGAATGGGCGTCAGTACTTCGGCTGCCCGATCCGGCTCAACACGGCCGACATCTCGCAGCTCATCTACACAAATCGTCTAGTCCAAGCCCTCAAAGTCTTACTGGGCGAAACGATCACAGAGGCTTTCAACCTGGCCGAATGGGGTGCCATGACCAACCTGGCGGAGTTCCTCATCAACAACAACTTCGCAGACCTGCCGCGGCCGCCGAACGACTCGCCCGCCCTTGTGGACCGGATGCACAACGCCATCTGGTACTACATGGACGAGGTGGAGGAGGCGGCCAAGGAGGTGCTGAATGCTGGCACGGACGAGCAGTCGAGCCGCTCGATACACGCCTTCGCTGCCCTCTCGGGACACGACAAGACGTACGCTGCGCAGTGCATCCTTCTCGTGGCCGTCATCAACTGGTTCGGCCTGCCGCCAGTAGCTCCTCTGCCCAAGAGCCCTGAGAGCATCGCCGACAGCGACTCGAACCCCAGCATTTCTCACAGTCCGGTGCCCCTTCTCGACAGGGGCCTTGACGATGACGACGACAGCGGCTTTCCAATGGAGCGGGAGAACACCGACAACACTGACCTCGATTCCCTGCTTGACTCGCTCCTAGTAGACATGTCTGGGGCTGTTCAACAGGCGGAACGGACTGTCCTCGGTGCCCTATTCGACACAATTGTAAACGATGTCAGCGCGCAGGAGGACGCAGAGGACGTCGAAGACCCGGCTGGCGCTGCTCTTGACAATGTCATGGACATAGTCCAGACCGACGATTCGCCTATGAGCGAAGACGAGAGCGAGCCAGACCTGTCCCATCTCCATGGCGCCGGCCTTCGTCTGCCCCAGCAGATGCCAGCCGGGCTACACTGGGTGCCGCTGGAGGACGGTCTGCGCGAGTTAGGGTCGACAGCACATCTGCGGACGCTACAGATCGAGGTCGCAGGCATGGCTCAGGCAACATTTGTCGCAGAGGCAGACAGCTTCGATTCCGACTCATCGGACGTGGAACCAGACGTCGTACACATCAATCGTGCTAACACGCGCAACCGGGAGTCTGTCGAGAATGTCGAGAATGCCGAGGGTTTCGAAGAAGCCGAAGGCGATATGTTGCTCGACTCAGACATGGAGGCGGGCCGTCCAGCAGTTCCGACATCGTGGAGCTTGGACGACCGCGTGGCCGCCACACACGGCCGAGGGCCCTTTTTGTTTGTGAACGGCACCAACGACAGAGACATGCCGGACCTTGGTCCTCGCGCCGACAGCACTCGCGCCACAGATTGGGCGCATCGTGACGGCATCATCGGCGGTGAGATCGAGCTGTACGACATCCGCCACTTGGAGAGGCTCGGAATAGCTAGCGACAAGATCTGGCGGCCGCAAGAGCCCGAAAACGAGGCTGCACCAGAGCGATCAGGCACACAGCCGGCAGTGCAGAGGCAGATTCGATTGGAGCTTCGCCGGAGCTTCGGTTGGGTTCCGCCTCGACGCGACTGGGTGCCCGAATCGCTGGAAGAGTGCGCCTTCTTCGCTATCCGCAAGAGCATGGAGTACCAGCTGTCGGACCTGCCGACGCCCTCGGTCACCGACCTGATGGTAGCGCTGACGACACACGAGATCCGGGAGGAGGCTAAGCGTCGCGAGAACGGAAAGCTGCCCCAGCCGCTACCACACGCCAGCGGTCACTGGGAGACGGCGACCGACCCCTCCATCCCGGCCCTCATGGCCGCCGTCGAGCTGTACGGCAAAAGCCGCTGTGGCGGGCTCGACCTTCGGCTAGGCATCATCAGCGACAACCGCACGCCTATCCTGAACACCGCCAGCATTGCCGGCCGACAGCCCACCTTTGTCTGGATCGACCACGACGGGGCTTCCAGGGTGCATCGCGACGGAGCGAGGTCGAGACACCGCTATGCCGCGCTGCGGTCGTGCGAAACACACGGGCGCGCAAGCCACTACATCCTCGCCGTCTATCAGCACTGTTTCAAAAAGTGGAACTCGTAGAGCGGCCGAGTCGAACCGAGAGTAGTAGAAAGAAATCCGTGCTGAGCAGCTGTGGCTGCAGGCACAATATACAAACAACATCCAGATAGTGCTCGGCCTGTAGAAGCACATCTGTAGAGGCTCGTAGCGACAGTGCTCTCCAGAGAGACGCACGTCTGGCTATACCGGGCTATCAAGAAGGTGAGTTAGCATAGAATATATTTGTCATTCGAGCAAGTAACAAAAACATTGAAATATGAAGACAAAAGCAGCAGTAGTGCTCTGTAGCCATGTGACATGTGCCTATATAAATACAGGCTTACTAGGCAGTAGATTAGCGTGTAATGCGGTGTCAGCACACAGCAAATAAGGACCTGCAAGCCTATAGTAACGCTGTAACTGCCCTGGACTCAAGGCAAATAAGAAGCAGACACGCGAGCTGCCTCTCCTGTGTCTCCCGAGTCAGTGAAGCTAAGCTGTCGAGGCCAAAGCAAAGTGAACCAAATGAAAATATTGTTTGTGAAAAACGACGTGGTAATACAGAGACAAGCAACGGCCGCCACAAAGGGAACGCTCCCCCATGCCTGCACGCCTAACAGCCCGTCTTCCCTTGATATCTACAGCGCTCGGATTCCGTGTCCTCGTTCACCAACATCCCCGTCTCCTTTTCCCAAAGCAACATAACAAAACATGGTATATGGACAAAATGGGATGCCTCCGCCACGCCACGGTACCTGACCTCCCCCGGGTCCCCAATACTTCATCCGTTCGACGGTGGTGCTGATCCGAGACCACCATGCATAAAACAAACCCAGAAATCAGGAAGACACAAGCCTACAGCCTTCCCATCAATACTGCTTTTAACCCCCCCCCCCCCAACGATGCTCCCAGAACGACGCTCCAATATATTGTGCCCCTCTGTCTAGGCGGCAATCAATAAATTTCGAGCGCCATCCCAGGAAGTTCCTGTAGTGGCGGCTCCTTGTTGCGCTTCGGTTTACACCAGGCCCTCCCACATGCCCGGACCGTAAAGCCCGCTCATAGTTGGATGCTGCAGATCCGTGTTGAATGAGCGAGGCTTGACGGCTCTTGGCGTCACCGCCGCCGAAGTGCGGCAGAGACGCTTCCGGCTACCAGTGAGGGCGGCTGCCCGGTCGACAACCGGCACGTTGGCGTTGAGGTCGACGAGCTGGCTGACCGCGGGTAGAGAAAACGGCTCAGGAATGGCGTTTTTGGTCTCCAACTTCATCGTCGTCTCCCGCAGAAGCTCCCGTACATTGTCTTGGAGCGAGTTGTCCACTGAGAGCGGCCTGCTCCTCTTCAGAGCAGACCGTGGCCGCTGCGGGTGCGCCGAGAACTGCATGTCGCTCATGGTCTGCTGCTGAAGCTCGGCCAGAGCACGTGCGGCATCTGCCGCGTCGACGTCGCTAGACCGGCGATCGAGCGGGAGTTGGATTTCGTTAGCTTCCTTGCCCATCGGGACCGTGTAAGACATCTCCGGCGACGCGAAGACCGGTGTGGCATATCTGCACACCTCCTCGTCTTCGTGCACAACGGGGATCACGGTAGGCCTCAGAAGCATGCTCTTGTCGCGTAAGCTACTCCCACTGCACTGATGCTTGGCATAGCGATGCCGCGCCTGAGCTTCCAGCTTGGGCAGCTGTGTGCTCGGCGCAATCATCGAGGGCCAAGAAGAGGAGTTGGAGGAGCAACGCGACACGAGCGACGAATCAGAAATCATAGACTCCGGCGACGATGCTGTAGACACAGAGTTGGCCAGAGACGACCGGCGCACAGGGACAGAGCCGACAGGCGAGGTCGAGGATGTCAGGGAGCCGGGCCAGCGGTCCAAAAAGTGGGTTGAGCCGTTGTTCGAAGCCTGGGCCACGGCGAATCCCATGGACGAGCGGTTGCCACCAAGCATCTGGGCCATAGCGCCAGGCACAGGGGCGCCAAACGTGCTCGGCTGCGGGAGAGCTAACCGGGGCATGGGCATGAGACCAAGCGCGAGAGCTTGGGGCGCCGTGGTGAAAGCGGCAGGTGTTAAGGGGCGGGGCTCCAGGACGATGGGGACAGCACCAATGACATTGGATGTGGCAGTTGGCGTCACATCCGTCGACGAAAGGCTGCTGACTTCCGGAGACGAGCAGAACGACATCGGCGACAGATTGCCGGTCGTCACGTGGCAGGAACTGCGGCGGCGGATTGCAATTGAGGTGGACGGCAGGCAGAGCTCGTCCAGGTTCTCCAGCGAGGGCGTCAGCTTCTGGATGAGCAGACGGAATTCCTCACACTTCAGCTCGAAGCACTTGACCGTTTCCGGGCCGGGCGATGGGGGCAACTGCGGGGGGTTGAACCGGTTCACACAATCGATCCAACGGTTGTAGACGTCGTTGGTGATGTGGAGGCGCCAGTCGACTGCATGCAGGAAAGCGGTCTCGTTCTGGTTGATCTCGGCGGTTGCGAGACCAGAGATCTTGCTCCATGCACGCGCCGAGTAGTTGCGGTCTTGCAGATACTTGGACGCGAGAATGAGCGCTGCCAGAAACATGCGACGACCACACTGCAACGCACGGCAGGCGTAGCTATCGCTGGGCTGCTCCATTGTGAAGTTGTGCCCGGGCAGACGAGGCTTGATCAAAAGAAGGTAGTACAGAGCTACTTGCAGGGTTGAGTAGCTCGCGCGCGACCGGCGCAGCGTCTCTTGGATAAAAGTACGCAGGGGCAGCAGGTAGCTGCCATTGCTGGAGCTTCCGCTGCCACTGCTCGCACTCTCGCCACGTCCAATGACCGACGACAGGGGCCAGATGGCCTGCACGATCTGGGTCGACGCGTCTTCGGAGTCTCAGCATTTGGGTTCTTCAAACAGACAACACGACGAAAATTCAATAAAGCTTACCGACAAGATGATCGACAAAGGTGGTTCTGCGATCAGATTGCCGAAGAAGGGTCGGTACGGCGGTAGGTGCGGCGCCGGTTCTACGAGGGTTCTGTCGCAACTGGCAAGGAATCGGCTGCTGCTGTTGCTTCTGCCAAGACTGTGTTGTCGCAAGCTTCTGTCGATCTGGCTGCGCAACGTCGCAGCTGTCAACGCTGCTCGCAGACGTCTGCGAAGAAGCGGAAGAAGCACAGTCAGATAAATCAACTGTGAATTGGGACGATTGTGACGACTGAGATGAAGAAGAGAGATTGGACCAGACAGATGTCGCAGAGGTAGACGCGCACGATGCTAGAGAAGAAGAATAGGGAAGGGTGGAATGGCGTAGGCGCGGATGCTGGGGGAGGGCGAGGGGCGAAGCATAGCTGTCGTCGTCGCCCTGCATCTTGATTGTGGGGGGATGTTGACTAGCCGAGCTGGTGCGTGGCGGCTAGAAAGGAAAACGTGTTCAACGAGAACGGCGAGATTGGAAAAAAGAAAAAGGCGGAGCAGATGCCTCCAGTCGCTGCAAAGTCGAGTTGTGTTTATACCGTTTAGCCGTGGGCCGATCGTGAACCTGAATCTTAAGCTTCTCGTAGTTTTCTTCTTAGCGCACTTCGCAGCAGGAAGCGTTGAGAAGAGAAGAAGGGAAGGGTGTAAAGATGCAGGGCTCCGCTAGACAGGAGTCTGTGGAGCAGTTGTCTCACGAATGGTCGATCCGGCAAAGGTGTATACACTCAGGACGAGGCAGGCGACTGGAGCAAGAAATCTTCTCGCAATAGTCATTGTTGGTATGGATATATACCGAGAAAAGGTTGAGGGGAGAGGGGGGGTGGAGGAAGAAAGCGGCGATGCTTGAGGCAACCGACACTTGAAGAGACGGTGACGGGGCGAAGTTGTTGGACTATTGGGGGTAATAACCGGTGACGAGGACCATGGAGCAAAAACCAGATTGTTAGGAGTGCAAGTTGACGTGGTTTTTGTGGACGCGGACAAGAAGTTGCGTTCACATGAGGGTGGAGAGATGCGGAGACATGTCTTCAGAGGCCAGATGGGAGAAAGGTTATGTTTGTCGTCGACACGGACTGTCCAGATCGAGACTCGCAGGCCGGGGATGCGCAATGCAGGTACGGCACTGCGGAGAAAGGCTATCGTGGTGACTGGGATGTCGGGTGACTGACACGGGGGTCGCGGTAACGTGTCGTGGACAGGAGAGGCGGAGCACGAAAGAGCCGAAGAGACGCAAGGACAAAAGACGGAAACGTCGTAGGGTCGGAAGCTGAAATAGAAAGGAAAGGCTGAGAGGAAGTGTGACTCCTTCCCTTTGGAGAAGGAGATCTGGGCGAAAACGGAGGAGGGAGGAAGCCTAGTAAGAGAGAGCGCGCGTGGAGCGTATTTGTGAGTAAACGGGGCCCATGATGGTTTTGCGATGACTCTTCTCAGCCAGACTGGTCAGGATGGATTGTATGGGAGGAGAGTGGCGAAGAAGGAATACCCGCTTATTGGCACTGGGAAATGCTGGAACGGGGTTATTGGGCTAACGAGTGGCTGGAGGGGGCGTGATGACAAGTGGGCAAAAAGCGCGATGGGGAGTGCACGTATCGATTCGGCCAGGTGACTGCAACTGGCAGGGAAGCTGGGAAGGGTAAAGGAGGCTTGTATGCCAGATGAAGTGCTACTTCCGTTGGGTCCAAGCGTTAGTGTGCTCAGGGTAGTATGACAGGGCTAATGGATGCCTAAAATGGGGTTCCGGTGGCGGCCGAACAAGTACAGCACAAACACGAGGGAGGCCTAAGGACAGCGAGGGGATGGAAGGGAGGTGCGATAGGCGTCGAAAGACCATGTCTTGCCTCCTCTCCTTTGTCTAGGACAAGTGCTTTGGGCAACGATTTCCAGTCTGAAATGGCGAGACAACGCCGTCGACAAAGGAGTCATAGGTAGTTATGCCTGCCTGCCTGCCAGGTGGCAACGGGGGGGGTGAAGGTGGAGGGAGGGGGTGGCGGCGGCAAAATACGGAGAGATGAGTGGCGGAGGCGATGGGTAAGACTGATTGGGCCTTTTTGGAATCACAGAACGGCCGAGAAGATGGGGTGGAAGGTAAAGAAAGACGGCAAACCTACTATTCCGCTTGATTTGTTTTTTGGGTGGCTTATAGTTCGTGCGTCGGCAAATGATGCCAGCCGTGAGTGCCTTTCGAGATTTCGTAATAGCCCGGACGCCTTTTCAGGACGGTATTGGCCAGTTCTCCCGTTTAATAGATCTGTCTTTCCTCTTTCAGGTTCGTTCTTTCGTCGCAGGTGCAACTGAATGCCTCGCGAATGAGCCACGAATCGATGGGACAAGATCGGGAAATTAAGAAACTAGAGGCTCGAGGAAAGCTCGGACAGAGACGTGGGAGAAGAAAATCGAAAGGAGGGGAGAGCGGGCTGATGGCCGTGTTGTCCGGTCGGCCGAACGAGGCCAGAAATGTGGTATGGAGGAATATAAAAAAACGGGTTTCAAGAACAAGAAGAGGGTATATATTTACGACAAAGGAGACGGGGACAGGCAGGTTGGACAGAAAGCAGGGACGCCAAGACTAGACTGGGATCAGGAGCAGGAGAACGCGGAGAGCCGCCGTGTCAGTCTCTTTAGATCATGTCGATTCGGACATGGCAAAGGTTCGATGAGGAGAGAAGAGAAGAAAAGGATTGAGGGGGGAGACAGAGGAAAAGGGAAAGCTAAGACGACAAGATACGGTCTGTGTGTTAGTAGTGGGATTTTAGCAGGCAGGGTCTGAGAAATAAGGCCGCCGTTGATTGGACCACGCGTGCATGGCTCTATTCCTAGGCACATTGCGGAGTACTCGCAGCCAAGCAGATCGGAACAGTCCAAACTGCTTCTGGCCAGAGAGAGAAGCAGCTTTCGGCATCGCTACTACCCTCCACGACATGCTGCCAGGTGGTAAGAGTGCGGACTTTTTCTGTCTGCTTCCTCGGATGGCCCTTGCTGGCACCATGTACCTGTACGTGGTTAGCCGTTCATGCAGGCCTCTGCTTTGGTCGCCCGGCAGAGTCGGTATCTGGTCGCGAGACATGGTGCATCCTCCACTCTGGCGTATCTTGACCGCCTTGCCGCCTTGCTGCCTTGCAGCCAGCCCATGGCCACCTCGTGGGCGCTTTAGGCCCCTCCCCCTCCACGCATGTATGGGTACTTGTGCGGGTTGGAATGGATGGCGATCCCTGCTCTGGCGGTCTGGGAAAGGCAGACCGACCATTGAAGGCGACCGTGTCTGTGTTGTCCCCTCGACGGCATCAGCGTGTGGACAGCGAGGCCTTGGGTCAAGACAAGATACCTATGGCTGAGCGACAACTGCATCACTGTGGCGTCACAGTTGTCATGCCCCTCGACACCTCCTCTTTCTGCTCGTAACGATTACAAGCCGTAGACCGACCCTTGCGGGTTGCCTAGCTGCCTCACAGCCCTGCTCAAGCCTCCCGCATGCCAAATATAACACTCGTATGTATTTCACCTGGGCCTGTTACATGGGCTACAAAGAGGGGCACAGCCTGCACAGATTTCGATAAAAAAACACGGGAGGAGCAAAAAAAAAAAGCGTCCGCTACCTTGCAAGGTGCCATTTGGAATATCTAGGCAGAGGCAACGGCAAGAGGCACCACAAAAAGCACGGTTGGAATACGGGTGCTACTGACGCGGGGACCTTCTGCAGTCTGCAGAGGCGAAACAGCAGCATGGTGGGGGAGCAGCGCACAGTGTAGTATGTGATACTCGGGCTGTCTCGTAAGAGATCGTGTATCTCTCACGGATTTCCCACCACGCGTTCCGTATAATGCGCCACTCCTCACCGACGATCAGATTCCCAAATCAAGATCCCCGACTGTCCTTCTCTTGCCCGACACTTGTTGCTTGCTGCCTTACGTCTTGAGGGACATCGACAGTACGGTCTTGAAAAAAAAAAGACTGCCAGCTGGCAAACTCCCGTATCATGAGTCTGCTGCCAATATTCAAGGCAGATTGAAGGATGAGTGTCGGCCAATCGCCACACACAGATAACGATGCGACCCACTTCGACGTGCGCCGGCTGGCACTCTTCGCCCCGCCGAGCTCACGCATTTCGGCCGGTCCACATAATCCATTTTAGCACGTTACGAATACAACGTCCCGACTTTCACGGTGAAGGTGAAAGCCAATACCCAACTGATACAGCGAAACCGAGGAGGCTGCCTCAACCAGAAGTAGCACAATAAGCAGTCCTGCCGCAGTAGCACCGCCTTGTCCAATGTGCAAATAAAGGGTGAAGATGGCATAGCTGACACAGTATATCGAGTATGTGCGCACAGTACTCCCAACTGCGGCAAAGATGGACCTCTGCTGCCTGGATGGCGAGATTTGACTCCCGTCATTTTGGGCAACATAAAGCGTGCAGGTGTGGAAATATCCTCGGGGGTGGTGTGGAGGCCCCAGTCGCTCCCCCCTCTAATTTACGTGCATCTTTTCGTTCACATCGTACTCGCAACGGACAAGGCGACCTTTTTATCGGATGCACGACCTAACCAGGAGAGCCACAGCATGGTCCATAGGTCGGGAGCTCGCCGGCCATGTGCTGCTTGCCGTTACATATCCTCGCCAAAGTACGCAATACGGAGTCAGTTCTGTGCGAGTCTCCGAAGCACAGGAGAAGTGTACAAAGCAGGACAAACACGAGAAAGACACGGGTATGACTCAAGTGTCCCAAATAGCAGGCCCTAATTATGGACCTTCCCCGCTGTCGTAGAGGCCCAGCAGCCTAATTCCAAGGCCTTCTCGCCCTCGTGTCCAGCCTGCCAGGAGCTACGGAGTACGTCGCAGCTGAAAATATTTCATCAGCGGTCATCTGACCGCCGGCGTGCGGAAATAAACACAGCCACGGCCCAAAAAAAAGTTGGAGCCCTTCCATCGGTTCCCGCCGAAGGGATGCAAGTTGAGAAAACGGCGTGTCCGTGAAACAAGTGGCTTTTCCTTCTCCTTCCAGTCACGGACGTCACCTTGGGCCGACAACGGAAGCATGAGCATACACGTTGCCGCAGCCAGTCCACATCTTGCTTTTTTTTTTGTTCTTTTACCCGGCGACATTCGCCGGGTAAAATTTCACTCCAGCTGGCGGTTCCCCTTTTTTAATCATCTCTCGTGATGCAACAAAAATAAAATCAGGAGCAGACGTCACGAGATCCTGCATTCCTGGAGAACTGCATATTCAAACGACCTATCTGAAAAATCAGAGCGGCATATACCCGCGAAAACTTAACTCGTACGAGAAGGCTATCGTTCTGTTTTCAACAGCATGCCGCCTTTGACGGGTGGCCCAGATAGCCGCCACCTAGTAGCCTAGATTTCGAGTTGGCTGGAGTCGAACTTCATGCAGCCACTTAGAGGTAGCTAGCACCAATCGGCTTGGATTAGTCGGCACCACGAAGTTGCTGGATCACGTTGCCGAGTCACAGAGTAGGACATGAACCTTTGCAGGATTGCCGTGTTAGCCGACAACAAGATGACATTGAGCCTAGTAAGCCATGCGTGAGCAATCAATACGAGTACGAGCAGGCAACCACCTTCACGAACCGGACGCACCAAGCAGCAGTCCTCAGGACATGTCACGCCGTTGCATCGATCTTGTGTTCTAGACTTTCGAACAAGCACACACTGGCTAACACAGCTGCCATTTCGCCATCCTCGTCATTTCGCGGGATGGGACTAATTTTTTAAAGGAAAACGGTTGAACGAAATGCCGATACCACATTTTACATTGCAATTGGTAATACAAATACTCCGAGGTGACAGGCCACCTTTCTCTCACAAGCTTTCCTTCTTTTGGGGTTTCGTTCTTCCTCGGGGACACACTTGTAAGGCCGGCAACGAGGTCAAACAGAACACAAAAACAAAACCACTGGTAGACTAATAAATACGTAACAAATATGTGGTACCGGGAAAAATAAAATGGCAGATGTCGCGGCTTCGCCTACGAAGCCATGTAAGTGCTCGCATCGATACCATCCTTGGGGAACTCACTGAAGGAGTTGTTAGTCATCATATCATCATCATATCAACACTTGAACAGGTAACGCGAAGACACTTACGGAAGGGCAACTTCGAACCGCTTCTCAATCGCTTTCAGCACTTCCTTGTCCTGTTCGTTGCTGACAAAGGAAATAGCCAGACCCTTGGTACCGAAGCGGCCGGCACGACCGACACGGTGAAGGTACGAGTCGGCATCAGCAGGCAGATCGTAGTTGATGGCAAGGTTGATGCGCTCAATGTCGATACCACGGCCAAAGACGTCCGTCGCAACGCAAATGCGCTTGTTGAACTCTTTGAACTCCTTGTACCGGCGAATTCTGGACAAGTTAGCCAAAAGTTCAACATTACACTCTTCATAGTTCATACCTTTCTTCCTGGCTAACGCCCGAGTGGACTGCAATCGAAGGGAAGTTGCATTCTCTGAGAAGCTTGTCAAGTTCCGTCGCACGAACAGTGCTCTTGACGAAGATGATGACCTGGTTGAATTGCAGCTCGTCCAGAAGCTCGTTGAGCTTACGGTTCTTCTCCCGCTCCTCCAGAGGGATGTAGTACTGCTGAAGACCGTGCAGCGTCAACTTGGTGTCTTCGTCGACGTAGTGCTCCGTTGGGTTCTGCATGAACTTCCGGCAAATTGGCTTGATCTCGTCCGAAAGAGTTGCGGAAAACATCATAACCTGCTTCTGCTGGGGAGTAGCACGGAAGATCTCCTGTACATCACGGCGCATATCTGGCGTGAGGTTAGAAATACTGGTCCAGTGTGATTATAAAAGCAAAACGCTAAAGACATTCATACCGATTTGATCGAGCATCTTGTCGCACTCGTCTAGGACAAAGATCCGAACGCTGCCAAGACGCAAGTACTTGTCACGAACAAGAGCATTCAGACGTCCGGGAGTGCCAACAATGATGTGCGGGTGAGTCTCCTTGTTGCGCAGGATCTCGGCATCCTTCTGGATGGGGGTGCCACCGTAAAACACGCCGGTCTTGATCTCTGGCATGTACTTGGAGAATCGGTTGTACTCGTTGCGAATCTGGAAGGCTAGTTCTCGGGTGTGGCACATCACAAGCACCGAGCACTCGCCGGCAACGGGTTCGATTTGCTGAAGCGTGGCGAGAACGAAAACGGCAGTCTTGCCCAGACCAGATTTAGCCTGGCAGATGATGTCGCCTCCAATCAAGGCTTGAGGGATGCAGGTTTGCTGAACTGTAGTAATTCGTTCGAATGTCAGAAGGGTTTCTTGGAATGATTTGCTTGAATGAAAAGACGAGAGAGTGCGGTCAAAAAGAGAGTTGAGAGGTCCGTCCATCGTCGCAGCAGAAATGAATATCATCCTCCCCGTGGTTCAGCAATGAGGAGTTCAAGCATCAATCAACGCGAGCAGAGTAAACGAAGCACAGGCCGGGAGCCCTTGCGCTGCGCAGTGGTTGCAACAGCCAACCCTGATCGTCTGCAAAGACAGACTGCCGAACGCCAACTGACTCAAGACCTTTGTCGTTGCTATCGAATCGAGCCTCGAGCTTCATTTCCAGACAATACACCCTTGCCTCGTCGGCTGGCTGCGAAAAGGGAGTGCTCGTGAGGTCCCGGGATTGGTCTTGTGAATCGCAACCGTATGCCCGACCGCGACACAGAGCTGGACATGGGCAGAAGTGCATGCCCACCATGACGTGGGCAAGACGACATCCCCGTCCCTACTGCTCTCCCTTTCCCGTGCAACAGGCAGGTGTTGCGTGTGGCGACCTTTGACCGGTCACCACCCAGCTCTATCCAGATCAACTGGAAGCGAGCAACAACCGTCATCTCCAAATGAGGCCTGGCCGCTTTCGCAGACCAATAAACCCTTTCGAGTAATGTAGCCCCATCTGAATAGGTATGTATGATCCCGCATTGCTTTCCAAAAGCGGTAGCAGGGACGAGGCAAGTGAGAAGAGTCGGAGCGAACACCCCAGCAAAGCCGATCTGCGTGGGCGATGGAAATTTGGTTCCCGTGTACTCCAATCTGCTATCTGCGCTTTTCCTCTGTCCATCTCGAAAATGCTCATTTGGCCCCTTTCCCTCAGGCTTTTGGTCTTCTCTTAATGGCCATTCGCTTGCGATGGTGCTGGACGGACGCCTCTCTGAGCGAGTATCAAGGGAGAGGAGAAAAGGGGGGCAGGGAAAACAAGCGGAGGTAGAGCTGGATAATCAAAAGTAGTTTTGTGTTTCATGTGTCAATGACTAACCCTCCGATGGATGTTCGAAACCGCAATCGGCGGTGGCGCGGAAAAGCTCTGGCTTCAGAAGGAAGTCTCTGAAACCTGTCGAATGAATACCGACATAGCTGCCCTTCTTGTCGACGCTGTTTGAACCGGCAGCCGAGGCATCGCCACCGGCTGTAGCAGAGCCCTTCTTGCCGTTGGAAGTGGCACCCTCGGTGGTGTTGAGCTCCTCGTCGGAGTAGTCAATCAAGTCTTCCTCGGCAGACATGTTGCTGTTTGGTTATACTGTCGTGAAGAAAATGGAAAGGTATGCGGGAACCGATCTAGACTGTTGCGTGACACCAAAAATACCGTTGTTTTGGTGCGTTTACCCGAGAGTTGTCGTCGCGTTACGTTGTATCGCGAACCAGACGGAGCGAAGAAGAGAAAGATTTTGTTGTCGTGTCGAAAAAGCGGCGAAGTTGGCTGAGCTCTGTGGAGAAGGTATCGAAAAACACTTTCGACAGAAATAGAAAGAAGTGGGCCGTCAAAAGGAGAAGGTCTTAGATGAAGTAACCGACACGAACAAAAGCTGGTCGATGACAAGCAGAACGGTATGTTGCCTGTTTGTTGTTGGGTTCTGGTTGTTGCGGGGGCGAAAAGGAGAAAGGAAGGGAAGGGAGAAGTTGAAAAGGACATTCGCCGCAAGGCCATGCGTGTTGGACGCCTTGCTCGGATTAATGATGGTCCGCGAGGTAACGATGTACTGCGTACTTGCATTGACATAAAGCGTATAATCACGTGATCTTATTTACACAAATTTGGCAAGCATCTAACATCGAGTCGCCAGGATTCTTCACAAGCCAGCCCAGCATCCTTGAAGCAATCGCTGTTCTAATAAACAGAATGGCAAAAATAAAATCAAACCCTGCAGCGGTACCAAATCGGCCCGCATACTCCAGAGTTTCCTTTCTCTACCAGGCAGCTGCACTGCTAGCGGCAGTACCACCACAATTACCAGCAAATTCAGATTCAGAGTCAAATGAAGCACAGCAACAGCAACGAGAAAAAGATAGCCCTAGTCAGCCTTCACATGCTCTTCCGGGACTGTCTCGCCGTCTCCTGACTCAGATGCGCTCTGTATCCCGGAAAACCAACATGCGACTGCGGCCGGCTGTGAAGCGCAGCGTTTGCAAGTTCTGTGACACTCTCCTGGTCGAGGGTGATACTTGTACGTCTGTGGTGGAAAACAAGAGTAGAGACGGCAAAAAGCCGTGGGCAGATGTATTGGCAGTAGAATGCCGCACGTGCAGGCGTGTGCGGCGATACCCTGTGGTGGCGCCGCGGCAGCCTCGGCGACCGTTTCGTCAGGACAACAGAGGAGACGAGCAGACCCAGACGGACGTACGGAGCAGCACCACTGGCAAAAGTCCGAAAACCATGCACCAGCAGGTTTTGGATATCAGAAAAGCCCCCTGATTACGGACTCAACCCTCACGGATACCAGCTCCATCAACAGAGCTGGCTTAAACCCCCCAAATTAGTACTACCTTCACTGGGGCAGCATCACAGTCTTGCGACAAAGCCCCAAAGCACGTTGAAGCAAAAGCCGAAGGGCACGGCTTGTGTACAGTGCTTCCTAGAAATCATACATATGTCTTCTTAGAGCGAGCTATCATGACGAGAGTTCATAAAAACCTAGGCATCGTAGGTTGTCAGGACTGGCAGGCTTGCGGTTCTAAACATGAAATCTCCAAGGTACGAACAACTTTCCAAAGAAGAGACACATCAAATCAGAATACAAAATGGAAAACAGTGCTTGGAACACATCGCTTGTCGTGGTCAGACTGCTTGGCGTCTCTCCATTTTCGCGTACCGGTTCTCAAATGTACGTGTAAACATCGGATACTCAAGCAATCATTTCGGACCTCTCTGCTACCGTCATTATTGACTAGAATCCCGGTCGACCCCTCGAGAGTCTCTAGCCCCGTCCTCGCCGAGCACCTTGCTGGCGGCCATGAATCTGGAAAAGTCAGTTGTCCGAGGTCGTGGTTTGGTGAGGGAAAGACGTCATACAGTCCAGCATGCCAGCTTCCCAGCTCTCGTAGATAAGCGGCCTGTGCAGCCGTGACGCGCACAAGGCTGTCAGTGTCGGCTAATTGCGCCGAGAGTTGAGCAAGCTGAGACTGAAGGTGGGCCTGCGATACCACAAGTAATAAGCATTCCAGTCAGCAGAATGATCGATCTGGCGTCGAACAGAGCGCATCCGACACCCAGGGCTGCATTACCAGCTGTCTAGCCTTAACGGCAGGGCCTGAAGCGGCCATGTTACCGGTAAATGTGGCATTCCGTGTGGCGTTGAGGGTCGATGTCGGCTGGTTGGCATTCATGATGGCACACAGAAGAGATGTTGGCCGACAGCTAGCCAACACCACGTCAGGAAGGATAAGTTCGACGCTGGACGCGTTCTGAGAGTACTTTTGCAGATGGGCGAAGCTTGGGAGATGTTAGTCGTCTGTTATCAGAAAACGCGTCAACGAGTTGCGGGGTCTGCTAGCAAATGTACAGTGCAGTACAGTGCCACACACCCCTTATCGAGATCATAATCACTGTAATACGCGTTTTCTTGTGAAGCCTCCAACAGGTTATAGGCTTCGGTGACTTTAGTGTCACCGATCCATGGATTGTCATCGTCTGCATTTACTATTCTGGTCCCCATCTGCGGTATGAAAAAGCAAGACGGATTGAGGGGCCCCAATATGAATTGTCATCCAAAGAACTTGCCCTTGTGCTCGCATGGCAGACAAAAAATTCTTCTTTTCACATTAATTTCCACGGTGTTGTATGTGAGTATGAAACATAACAGAAAGTTGGGACAGGAGAATGAAGAGAAAAGAGAAAAAAACATTATAACAAAAAAAAGTAAGGAAAGGTGATTCCGTAGGCCCCCTCTTTATGCAGTATTACCAGAAACAAAACAGTAATGATATTTGCAGCTTCGCGGCCAAAGAATAATACCACATGAACCTCGCTCCCCTATCCCTATGAGAGCTGTCCGGAAGCAGTGTGCGTGTACTGTGTATAAAAATAGAGACAAAAGAAACATTAGAAGACCAAGAGCCGACCGAGATCGGTACAAAACAAAAGAACAGAGGTCGGATATGTTCGTTTCGTATCGTTGTGCCTCTGGTGATTCCGAAAAAGGATTCGGAACAAAATGGCAGTCTCGCTTGGATGACGTCGCTGAACTTAGTCGGCGGATATATTCTGGTGGCTGAACAAGAAACATTACGGGGAGAAGTCCCAAAGCTCTATCGTGCATTGTATTTTCGTTTACCGGACACCAATGGGAGGTCTCGGCCCCAGGCTGCTCTGGCTGCTGTGTGCCGATGGTTCCGAGTCGAGATGGGCGGAATCGCTACTACCCGCGCTAGCACTTGCACTTCCCGTCAGACTTCGCACGTTTTTCCCAAAAGGCGGCTGAAGGGAGCTCACCCCGGCGTGTTGCTCAACCTGTTGCGGCGCCACAGCATTGCCTTGACCAGGTGGGTATCGTGGAACTGGCTGGCGAACGCCGTCAGGTGGCGACGGCCTACCGTTCGCTGGGCCACCGAAACCATTGGGTGGTGATGGGCGGCCACCAGGACCACCACGAACCGACGGACTAAATGTGTTGCCTGGCGAATGGCTGGTCCGGCGTGGGAAGCCGCCAGCGCTGCCAGGAGGGAACTGAAGGTCTTCTAGGCGGGACGCAGTGAGTGAGTTTGCACGAGATTCGGCATGCATCTGCCCGCGGTCGACATTTCCGTATCGGTTAGAAGTAAACGACAACAACGGGTCGTCAAGGATGTTGCTGCCGACTGGAGGAGCCTGGTCCACGATCTGGCTGGACCTGTTTCTGCCAAAGACGGGCCGGAACCTGCTACCTCTAGACGCCGCGGGATCGCCACCCTTGCGGAACTGGGCATTGTTCGCATTGCTGCCCGCTACCTTTCTGTTTTTCCGGGATGTCACACTCATCATGTCGAAGTTGTCAGGATCGATCATGGGTGCCGGCGGGCCCGCATTTGGATCAAAGTAGTCGTCCTCTTCATCATCATCGTCGTAGATACCGATATCAATACCTGATCGCGCAGGCGGGCCGGGAGGCGGACCCCTTCTTGATGACGGGCCGGGACGGCGCATTCTCATCTCCTGTTCTCTGAGCGCGATTTCTCGCTGGCGGAGCTGCAATTCCCGCTCTCTCAAGGCCAACTCCGAGTCAGTAGGGGGGTGTGCGGCTTCGCCACCTTCAGGAATATCGTTGTAGAGCACCACGTGGCTAAATTCTTCCAGGTCCTGTCCTTCCATGGAACCACGCCTTGACTGCTGGCGCGACGATGGTGGTCTACCATAGCCATTCGGTCCGCCATTCGTGTTCATTGACACCGGCGGGCGCCGACCGTTGGGTCCCATCTGGGAGGAAACACGGGGTCTGGGGCGACCTATGCCATTGGGCATGCCGTTCGGGCCTCCGTTCGTCATGGGACGGCCACCACCAGCTTGTGATGGAGCACGCGGCGTCATGGTTATGGTGCCAGTTGGTGAGCTCGGGGAAGGTCCGTTTGCGTCGCCCTTTGGCCGCGTCCGGTTGACCGTGTTCAAATTATGCATTATCGCATACATCGTTTCCAAGCGCGGTACTGCGATGCCGGCCTCCTGGGACAGGCGCAGCGGTGAGCCGAGGAATGTATCGACCTCCATAGGACGTCTTGCGACGTAATCTTGCCACATGACGCTCTCGGGCTGTTGTGGCTTTGCCATCTCAGTCATGGTTCGCTCCTTGAAGTCTGGTGGGAATTTGCAGCCTTGCGCTTCGGCGAGGGCTAGCAGTTCGTCAAAAAGGCTCGAGATCAGTTGCCGGACGCCAACTTTTTCAACCAGAGCTGCATGGCTTGGTGTTTCGAAAATGACGCTTGCTGGATGGAATGCAATGGGCCTGATAGATTTCGTTAGCCGATGATCAAGTGTCAAAACAAAACAGAGATCCGGAAAAAAGCCGCATAGGGCGAGCAAAAGAACGTACCCAATGAGCCTCTCGTATTGCTGTTGGCGAATATTTGGTGAGACTTTGCATTCGACCTGGCCGGAGCAAAGAGTCATAGCGAGAGCCTGCGCCATATCTTCGCGAATGGTTTTAGGAATGCGATCATTCTTGCTGTTGGTAGGCCCAACCCAGATCTCCGTGGAGCCCTTGTGCTCGAATTCGCTGGTACCGGTCTGCACAAGTTCTGCATTGGAAACAAGAGACAGAACGACGTTCGTAGGAAACCGCTCCTCAATGGCAGCTTCGACGCCCAAACTATGGGTCGTGTTGACCAAGATGCAAGTGTGTTGTGGCTCAACGACTGAGTCGATGATAGAGGCGAGATCGTACACATCAGGAAGAGCTTTTATGCAGAGGATGACGTAGTCGAACGCGCCATCTCTGCGCGCCACAGCGTCCTCGGGAGACCTGACGACTGTGTGAGGTTAGCACGTCAGAACTTAGGTAATTGAACGCAATGAAAACAGGCGCAAGACCTGTAGCACGGAAACTCTTACCATTGCGCGGCTTGAACCGTTCGTTGCCAAAAGTTGAGGATCTGTTTGTTGTCGCGGCAGTCAGTATGCGCAACCACTGCCGGTACACGTCGGTACTTGGTTGACGGAGTTTGGGGTACTAACTTGAATGATATGCCATATTGCGACACATTCTCGAAGCCGGATTTCCATACGAGGGTTACATCGCAGGCGTTTGTGGCCTGCAGACGCCAAGACAGAAAAGCAGAAACCGCATTGCCACCCACTGTAACCACGTTCATTAGTTCGTCGTCCATGACGATAGGCGGGCAAGGTGAAGCGAATGATGAAAGCGAAAGACGAAGAGTTAGGCCGGCATATATGGGGGGATTGAGAAATTAACTGTGTAAAATGCGACAGACGAGAGAACAGTAAGAAAAGACGGCAATGGCCGTTAGAATAAAGAAACGAGCCACAAGATTGAGGCAGAAATTGCCACGAGAAATGAAACGAGAGTCCCAAGAAAAACGACCACGCTTGGAATTGGATCTGCGAGGTATTTGCAAGGGAAGAAGAGAACAGAAAAAGATTGTGATTTTTAGTTCGAGGGGAAATGGAGCGGAGGAAGGGTGGGAAGTTGTTGAGAAATGGGGAAATATAGGGCCACTTCCTCCGAAGAATGCAGGGCGCGGCACAACAGCACCAGGGCGAAAACACCAGCGCGGACAGCGATGCTAGTGTATGTGTAGGTTTTGCAATGGGGGCCAGATAGCACATCAAACGCCGGGCAGGGACGCAAGAAAGAAAAAGAAAGGACGGAGAAAAAAGAAAACAGCGCATACCTGCTAGGACTTTAAGCCGAGGGTTAGTTGGTGCCATGGTCTGTCTACACGCGGTAGTCCCTAAGAGACTTGACAAAACGGCGTATCAACCCGTCGATGGGCTGTGACAGAAAGTTCAGCTACGATGCAAGAAGCTGCAAGACTAGGCCGCCGGGAAATAGGCAAGGGGTGCACCAATACTCTCTGTAACTCGTATCGTGGGGGACAAGGACGGTCACGTATGCGGCAGCTGTATGCTATCTGGCGACTAAACAGAGTATTTCCAAGCGTCGGGTTCGAGTTCGGGGAATTGGGGTGTGTGGAAACAAGCCCAGGTGGAGAGGGATATAAAGCGCCGTAGGTGTTGATATCTGTTGCCTGTTTCTCCCGTGCAACTGGTACCGTATTGACAGGCCGACTCGCAGGCTCAGGCTCACACGCCGAGTGAGATTGATACTGCTCGAAATGGGAGGGACGTGGGTGGATGTCGGACTGGCTGCTCGGTCGCAGGGGCGAGGGGGTGCGAAAGTGTGCTCGTAGTGTCGAGCTGGCGCTGTAGCAGGGATTCGTCCAGCAGCTAATTGATAGCCTGTTGATCGGAGGTGTGGGTATGTCGCTGAAGCCGTCGGTTGTCGCAGTCGACAGCGCGGCGATCAAAATAGAGGACGGTAGCAACAGCAGTTGCAAGGCTAGCAGAACACCAAGTAAGGAGGCGCAGGCCACTGACCCATCCGGCGATGGGGTGAGGAAGGGGGAGGGCCCAATACCAGTGACGCGCTGCGCAGGGTTGCAGGTGGAAAATCAAGACGCGCGCCAAGCACCGACTAAGCTTCGGAAAAGCCGGCCTTAGCGATGTGGGTTTTTTTTGGCGTGTGGGCTCTTGCGTGGACGAGCGCGTAGGCCGACAGGGAAGAGTTGTGCGGCGGCCGTATAACGTGTACGCTCAACTCGGAGATGCAGATGCAGTGGTCGAAAGCTGCAGAGGTGGACAGATCCAATCAAAAACGCAGGCGGTCTGAGTGGCGGTCTGGTCGTCGGGTCGAGTCAAGTCGAGTCGGGCTTGTTTTGAAAGAAAGCCGACAAGACGATGCAAGCGACCGGTCGGGTTGAGATCTCGTAGCTGAGACAAGCGAGCAGAAGTCGGTCTGGGAGTGCGCCGTGTCGAGTGGTGTGTTTGGCGGGAGGCTATATGGAGTAGGCGAAAAAGGGCAAATGATCTTCGGCGAAGAGGGGGGGTGCAAGATACCAGAGAGAGGGAGGCGCGCTGCGATTGCGGGTGTCTGAGCGGCGGTGGTTTGGGGACCCTGTGCCAGCTGAAGCTGAAAAAGAAAGCAATGAGAGCCGGCGTTGGTCTTGGAACTTGGGCAACGTGGAGTAGCGCGCTTTTTGTTGAAATAAAAAAGGAGAGGGGTGGGCGAGAATAGCGATATGTCAGGAGTAGAATGAAAATAAAAAAGAGGGGCACTTCTATCTCCCTTCACCAAGTCGGACCTCACTCGATGCTGCTGAGATGCCAACGACGGAGACGGAGAAGGAAAACGAGCGGAGGGGCCGAGAAGGCACGACGAGACAAGACAAGACGGTGGTCGAGGCCGGAGGCAAAAGACAAGAACCGTTGTCCCGCGCGGCGAGGTCGAAGAAACCGAAGAGAGGCAGGCGAGAGAAGAAGTAAACAGAGACTTGGGAAGAACGAGATGCGGCTCGGGTTTTCTGCTGCTTGCTTCCCTGTTGTCGGTCGTCCGTCTTCGCTCAGGCTGAACGATCCCTGTGACTGTCTACGAGAGAAGGAAGGAGAGAAGGCAAAAGATAAGAGGAAGAAGTAAAAAGAGGGGAAGGAGAGAGGCAGACGTCAGACACAATGGGAAGGCACCGAGATCAAGGAAGGAAAGGTGCGAGTAGAAGAAAAGAGAGCCCAACGCAGCGCTGCCTCCTTTTCCACACCCCCATCGACAATGCAAGCGACAGCAAGAAGCCTGAACGGGCCCGTGGATAGTGGATCGCCAGACGGCAGAGCCAAAAGCCCCTCCGATGCTACACTACGAATGGAGTAGGGAGTACAAGAACAAGACCAGGAAGGAAAGTACGAATCTTGCCAGAGTCGTATGCCTGATGCCACCTCCTCGTATCGACCCATGCAAAGGAGCTCGTATGCATGTAGGCGGTATCGGGTTAACGCGCTGTTTCGCGTGCTCATAGTGAGGCGTAAAACTCTTGTACGCGTAATAAGATGCTCTTTCGTTTGCGTGGACGCCATGCTATCGAACCACCCGCAACGTGTGCAATGCAGTACGGAGTATATTAGCGCAACGTCTCCCGAAGGTGCTCTGTGCTGCGGCACGGAGTACACGTCTTGGCCATCAGAACCCCACCGGTGTGGCTTGCTTCCAAGCTTCTGCGACGTATCTTACTATGTAGCACTCGCGGCGACAAAGATACAGATTGTGCCCCCGACGGCCGCGTGTCACGGTGACGGCGGGATGGGGACTTCCCGTCGTAGGCATATCAGTATATGCACGAATCCGGGGTCTGCAATATGCTTACGGAGTACAGAGTACTCAGCGGTAGCGCCGAGGCACTCCGTGGCTTTGGTATATTATGTAAGCCTCGACGCATGGCTTCGGCTACAGAGTACAGGGCTATTACGGAGTACTCCGTACTAGGTTTGGAATAAAATGATCTAAGTTGTCCCGATATGAAGGAAGGAGAGCCCTGATAGTCGGCCGAACTCCTTCCTCCGTGATGCGCATGCCACCGGTCAGCGCCAATACTGGAAGTATCTTGCAAGTACGAAGAAGGCCACCAGTACGATACTGCTCGAGTTGACGTTGAATCTCGCGCACCCTTCTGCACACCAGCGTTGCACAATCATCAGGTGTCTCTTTTCAATCCTCCTACATATGTACGGGAGCGGGACCTGTACAAATAAGACAACAAGAGCAGCCTACATGCTGTGTACGGAGTACATGTATGCGAGCATGTATAGTATGTACGCTCACGAGAAAGATGCATACTTGCCACGGACTTATTTGCGCTTTCCCGGCATTTGCTTCGTCATCTCGGACTGGGCACAAGCAGTTTGCTCGTGCTTATGATCTCAAAACACGTACGACTTGGCATTGCTCCTTGCAAAGAAAAGAATAAAAAGGGTCCTGGGATCGGCTTCCACCCCGCTGGATCCTAGCTGGCCCTTTCTTACGGGACGTTCTGTGGCATCTGGTGGACACCGGATATAAAGGAAAAGTCAGGTAAGGAACAGGCAAGGATCTTAAAGGGGAAAATGTGCGGGTGGGGCTCCATCCACACCTCTGCACTAGGTGCCTCGAGTATCTTTGTTTCCTGCGAGTAGAATGCGAGTACGAGCTCTCCCAACAAAGCATCCGTACAGAGTATGACGGGTATGTAAGATACCTAGAATGGCGAGTACGAGTACTCCGTACACACATCCTATGGCAGTCCAGGCGTTGTGTACAAATGTGCTCGTATTGGAAAGCGCATAAAAAGATTCTTGATTTTCCAAGGCAATCCCTGAATTTGCCAAATTGCCCAGAAAGCTTTTTCTCTCCCCTCTCTGTCGGCCGCAGTCTAGATGCGACACTACCGTACTCCACGGAGTACTCTCTTTGCCGTGCTGAGAAAGACAATACCTGATATCTCAGCGCATGCCCCCCTGTTTAGGTTGCATCAAATGTCCGTCCAGCCCAATGACCAATCGAGATAGTTAGCAGTAAAATTGTGTTCCGTGATATTGTCCTGCCCTTAGCTCCCGGCGATCCGAGTCCACCGCAGAATGAAACGCAACACTCTTTACTGTGCTTCTACTGTGCTAAACGATACTACTTAGTCTGTGTTTTTTTTTTTTTTTTTTTTTTTTTTTTTTTGCTGTACGTTGGCCCAGGCGACTTGGCCAGACGCCGTTCTATTTTTCTTCAGGTTTTTTCCCTTGTTCTTTGTTCCCGCCTGGTGCTAAGAACGTGTACCGATCAGGAACAGATTTCCCATGTGGAGTGCCGTCGTACGTAGTACATACTGGTAGTTCGATACGCGTATACTTAAGTGCGCCGACTAGTCGTAAAGGGTAAAGAGCATGATATCCTACCGTTGCCTGGCTTAGCACAGCGCTCCATCTGTCTACATAGTACAGCAGCCAATGCAACTGTGATATGCAGCGAGGCCAGCGGAAAAGACATCTTAGTATCTTTAGATATCTAATATTGGAAACGCAATAATGTACATCGGGAAAGCATGTGATTTGATATGGGAAAGGGGCACTGAAACAGCGAACCGAAAAGTGAGAATGAGCAATGTAATCCCATGACAAAGGGGTGAAAGAAAGAATTAAAGACTTGAGTGCAGCCGATACTATGTATACAAGGAGCAAAGTCCACAGAGCAGCCCATGTCCTTTTTTTCTTTTTTTTCTCTTTTCGTCCGTCTCCACGCGGTGCCACCATCGCGCTAAATTAGCCAGGAAGAAGGAGAAAGAGGTGCAAGACGTGTCATGTTGTGTTGTAAGATACGTATGCGCTCGTTGTGCACCTCTGCCGCAGATTGGTGGGTGTTATCATCGGGCATTCCCATTTTGTCAGTCCGCGCCGCGTCCTGGAAATCGCAATCTGTGTTCTACATATGGTACGGAGCACATAGTAGTAATATCGGGACGCGCAGAGGGGCTGTACTTAAACAGGGGCTACGGTAGAAAAGCAAATCACGGGTCGGATAAAAATACGTGCAAACCCCACAATGTTGCGTGTATCTTACACCGGTTTTCGTAATGGAAAAAGAGAGGTTTAAGGCACGCGGGTAAGGCACAACAACAACAGGCCATCGTGCAGAGATATGTAAAATAGCCACGGCTCTGCGTCATCTCTATCTTTGGATGTGTAGTCGTATCTAACATTCTGGACAGCGACGCTCTCCGCTCGTCAGCTTGCATTTGCGGTCTCACTATCCTAACCCGGCCATCTGCTCATCTCCTTTTCCCAATACTCGTAGGCTCCGTCATGAGCTGAGGAGAGATCGCCAAAAGCTGATATTGCCGACTGGCTACATCGTGCGTATCTTGCCTCTGCAGGTCGCCTCCGTGCTGGAGCTCCGGACACCGCACTTGGCATGAACGGTCCGAAGATAGCATCCTGCTTGGTGGTCACGCATGAGGCACACAGCATCTGCCACAACGGTATCATGGAGATATAAGCTACATAGTAGGCTCGGCGCGGAAATACCCCGTTCTACGCAGACAGCCCGTAGATCGTCCTGTTAGCATGCTCAGCAGGCCGGTTGTATTCGTTTTCCATCTCTTGTCTCGGGCCGGAAACGAAACATGACTGGCCGTATGCGCTGACGTCAGGCTAGTTGCCTGGTTGAATTCCTGGTGCCTTGCTCATACGGGGATAGAGAGCTCGAACGTGTTTCGGTAGCTTGATGCATCTCGGGATCCTATGGTGCTGCCTGATCGCGTAAACCTACGCGTCCAATGCCATGTCCACAGTTGTGCTTGATGTCCAAGTGCTATTCCCCTATACCTTTGCGTCGATGGTATTCTACCCCGTTCTAGAGTCCGTTCTGTGTTCCAAACAGTCCTATGCGAGGGTAGCGAAAGCCCGGACCTTGCATCTGGGTCTTAATAAGGGGGGCTGAATATATGTTGTACCAATGTGTCGTAGCTACTATGTAGATGCAACATATATCGTATATCCCTTTTGGGCTGTACTTTGCGTCGATGCATGAGAACTTCTAGCTCGACATTCAGGCGTCTTGATATCATAATTGACGTAACAAGTTGGCATACATCACAAGCAGTTGGGTTCGGGGACGTTTTTTTTTTTTTTTTTGTACTGCGTACATAAACTATTCATGGTAATGTTTAAAGCAAGTACGTCCAAACAGGCAACTTCCCGATTCTATTTGTGAGTAGTATTATCCATGCTACACAATCGGATTCTACTGTCAGATTATACCTTGTGAAAATAGAAAGCTACGACATTGCAACTGCTCCGTAATGCAAGCAATACAGCAAGATACCACGATAGCGGGTCTATTACGGAGCATACTTCTTAGCTATGCCATGTTGCATTTATACAGGGGCAGTTCTGTCGCTCTTGATGACAAGGCTGACAGCCTCGTAAAAGGTGTTCACACATTATTTCCTACTCGCAGCACAGGTCCGAAGCAGACCATTCCACATACAAAACTAGCTGGTGATAGAAGAAAAGATGAGGGCAAATTGGCTGGCACCTCACAAATGCTCGCTGTGTATCGTCTTGGGCTCTCTCCCCTGCTCATGTCTATGCCGCCGCCACCAGCCGTTGCTGGATCTGCATGCACCGTCGCAGGTCGAGCTTTGCTTCGCCGCTCGGAACATGCTGCCCACTGGCAATGCACAGCACCGTCATGTTCTCGTCGTAGCGCAGCCCGGGAAGAAGCTTCGGCGTGATCAAAAAGTATTGGCTTGCGTGCTCGTGGCAGGCCACGTCCACCATGCGTTCGTGCATCATGCGCTCGTTGCGTGGATCCATGCCTTGGTTAATCTCGTCGACCACGCGGAACGGCGCCTGCGCCATGCCCTGCAGCGACATAAGGTAGAAGATGGTGCTGACGGCCCGCTCTCCACCCGACTGCCGGTGCTGGTCCAGCTTCTGCAACTCCTCGTTCTCGCTACACGGGTTAGCCAAAACGGTCTGGAACATGAGAAGTCAGAAAGACGCAGAAAATGACCTACCGGAATTTCACTCGGATTTCGATGGCCCATTTGTCAAAGTCGTCGTCCTTGTGCACGCTGACCTCGCCGGCGCAGTTGATCTGCTCAAAGTTGTAGCTGAACGCGTCATTGATCCGTCCGATGAGTTCATCCAGCCGCGGCTCCCACTTGCCCCGAACCTCTGCAATCTGCTCGCTCATGTCGCCGTATTTCTGCTCCTGTGTCGACATGGCTACTTTGAGCTGCTCCATCTCCCGTCCCCGCTTCCGGAACGCCTCCAGCACTGATGCGTCCACCACGCGCGTCAGGTCCAGCTTGGCCTTCTCGGCAGCTACTTCATTGTCCAGGTCCTCCAGCGTCTTGTTACGTGCCAGCTCGTGCAGCATCTCCGACCACTCACTGCCCTCCTCTGCCACATTCTGTGCCGCCTCGAGCGCTTGCTCGCCCTCTGTTTTCTGCACGCGCATGTTCTCCTGTAGCACCCGCACAGCGTCCTGTTTCGTCACGAGGATGTCGGCTATGTCGGCGTGTTTCGTCTTGAGCCCCTCGACATCCGATTTGGCCTCGATCAGACGCACTTGCGCATCAACCACCCCGTAGCACGCGTCTCGCAGCGCCGACAACTTCTCTGCATGTCGCAGCACAGTGCGTGCCTTTTGCAGGACCAGCTCGTCCAGCTTTCCAATGACTTCGAGTTGCTGGCCGCGGATCCGGCTGTGCTCTTCCTGTATACGGGACAGAACATTATTCTCAACCTGTATCTTCTCCGGAAGTGCGGTCCACTTGCTATACTCCATCTGTAGCTGATTTTTCTCGTCCCGTAGACGGTCCTAAGGCATATTAGCCTCTTGTGAATATGCAGGGGCTTGCCAATCCAGCAACTCACCAAGTCGGTATCGATCTCCGCCATCCTTTCTGCTGGGCCAGCTGCGCTGGCATTTACGGCTGAAAACTCTTGACGGAGCCCCTGTAGCTTCCTGTTCAGCTCGTCTAGCTGTTGCTCGAGCCCCGTCTTCTCCGACATGTCTGCCTGACCTTCCGTCCAGTACCGGCCAGGCCGGATATCTCTGACAACTGTCGACACTGCATGCGCGCCATATTCACGACGCCGATTGACACGGTAGAACTGGTCTTTTGCCGCCCAGGTGGAGATCTTCTCGTTGGTAACCAGCATGTCATACTGATCCTGTCGCGGCTTCTCCAGACAGACGGGCGAGCAGTGCAGACGCCGCTCTGTGCATAGCATAGACAGCACCGGCTCAGGGCCCTCCAGGAAGTCGACAGCTACGCCGTCGAGGCCCAGCGTAGACAGCTCCTCCGGAGTCAGCGGCGACCTGAACTGCGCAAAGGCTGTCGTGCATGTCCGTATCGTGACGGACAGGCCCATGACATCGTAGAACTGGTCACTGAGCTTCTTGTGGTCCTGTACGTTTTGCGCTGTGAAGCACAAAAAGTCGTCGTTTTGCAGCAACGACTGCACGAGGTTGGAGTATTGCTTGTCCTTGACCGAGCACGTGACCATCGGCGGCCCAAAGATTTCTTGGCTGAACTGGCTCTTGTTCTGCTCAAGCCACTGCCAGCCCTGGGCCACCTCAGGGGCAATCCGTTTCAACAAACTAAATTGCTGACCGCGCTTCGAATCGAGAACAGAAATGTTTCTCTCCACCTCCTGTCTTTCCGCGGAAAACTGCTCAGCTTGGCCCTTGATTCGTTCTCGGTCGGCTAGGATTTCGCGTCTCTCAGCCTCGACTTCGCGTCTCAAATGTTCTTTCTCTCGCTAGAGGCTTGTCAGCTAGGATTCGGTTCGGAGACCAACACACATACAAGGGAACATACAATCTTCATGTTCCACTCTGCTGCGACGAACTCTTGTGGCTTATTTTTGTGCTTCGCCTCCAAATTCGTAATCTTCTGTCGCGTTGCCGCGATCTCCTTCTTCTTCTTATCGAGCGAATCCTTTAGTGCCTTGCGCTGCTCAATGACCTCTTTGCGCTGTTCTTCAACGCGCTCGATGTCTTCCATAGCACGGGCTACGGTCTGTTCCGAATGCCTGACAGCAGCTTTTCGGGTGTCGAGCGCCTCCGCAAGACGCTGCTGATATACCTCCTTGTCGTTCACAGCCTCCAACGTCGGCCCTACGCGCTCCTGCAGGACCTTGAGCTCCTTTGTCGCAGCATGTTTCAGCGCCTTGAGCTTGTGGTATTTCTTCTTGGCTTCGTAGAAGCGCACCAGTGGCCGACAAGCCTCGAGATTGTCGACCATCCGCTGGACTTCCTCACGCTCGCGATATCGTTCCACATCAGCCTGCTGGGCTTGGTGGCGACTTTCAAGGACACGAAGCTGTTCAGCATCAACCTTCATCCGGTGTTGGGCCTCCTTCTGTTCCTGATATATCCGCTTGAGCGTGCTTTGCCATTCTTTCATTTCGGTTGGCGCTGCCGCCTCGAGTGTCTTTGCAAGAAGGTCGACAGAGTTGAGACCGGCAAACTCGGCGACGCGATCCTGGGGCAGAAACTGACACAGATTATCGACCTGAATGCGCAGATCCTGCATCACAGACTGGATTTTCCGTAGCGATGTCTCCTGGCCGTTCAGCCAAAACTTGCGGCTGTTGTCTTCCCGAGTAATGCGCAGCCGGACGACGAAGTTTTGGCGGTCTTTCGGCCTCTTCTGCAACTCGATCTCGACAATTGCATGGGATCGTCCATGCTTGACAAAGTCCCCAAAGGCGCTGGCACGGCCCAGGACGTTGGAGTGGAAGCCGAGCCCAAGGCAGATGGCACAAACCAGGGAACTCTTGCCAGTGCCGTTGGGACCAATCACCATGTTCAAGCTGGGGCCAGGATCAAACTCGGCACGCTCGTATGTTACAAAATTCTCGACGAACACTTTGACGATTGCGCCTGGTTGGAAGACTGGGCTGGAGGAATTTCCATCCTGCGCATCTGTCTCTGCCACCCCACCGTCGATGGCTGAGTGGAAGGTATCGTCTGCCGCTTCGTCTGCTTCGAGGTTTTCAATGTTACCAGATTCAATCGATGGACGCATACGTTTTGCTCTTGGGGTGGGACTGTTCAAGAGCTGGCTATATTCGTCTGCCTCGTCGTCGGCACTGGGTCTTCGGCGGCGACGCAGTGATCCGCCCTTGCCGGCGTGGGCATTTTGTTTTGTGGCAGACATTCTTTCGTAGAATCTCCTCAGATTAGGAGTGCCTGCCTTGGAGGCTGGACCTAATCTTCATTCTGAGTTCTGAATGCCCCTCTAGGCTTTTGTGACTGTCGCGAAACCAAACGAGACAATGGGAACAATTAGACGAATACGCGTCCAAATCGCGTCTAGACAAAAATTGTGGCGGTGTGAATTGTGGCTGTGCTAAACTTTGAAGTGTCCTTGCTATCCTCTGTCTTTCTCACGGCTTGGAGCAGTACTTAAAGCAACAGCATCATCCAGAAGAGTACCTTTTACACGAGCGTTGCACGTGTTTGTTGAGTACTTCCTTTATGGCCGGCCTACCTCATTACGGGTCTTGGCCCTACTCCGTACAGCTGAATGCATTGACTCTGGAGACTGTTGACTCGCAAAAGCAACAGCTTCTCTGCCTTGACGCGTACAAAGACCAGTGGTCGCGATAGTTACGATTTTCAGTCTTAGAGACGGCTCTGTTCTTTTCTTCTTCCTCCCTTGATCTTACCAGATCTGCACAGGAGCTAAAGACAGAAAGAAGCCACAGCAATCTGGTCAAACCGGGTTTGGCCTCCTCGACGTAGTATGCAGTCACAGCCAAACAATCTTATCAAATTCCAGTACGGTCTAATGTTCGCTAGTGATGCTGTGTTCTGGTTACGGTGACTATTTCATGGTGCATGCCAGTCAACGTGTCGACCTTGGCTTTAGTCCCAAACGCGCTGCTGGACTGCTTTTCATCCCTAGGAAGCTTAGAAAATATGCTGGGTTCCTCCACCCACATTTTGCCTATTGTCCTGTCATCGCCATATTCCCATTGGCCTGGGCTGCCCTTAATTCACTGGTCATCGCAACTTATATGACAAGGGACCGTTTGATTAGCATACACGATCATGTCGACCCTCGAAATGCCCGCATTCCAGCAGGCAAAAGTGGCCGGTTCACTCGACACCAAGCCCCTCTCAGCAAGTGGCTCGAGGACTGCTGTACGGCCTAATAGCAGCGGAACCTAGTAACAAAACGACCGAACATTTAGGAAACACATAAACGGAAAGAGCAGCCCATCGCACTTCTTTCCTTCCACTGACATTTACAACTGCCTCCCCGGCAACGGTTGTAAGACAAGGGAAATACAGACGAACGCGTGTCAGTATACAATCCAACGCGAGTTTCACATTTTGGTTTTGGGAATCAAAACCTCACGTCTGCCCTCCGCTTTCCAACATTTACAATCCGTCTTCCGAACGTTTCCTCACCGGCAGAGATTGGTATCTTCTACAGACGCACGCACACTAGAAGATCTCTGCTTCAAGCTGTCTTTGCTACATTTCACTCAATCGTTTCTTACCAACTTCTAAACCCCCCTGTTCTTTGTCACAAGCTATGCTGTAGCCCCTCCGGCAACAGCTTGCGGTTTCGACATGGCGTCCCGTGCCAGCTCAACAAGAATGGGCACACGTGTGCCTCTCAGTGACGCTACATCGAGGGCGAATACCACAAGCGTACCCCAGTCAGCTGCTAGAACAAAGTATGCGTATGCCCAATACGACAATGTTGCACCTGCCTCTGTCGGTGCAACATATGCGTTCTCACCTTCTGTGACGGCTTCTTCCCCGGCGCACGCCCCTTCCATAAATGCAACACCTCCCGCTATGGAGACTCCGACACGGGACTATGAGGGTGAGAGCAAGCGGAACTCAGCTGCCTCCCAGAACACACCTGACCGGCACTACTCATCATGCGATGGATTTCCCAACAAGAAATCTCACATTGGTCCTTGGCAATTAGGCAAGACGCTTGGCAAGGGTTCTTCTGCCCGTGTGCGAGCTGCTCGTCACTGCGTCACTCAGCAAGATGTCGCCGTGAAAATCATTGCCAAGAAGACGGCCCGCATGACCCAGTCCGGAAGCATTGCCATACTTGATCAAGTTGACAGCAGCTTGCCCGAAAACATTGATGGTGTTCGCCGCATGCCGCTAGCCATCGAGAGAGAGGTTGCCATCCTGAAGCTGATTGAGCACCCTAATATTGTCAAGTTGTACGATATATGGGAGAACCGCAACGAAATGTAAGCAAGGAACACTATCTTTATGTAACCTGATATTCATACTAAATTTGAACGCAGCTACCTCATCATGGAGTTTGTCGAGAACGGTGATTTGTTTACATATATCAACTGCAATGGTGCCTTGACGGAAGAATCGTCCCTTTTTGTCTTCCGACAGATGATGAACGCCGTCCAATATTGCCACACCTACAATATATGTCACCGCGACCTGAAACCGGAAAATATTCTTCTCAAGGCTGACGGTCAGATCAAGATCGCGGACTTTGGTATGGCGGCTTTGCATCAAGGGCCCCGTTATCATTTGCAAACGTCCTGTGGCAGCCCGCATTATGCAGCGCCAGAGCTCCTGAAAGCTCGGCCATATCGCGGTGAAAAAGCCGACATTTGGAGTATGGGGGTGATTCTCTTCGTTATGCTAGCTGGGCGGCTCCCATTCGACGAAAGTGACTTGGGCTATATGTTGGCAAAGGCAAAGAAGGGCATCTATACGATGCCAGCCCATTTCAGTCCAGAGGCAAAAGACCTAGTCCATCGCATTTTGCAGGTGGAGCCCGAGGTTCGCATTTCTATGAACGAAATGTGGCAGCACCCGCTTGTGTGGAAGTATGGCTATCTGGACGAATTTGGCAGCCATAGAGCAGATGGCCGTGGCGCCGGGAATCGGGGAACACACATGCGCCCGCTTGACTTGACAACGATCGATACCCAGATTTTCCGCCAGCTTCACTCCATGTGGCATACACTGCGGGAGGATGAACTAGCTGGTAAGCTTGTTAGCAATGAGCCCAACGACCAGAAGATGTTTTACTGGCTTCTTTTCGGCTACCGAGACCGACAGATGGAGAACTTCAACCCTACCCTTACCCACTCGATGAGCGACTATCATCATGCCAACCAGGTTTTTTCGAAGAAGGTGTCGACGCGTCAATTTTCGCAGGGCAAAGTGTCGGGCCACAAACGAAGCGTTTCCCGGTTTACCGTCATTTCGAATATCGCAGAAACGGAAACGGAAACGGAGTATGGCACCATCAGAAGCTACGACCCATACAAATCTTCGTCGGTGATGCGTTTCGATGATGCACGCGCTGCCAGTCATGCGAAGATCGTAATTCATCGATCAAATTCCGATGCAGAAGCTGAAGCGCGCTCTGCTGTCCAGGCCGAGGCCCAGAGGGCTAGAGCCGGGTCGGCAAACAAGAAGAGGATGACTGCTCATCACCGCCGCGGTACGTCGACGAACCTGAAGCTCTCGAGGGGTTCTACGAACTCTGTTCGTAGTCTGCACAGCATCAAAAGTGTTGGGAGGTATGGCGCCACCGTTGTGCGTCCTGCAACTCGGTATAGGCGAGGTGTCAACTTCTCGCAAGTGAGGAAGCCTTCAGGCCATGATCGGCAATCGAGTATCAGCAGCATCAGTGATATCAAGTACCGGGATGACACTCTTCTCTGGAACGAAGACCTCACGGAGTTCAGTTGTAAGATTGCCAGAGACTTGGATGAGGCTTTCATGAGTTCATTGCTCACTGTGGATATTGCTGAGAATGAGGATGGAAGGAACTCGCCATACTCTCTTCGGCTCAGTAGCCCGGACGTGGAGCACTCACTTTCAACACAAGCACTGCTTGCGGATTCCGACCCTTCACCGATATTGGAAACAACCGGGCCCGGCCATTGGGACTCTCGGCCATTGCCTCCGTCGCCGCCGCTGTCTGACTCTGTTCGGTTGGAGATCATGCAGGCTGAGGCTGACCGTGCACACCGCAAGTACTCAGCTGACTCTGGACCAACGATGCGTCCGCTCTCAACACCTGGAAACGCTGCCATTGCATCACCTCGTCCTAAGGTGGAGGCGAGCGCCTTTCCCGCACCTCTTGTGATTAGTGAACGGCGGGTCGTATCGGCGCCAGTCTATCCCAATGGAGGTTCAGACTTGCCGTCCATATATGAAGGGTTCCATGAAAACGGGTGCCGCAACGAGACGGACAAGCCACGTGCGGTATCCGCGCCGTCTAAGAACCAAGGTTTAAATGATCTGGCGATGGCTGAGAAGACTATCCGAGTGGTAGTGTCTCCCACTGCTCCTCGGAACAGGAGATCGATTGCAACCCCACAGCCGTTGGATGTGTCAAAAAATAGTAGCAGAGTGAATGCTAAGACGCCATCTTCGGAACAGAGCATCCGCCAGCAGTATATTGACGGCGAAGGGTATCGGTCCCGATATCACAATGAGTTTCCTGAACGTCAGCCGACCATTGTGGAGGAAGGCTCCAAGGAATCTCTGAGCAGCGGTTCGGGTTCGGGTCCCATTAAGATGCCATGGCTGTTCCGGCGCCAGTCCAAGCTTGAATCGCGCCGTGCAGAAACACCCGCAGCCTCAGTAGTCAACCCGCCCCAGGCTCTTCCTAGGAAAAGGAGCCTTTTCTTCCCGTTCTGGAAGAGCTCCAGGAGCAGCACAAAGCTTTCTGTCCTGGAGACGGATGACGAAAACAAGGCTAATAGCTGGGAGACAGTGAAGAGCTGGAAGCCAAAGTCGACGGAGGATCTAAAATCCAAGAAGCGCTTCAGTCGGCTGACTCTTCCTTCAGGCTGGTATGATGAGGACGAAGAGGAGCGTGGGAGTCGCAAGATTGATCCACAGCAGAACTGGCTGGCCAGAATATTTCACGTCAAGCCAGCGAAGCGCCATCTTTGCTTGAGCATTTCACAGCGCCGAGCACGCCAAGAGACAGTGTCTCTGCTACGGGAATGGAAGAATTTTGGAATTCGTGATATTGAGGTTGACAAGGTGAACAACATTGTCTTTGCCCGAGTTGCTGCGAACAACTGTGAGTCTATACCGATCCAACCATATAGGGGCACACACCAACACTGACTGTTTGCAGATCTCGGCATCCGCGAAGTCTCATTTGCGTGCGAGATTATTACGGTGATTGAGCACCGCAAGAGTAACCATCTGTGCATAATTCGCCTAACACAGGAGAGGGGCTCAGCCAACAGCTTCCACAAGGTGGCAGACACGATCAAGTCGAAGTTTCGCGAGCGTCATCTGCTAGTTGCGGACACCCGCAAATCCAAGATGATGGTCAAGACACTAAATTCCTGAATTTCGGAGTTGATTTAATGTTTTATTCGCATGATCTACTCTCCTTTTTGTTCCTTTTTTGTCCGATTTAGTTTTGCACTGACAGACTTTTAAGGAGCGAGGCATGTTTTCTTGTGTTGCATAACAGCCCTTCCTACCAATTTTTATTGTTTAATTGTCTTTTGTGATTATTTTCAGCTACTGGTTTTACTGAACATATATTTGGCGTTTGGCATTTTGATCTGTAAGAAAAAAACAACGGCGAAGGGAAAGAATGTGGCTTTATATTCAGAGTCGATGCATACAGAGCAGCGAACCTCATGCACACCACAAGCCTGATCCATCTTGATTTGTTGCATCGAAAAATTGTCACACTACGTTGTCACTGCGTTATTATAAGGGGCCGGAGTGCAAAGATTACTTAAGACGGGCTACGATCGTTGTAAAGTACGTGTAGCACATACAGATTGCCTTCTTTTTGCTTGCAAGAAACGCTAGAAGGACATGGCGCTCGATGTTGTATCTATGAGAAGCAAGACTCTTCTCCATCGTTGTTTTGTCTTCCGAAATACAGCTAAGACAAATAATGCAATACTACTTCATGTCGACGTATCTGATCTACCAACACATGATATCTGGCCATTGTACCTCTGCTATCTCAGTTCTGTGTCTTCCGTAGATAACTCCTGCAGGGATATACCCGGGATTTTACAACTTGAAGGCGAAGTCTGACCCTGGCTTCCCTTTCTCTAGGCCACGTATACTGCAGCAGCTGGGTAGAAACACGGATGAGGATGTTACACAGAAAAAAGCAAGGCGGAATTTGTCTTCGTATAGAAATATGCCGAGCGGCAAGGGTCAGGGTGATCCAATTTATTCTTACTTTACTCTCGAGCAGTCAGAATGGCTTGCTTCCCGGTCCAACCTCATGACACACAAAGTGAGGCTGCCTGGAGTGCCCGTGTTACCGATACCTTGGCAAGGGTTTCCCTAGGGTATGGTCAGCTCTTCGGCCAAGCGGCCAGCCATTCCCCAGGCGGTGGCGACTGTGCCGAGATGGTGAAACTGGGCTTGCTCTGCCTGGTCCTCTCGTTTCCCCTCCCCCTCCTTGAGCGACAACGGAAGCCTCCGATGGTGGTAGGCTGCTATGCAGTAACATTGGGATCCAGAGACAGGGCTGCAACGAGAGGTATGGGTTTAGGAGGTCTAGACAGGCTGTGCATCAATGTCTCTATTTTACATACATCAAAGTTAGACAATAATTGTCTTGCCTGTGCAACAGATGTAGTCCCCGCCGTGCATATATTTTGCTCATGCATGTCTCGTCAGACGAAGGGGACTGATGAGGAGAGTCAAGCCACACACTAGTCTATAGAGCAGGACAAATACACAAGGCAGTAGGATGCAATATCTTGTGCACGGCAATCTTGCGGCGAAAAGGCATGCGAAACAGAGAGACAGCGAGGGAAGGAGCGATCTTGGCTTCATTCCTTGCATGCTGCACGGACGGAAAGCACGGACGGATTACAAGTGTCAAAAGGGCCGCCCTTTTTAACGGAGTCCTCTGGAAGGAGTAGGCCGCTGCAAACGCAGATAAACGAAAAACATACCAGATTGAACACTAAGATGTCTTGAGCAGAAACGCAAAAAAAGAAACAGGCTCATGGGATTGATGGGGTACGTATTCACAGCAGTGCAATCCTCCAGGTTTCCTTTTCGAACGTTGATCTCTACCCTCCAATCTCGTGTCCCAGGCCCTGGTCACAATAACCTTGCGGACAGGTCGGGAGATTGAGGTTACGACTGGCATCGCACGAAGTAGCACGAGTACGTTTATGGAAGCATCCCTGTATTGGCACCCGAAGATAGTGCAGGCCGTCAAGCAAAATCGGCGTGGTCGCAGATGGCTCCCTGGGTCTAGCTCCGGACCTGCAACAACAAGAAGCAAATAAGAACGAAAATGGAACGACAGCGATTTCGTCACTGCCTCCATTTGCGCTAGCAGTCTTTTACATGTACAGCACGTGCGGTTTCTGCCGTCATGGCTCCGTATCTCGGATGCTCTTTTCCCCCCTTTATTTCCGCGTCTGCGGAAATGGAGAGGTAGATGAAGGGGTGGCAGTCAGGGTGCGAAACAGTATTCTTCGTACGTGTGACCGTGTTTGGGTTTGCCCTTGTACTCCGTCTACCTCTCGTATTAATTGCTTTGCCGTGTGGGCCGTGCAAACGTCCAACAATGCGGCTGAATTCTGGGTTTCTTGGGACGAGCTCCCCAAGACCCGGGGATGAAATCTGCAAGTACAAGTACGACAGCGACGTATTGCTCTGCTCGTACGAGTGCAACTCATGCAGGCGAGTCCGAGTATCTTATCTATCTGACGTATGTATGTATGTACGGAGTATATATCGAGCAATGTACGAGTACTATATCTGCGAGCAGCTTAGCCGGCCTCCCTTTGACCCGGAGCGGCTAGACTTGCATCATTTCGACTCTAGACCGGCAGGAGAGGAACAGATTCCGCTCAGCACAGTTCTAGCGAGCAGTGGGCCCGCCTAACCCATCTAAGCATACGAGCAGGGCGCCGCTTGCAGCCTATACATGGTCCGTAGTCGTAATCGAAGTAACTCATATGGGTATTGCCACATGGTTTCCTCGGGCTTCTGCGACCGAAGTGTCAGCATGTGGACTTTCGAGACCACCATCCCAAGCGGATGGGAAGTGCGACGATGGCGAGCACGAGACAGGCAGGAAGGAGGAGAAAAAGAAAAGAAGAGCCAGCTAATGCACGCTGCCAGGAGCTGGGAATGGCCGTGAAGCCCACCCAGTCGAGTAGAGAGAAGCAGGAAATCATGTATTGGCTGTACGGAGTATCGGTTTCCCCCTTTGTGTGAACAAATCCGAGGGCGAAATTTCTCCCTCTGCATTTCTCAGTGGCAGGAAGTTGGTGGTGACTCGTCTAAAAACGCCTAAAATAGACGAGTCTGGAGTCGCAGAGGTCGTATTGTAGGCCCCCGCTCTTCTGTGGGCACTCGTTCAGGTAGCTGAAAGAGGATATTTGCTCGTGGCGACGGCAGTACGCTACTATGTATGTATTCGTATGTGAGATACTACGACGTATGTATTCGTATGTGAGATACTACGACGTATGTAAGATGTAAGATATTATCGTCGGGACCATGTAACGGCCACTTTTTCCATATGTGACCCCCTTGCAAGCCATCTTACTCCGCAAGACACCAAGTAGGATGCCCATTGCTCGGAGCCGTCTGCCAGAGCCCTCCGTGCTACAGCGCCCTTGCTACTGGCGGTCTGAGGGTCTTCCAAGCTGTCAGGAAGTCTCTGCCCAGGGAGAAGTGCGAGTAGTAGGTGCGTCCGCGACCCATGGTTCGCCACCCCCAAGAGTCCAAGGGCTGGGATCTGCGTGAAATTAGCCCAATCGGTTGCAAAAACCTGGAGATGATGCTCACCTCTCAAGGGTGGTCTGGACTGGCCGATTTGCCCCGATCGACGGTAGACCTAAGCGACCGCACCAGAGAGAGCCGATCTCGACAGCGTTCGTCGAACACCGTTATAACGTTTTGCCCCTTCGAGTTTTCCAGCGGTATGAAGGGGAGGGAAGCGGCCGGTCTCCCAGCCTCTTAACCAGCTGCTTGCAGACTAGCGAGAATGCTCACCGCCCTGACTGAAGCCTGAGTCAGCAGTCCCCACGACCAGTTCAGCCCTGGTCTGTCCACTGAACGCGTGCCCGTCGTATACTTGTCACAATGCCCCCACATGCTTCTACGGAGTACCCTTTGCTATTTACGAGCATTCCGCATGCACTTTCAACAAGCTGACCCCCCTGCATCTGCTAGGATGTGGAATTCGCTCGCCCATACGGATTACTCGTGCATACTCCGTAGTTTGTCCTCTAGCAAGGCAGTAGGGCTGCGCTGACCGACCAATATTCGTCGTCGGATGCTGTTCTTCGGCCTGGAAACGGGAAACGGGATGCTATTATTAAACCATCGGGTCGAATCGATTGCACTGACGGTGGGAGGAGAAAGCAGGCTTTTGCAACAAATGACAAACAGACTCAAAAACAATTAGCTGGAGGTGGGAGCCCATTCCTGCCCTAAAATAGTGCCAATGCATCTCACAAATTGCCTGCACCAAGACACATTTGACAGGGGGGCTGCATGCTTTGTCTTTTTGGTCGCCGAACTGTGTAAATATTCTTGTACGTCCCGAGACAAGTTTTCAGTACTCCGTACCCTGCCAAACGACAGGATGAGAAAGCACGCACGACGGAGAGAAAAGGCTCAATGAAGACCAGACCTACGAGCATGCACGATGCACGGGACACGGGAATTCCGAATCAGTTGTCAGATGAGATACACTGAGTTGGGAGTCTTTGTAAATGCTACGGCTTACTCCGTATCGTACTATATACTGCAGTGGACAGGGGCAGCGCAGCCAGAGGGCCCGACCCACGTTGCGACTGATCAACGACGGCGGGACGAGGAGGCGAGAGACACGCGCAAGGGGGAGCGTTCCGTGGGCCGGCAGCCTCATGGGAGCTTGGAATCCCCACAGGAGAGAAGATCGTTCAGCCAAGGCGCCAACATCCCCATAGAACGACACGAGCATGATGGGATCGACAGTGAGCAGACGGCGAGGGCGAGAGGGGAGCACGCAAGCATTGCATTGATTTTAGTCGCTAGTCAGGCTCTAGTAGATGTCTCCCCAAGCAGCTTAAAAAAAAAAAAAAAAACAGGTGTGTGCCATGTGCAGAGGCGCCCGACCCGAGGGGATGAAGGGCGAGATCCGACAGACGGCAGAGGCGTCAGCGTTGGCGTTGGCGGCAGATATGCAGAGAGTTCATGACTGGTAGGAGAACAGGACGAGATCCAGAGTCGAAGCTAATGGGCAGATGGGCAAACGGGCAGATAAGACGAAAAGAGACGGCAAGTCCAGATCAGGAATGAACGGCAGGGTTCGGCCACATCGCCTTTGCCTCCTGTTGTCCGATCCAGGTCTGTCATATCGTGGCGAGCAATCTCAGGCATTGGGGACGGGCCAATGGGACCAGCGGCATACCGACGTAAGATGTGTAGCAGTAGTAGCATAAGACGGCTCCCTCTCCAGTCTCCGGACCTTTTAGTCAACAGGGCCTAGGCCCTTTCCCACATGGCTAATACATGGCTAATGGTTAGAGACCCCCGCTCCTTCTAGCCTCTATGTATCTTACCACATCTTACGATGGCCGGACAGGCGAGCAGGGGAGCGAGGGCCGCGCAGCCGTACATACAGTACAACTTGTATGTAAGCTAGTGCGATGCGTCCTTTGTCGTCTTGCCTGCTCTTCTTCCGGCCGCTCGGCCATGAGCCACAAGTTGGGAGCGGCGGACTGCCCGAATGCTACAGCCAGTGTTCCGGACCTGCGGTAAGCCTTTCCAACAGCCACAAGAAATATTAGAGTTAAACCGGTTGAGTCTTCGATCAGAGCATCTGCTGCCCTGGTCAATCGTCCCTGCTTCTCGAGACTCGCTCTCTGGCTCTTCCCTCCCTTCTCTCAGTCCATTGTTCCAGACCAGCCGACACGGAGAACGCGGTGCAAGATCGATTGCTAGCCCTCGACTTGCGCAGAACCAGACCCCCTTCACCAGAGGCGACGGCCAGTGCTCTAGAAGCTGTTCAGGCCACGAGACGGCAGGCGTTCCCCCCCCATTCGAATTTGCTCATTATCACTAACCCGGCTGCTCTTCTTTGTCTGTCCTACACTGTAGGTGAACACACTGCTGCACTGGCAATATTCTCCTGCCTAAACACAAATCCCAGCAGGGGAAGGCGCGGAACACGCTCTTGCCCTGGAAACTCTGCTCCTTCTCTCGAAGATTTCCAAGAGAGCTTCTCATAGACTCCTATGTATTTTTGATCGTGCACAATTGGGGGAAAAAACTCATCTGAGAGCTTCATCTAAACGAACTCTGTTGCTCTCCATTCCAACTTCTATGTGCACCCCCCGGATTGTGCATCTTGACGCCCACTCTAGTCCCATCTTTCACAAACACCCCCCTCCACCCTTCCACCCCTACGGAACACCCCTGTCAGTTTATCTTCCCTGTCCACTCACTTGCTCTCTTTTTCTTTGCTCTCTTTTCTCTCTCACCAGAGCTCGCCGGACCACAGCCTTCTCTCGTTTGTCCTTCCCCCCTTCCTCATCCATTCACTTGGACACCTCGTCTCCCCGAATGGACGGCTCATCTACGACTACAGCAGCCCAACGCGCACCGCTCTCCCACAGCTCAGGAACTGATCGTCTTCTACACGCCCCCCCTCCTAAAATCAATGACGAGTCCCTTGTCCTCTCCAAAAAAAAACCCAGAGGCCCAAACCCGCTTTTTCTTCCTTATTCCTAGACTGTCCTCCCATATACCCACCACAGCTGCAGCTTTGATTCTCTCGTCACAACCACGTACTATCCATTCACACCCCGACCAGCGGAAGCCTTTGGGGGTTCTCTTGACTTTGATTCCCAAGGCCCTGTCATTTTGCCTCTGCATACTACCACTGCTGGTCCACGATTACAAGTCATACCACACTACCTCTTCACCACGGGACTGGATACCTTCCGTTTTTTGTTCAATACATCCACACCCCTTTTCAGCCTGCTCCTGTCTCACTCCTTCCTCGAGTAGCAGTCTCCTGATCTCCGGACTCTGTCAGCCGGTTCAAAAGCATTGGTATATTATTACATATTGCATTTGGCGCTCGTTGTGCACCCAAGGATTACGAGTTGAGTTTCCGCCCTCTACAAGTCGCAATTGAATGCAATAGCGACGATCGAGAGGCCAACTGCACAAACCGAACGGGCGGGCATATCCGCATCAGACACAGACCAAATACTCCGTTGTCTTGGAAGAAAACGGAAAACTAGAAGGGATTGTCACTCACTTTTGGAGCTGACCCAGATGAGCCCGCCGGACTCGCCTGTCCTCCGAACACCAAGCCTTCCTCGAGACAGGGGCCAATATATGACTCTGCTTTTCGTTGGGCCCAGCACGCTCGCTGAATTTTAACGTCCTTCTCCATACAATTATTCAGTCCCGATCCTCACTTCTGCTAGAGAGCGGGAAATCTAGCCAGACGTTCTTTTCTAGTCTGTCTGGCACTCGTGCCCCTTTTCTCGGCCATCTTTGTTCTTCCGTCGGCGTGGAAGCACTGCCTGCCATTGACCGCTTTCTTCCGTCCCTTGTCATTAGCCTCCATCTTCAACGATCTATTCTTAATCAGCCTCTCCTGCCTAGCACCTTTGCGGGCCTGACGCTTGACGCCTCACCCCCTCGTGGTTCAAAGCAACCAAAACTCCCCCTCATCCCCACCCTCCTACTACGCTTTACCGGACAGGCTATCCAGACATCTTTTTGTGGCACGGCCTTACAAGGGCTTACAAGGGAAACCGCCTAGTTGTCTGCTTGTCCCCCCAGGTTTGTCCAGATTAGGGTAAGACCCGAACTATCCAATATCGTGCAACAAGCGCCTGCCCTTATAACAAAAGCGACATACCTCCCCTCCCTGGTTCCTCATCATCGAGCAAATGATGAGATAAACGAATATAGGAACACTCTTGACAATCATTTGTGCTCCGTTGCTACATCTAGTTCAGGCCTTCCGGATCTGTATTCTGTCCGGGTTACCCACACACACCCAAGAAGTAGTTGAGCACCAGTTCTTCTTTCTCGTGGTCATAGCTTCCTTCCGACTTTTATTTACTCCTCTGCTCGCCATACCCTTCCGTCTCTCAACAGTTTTTTCCCACGCCGAAGACGCAAAGAGTAACCTCACGAGTTGTGACCAGTGCCTGCTATTTGAGTCAAACTCAAACGCGAAACACCAGCGTCTACTTTACTTTCCGGTAAACTGCTTCTTTTAATCTCATTATCTTCTTTTTTCCTTTTACCCCTCCTTTTTCTCCTTCGTGCGTGGAGCAAGGCCGTGACGACTGCTATCACACCCGACCAACGTGATATCGCGACTCGTGGGCAACAACATCCCCTTCATCCTCGCCATAGAAGCCTTTCACTATCTCAACCTACGACCTGGCGTCCTAAGCTCTGAAGACAACGGCGACGCAGCCGGTTCAATTACTTTGTGGGCTTTTCACTTGCGAGCGACCCGACAACGTACTTTTGGATCAAAAGTCATCGAATGAAACCGCCGACCACCATGGAAATAGGTAATTTTGCAAGCAGGCGGCCACCCATGGCTGTCACGGCCGGATCTCTATCCGCATTCTCACTATATTCTCCTGACTTCAGCCAGGATACCCCCAGTACGCAAGATGAATGCACCAGCGCTCATGCTTAACGGCTCTGCATTGCCGGCCCCGCCCAGCACCTCTCCTACTGTTTCTTTTCGCTGGCTTCTTCGATTCTCCCTGTCACCCGATCTTTTATTTCACTTATTTATCACTTGCTCATAGTGTTCTGGTTCTAATACTTGATAGGGTTCTCTGGCGCCAGACTTAGTTCCTCTTCCATCCAGGCAAATCAGACTGGAAGCGGCAGTAGCAGCTCACATAAGTTGTATCCCGACGGCTCCATCTTCTTTTCCCAAGGCCAGCAGCAACAGGAGTCGTGGCCTGAGCCGGAGCAACAGCCCCCACACACGATCAGCTATAGATCCCAGGCCCAAAGGAGCGAGTCGTCAGCGACAGCTTCTTACTCCTCGTACAGGACCGGAGCAACGGGTGGAACACAGACGTCAGCATCTACCAGTCCTTCTGCATATTCCCCATTCACCAACCCAGCCGATGCTGAATCGACAGACACCTGCGACACTTCTCTAAACCGCCAACAAGCATTGGAGCAGATGAGTGTTTCTCTGAACCCACCCGTCTCCTTTGGCGGTCACACATCGCTGGTCTACGATCATCTGGCACACTCGCACACGCAGCCACAGAGCCATTCGCCCAGCAGCCAAGGCGGACAGCTTCTTCGCCCTCTTTCGCAACAGTGGAGCTCTGCTGGATCGGTAAATCCAAATTCGGGCCAGTACAGTCACCATACGACGCCATCACCAACTGCCCACGACAGTCACTTTACACATCGGGATCCGCCTGGCTTTCAGTCGACAATGTCAGAAGGACATGGGAATGGGGATCATGGGGGGAACCTAGGCGGATATGGAGATATGTCGAGCCAACAGCATCATCCGCAGCATCAACAGCAATATCAGCAGCGGCATCAACATCAGCAACAACAACAACAGCACCAGCATGGCCAGCATAGCCAGCATCACCAACAGATTCACGGTCTCCCAGTTACATCATTGCATAGCTCATTACTTCCGCCAACACACGGTCAATCGAGCTTAGGGGCTTTACTAAGGCAGGGCAGCGGGAGCAGCAGTGCAGACTCAGAAGTGATGGCATATCGTGAGCAGCCTTCTGTCCACACGACAGCAGAGTCTGCCTATTTACCGAAGTTGAACCAAGTAGCGCCACTATCGAGCCAGCAACAATACCATGACTACTCGAATACTGATTACCATCGCCGACAACAAGGGACGGCTAACGACCCTTCCATGCGATTGGTTCCTCCTCATATGGCAGCCCAGGCTGGACTGCCGGACATGGCACACCCGATGAGTTACTCTGCCGGCCCGGGTCCAGACCGCACATATCCGTACCATCAATCGCCGTCAAGCTCAATATCTGGTCCGGTGATGTCCAACATTAGCAATCCAGGAGGTCATATGAGTATTATACCAGGAGTTGGCATGCCCTTTGGAGGCGGACACAAGCCACTTCTCTACAGCAACGGCCACCACACGATCCCTCATCACTTGGGTGGCAATTTACTTGGCCACCACCTAGGCCTGGGCAAAGGGTCTCAATCGCACGAACGGCCATTTAGATGCGACCAGTGTCCGCAGTCCTTCAACCGAAATCACGATCTAAAGCGCCACAAGCGGATTCATCTGGCTGTCAAACCATTTCCCTGCAATTACTGCGACAAGAGTTTCAGTCGGAAGGATGCCTTGAAGGTATGCTTCCATTCATAAACCAGATGCCATTTATGTTTGCATCATCTGTCTGACCATACTTTGCAGCGCCATCGTTTGGTCAAAGGTTGTGGGGATAAGCTGCAGAACGCGGAAGGGGAGTCGTCTGCCGGAAGCATCGCGCACAGCGACGGGGGCGGCAGCAGTATAATGAACAACGATTCGAGCGATATGGCAAGCGATGACCACCAGAGGTGAGAGCAGAAGCGAGATTTTTCTCCCCTGCCTTAGTAAGGGTTCCCGCCCGCGTTTGGGTCATGATATATGTTGTATTTTGGGGGCTAGACTCGTACATTTGCGAGGACAATGTGCACTGGACAAGCAAGAGGGAGATTTATTTGGGACGACAAACGCGATGCTCTGGCGCCAGGGATGCGAGAAGGAGAAATGCTTGGGGGTTGCATGTTTTCTTGTATATTTAAGACGGTCATTGTTTCGCGATCTTATATTGATGACATGGGATTTGGACAAACAGGATAAAGCGCACTTGGGTTGAAAGAGGATACCATATCATACAGAGGATTGCGTGCCTTTGATTCCCCAGGGATAGCTACTGCTGCTCTAGTCTCACAGGCATCAAACTGCACGGTTTACTGTTTGATGTTTGTCTTGAGCGTTTAATAAAAGACGACTCTACCCTATTTCCTGCCGGATGCCTCTCCGGCTGGGAGCTATACAAAAAGAGAGATGATATGGAGTGAATTTTTTCACCAAAAGTCAAAGCCGCTAGAACCCACAAATACCAGGTTATTTTCCCACAAGGCCAATTTCATGCCAATCCCCTACAGCTTCGAGGCTGGTCGGGCACTGCCGACAGTGGTTATCTCGTCGTACAGGAGCCTGGAAGATGGTTAGCAAACGAGTCTACGTCTTGGGAAAAGCCGGGTAACTCACGTGGTCAGGAAATCAGCGTAGTCCTCGCCGGTGACCTGAGTGGAAAAGTACTGGGCAGCCAGCTGGTACTTGTTGCCGGCAGGGGCCTTGGAGGCGAGCGCGTCGGTCTGCTCCTTGAGCAGCTTGAGGGCATAGGCCTTGTCGATGCGCTTGCCCTCAGCGGTGGTGACGCCGTGACGCACCCACTGCCAGATCTGGCTACGCGACACCTCGGCGGTGGCAGCATCCTCCATCAGGTAGTTGATGGGCACACAGCCGACGCCACGAACCCAGGCCTCCATGTATCCGAGGCCGATGCTCAAGTTCTTGCGGATGCCAGCCTCGGTGATCTGACCGGGCACGTTCATGTTAAGCAGGTCGTTGGCGCCAATGTGCACATCCTCACGGCGGACGAACAGTTGATTCGGCGTCGGCATGTACTTGTTGAAGACCTCGGTGGCGATGGGTGCCAGGGCCGGATGGGCGACCCAGGTGCCGTCATGGCCGGCACGCACTTCACGCAGCTTGTCGGCACGCACGCCATCCATGGCCTTCTCGTTGGCGACTGGGTCGTCCTTGATGGGAATCTGGGCCGCCATACCGCCCATGGCGTGAACACCACGACGGTGACAGGTCTGGATCAGCAGCTTGACGTAGGCGTCCATAAAGGGCGACGTCATCGTCACGGCGCTGCGGTCGGGCAACACAAAGTTGGGGTTCTGGCGGAATTTCTTGATGACGGAGAAGATGTAGTCCCAGCGGCCGCAGTTGAGCCCCGAGCTGTGGTCGCGCAGCTCGTAGATGATCTCCTCCATCTCAAACGCCGCCAGGATCGTCTCGATCAGCACCGTGCCGCGAATCGAGCCACGCGGAAGGCCGACGTAGTCCTGTGCCAAGTTGAACACGTCGTTCCACAGCCGCGCCTCCAAGTGCGACTCCATCTTGGGCAGGTAGAAGTAGGGGCCGAAGCCGCGTGCCAGCGACTCGCGCGCGTTGTGGTAGAAGTACAGGCCAAAGTCGAAGAGCGAACCCGAGATGGGCACACCGTCCACCGTCACGTGCTTTTCCTCCAGATGCCAGCCACGAGGCCGCACGATGAGTGTCGGCAGCGTGCGGTCTGTCCGCAGCTTGTATTCCTTGGGGCCCTGCTTGAAGTCGATCTGCCGCCGTACAGCGTCGTGCAGGTTGACCTGGCCATTGATCATGCTCTCCCACGTCGGTGCACTGGAGTCTGTTGAAGGACCGTTAGCGATTGGATGCAGAAGACAGTGAGGATGACGGGCCACGATCAGACTCACCCTCAAGATCGGCCATGTACGTGTACACATCCGAGTTCAACGCGTTGACCACCATCTTGCGATCGGTCGGCCCGGTGATCTCCACACGGCGGTCAATCAGCCCCGGAGCTGGTGCAGCTCCCTTCCAAGACGGATCCTCGCGGACGGCCTTTGTCTCGGGCAGGAAGTCAGGCAGCTGGCCGCGGTCGAGTTCAGCCTGGCGCAGTTTCCGGCGTTCCAACAGGCTCTTGCGTGTGCCATCAAAGGACCGGTGCAGCAGTGCCAGGAACGACAGCGCCTGTGGTGTGAGTATTTTCTTCTGTTCATCGTTGACCGCGCCGAGGACATTCACGCCCTGGAGAATTGTCTCGACAGAGGCCATTTTGTTGATGGCTGATTGCCCAGACGAAACAAGGGATAAGATAAGAGAGAGAGAGAGAGAGAGAGTAACGGGAATCACGAGGTTGGAACAGACAAGCTAGATTTCCAGTATGTACGCGGACAGAATGGAAGAGGAGATTGAGAATAAGAATGAAAATGAAAATGAGAATAAGAACGGGAAGGCGGGAGAGGATGACGCACGACTAAAATACTGTCTGCTCCTGCCTCCTCTTTCTGCTGTTAGCAGCTGCCCCATTTCTCCGTCGGCCAAGCGAGCCGCACGTTTGACTGACGTCCCGAGAGAGGCCCTTTCCTTTCTGGAAAAGTACACTAGCTAGCTCCTTGCCCGTTTGCCTCTACGTGTTACTCGGGTGAGAGGACCTGCGCAACCGGTGGCGAGGCACCGCCGACCACACGGGCGATACATGACAGAAAGAACAAGGGCGAGACATGGAGCTTGTGAAAGTGTAGAGTGTGGGGAAGCTCGGCTCTTGATTGGTCTGATATGCTACCCCGGCAGCATGTGCTGAAGCCGTGGTGAGGTCATGAGGGGCCGACCCTCTTCGTGCAGGTTCCTGCTACAAGGATCACGCTCGTAGCCTCTGCTCTGCGAGCACGGAAGCCGGCGACTCACGGTTGACGATCCCACCAAACCTGCTCGCTAGCACGGGCCCGAAATGAGAAAAAACCGAAGAGTTACTCCAGAAAGATGGAGAAGCTCTACCGATGCGGCGTTATACCTGCTTCTTTCCTAATTGGGCACAATTGCCATATGTGGTCTAGCGCTACCCTGAAGCTTTTTGCCGATGTCGCGACCGAGACCTTCGCCGTGCCAATCCTTTGCCCAGCATCCTGCAGAGCGAAAGACCGATCCCGTTTCAACGCCGCTTGCTGATCCTGTCCGGCATGTGTGCGGCTGGCCTGGACTTCTTGGAGTAGCTCCGCTCTGCCGAAGCCCACAGTGCCGAGGCTTATTAGCGTGCCTGGGCCAAAGGGAACCTCGTAGGTTTGTAAAGAACTCCATCTCCCCACGGTCAGCCGACTTCTTAGTCACCATCTTCCGATGTCTGCCGAAGTTTCCACATCACGTGTCGAAGCAAGCTGTTACTATGTCGACACAATAAGCGTCTTGATCTACCTAACATATCTCGAAATACATGAGTTTCTTCTGACAAGATTGGAGCTGCCTATTCGCACTCATAGCCCGGGGTTCCTCCCCATTGTCCGAATATGTTCCAATATAGTCTTCCTCTTCACGGCCTCGGTGTGCACGTTGCTTACCAGGCGGTTGGGCCACTTACACCCCCTCCACCACCTCCCCACGAATTGCCCTGACCAACGTTGACGCCTCCCCAGGCATTGTTGTCCTGGCCAGATTTGCCGCCATAGGCACTATTGCCAGAATTATTGGTATTCCCATTGCCTCCAGTTGCGATGCTGGTATTGTCATTGCTGCCCCAGGCATTGCTAGCATTGCCAGCATTGCCAGCATCGACAGCATTGCCGGTGTCACCATTGCCACCCCAGGCATCGCCAGAATTACCTGTATCGCCATTATCTCCCCAGGCATCGCCGCCCCCATTCTCATCTCCACCTCCAGTTTGTGAGCCCTCATAGTCCGAATCTGCCTCGAACTTTAGGTTTTCGCGTGCCTCGCCCTCGGGCACATACTGCTCCAAGAAGTCGGGAATTGTCTGCTTGGTCTCAAGAAGAGTGCGAGTTAGAACGCTGGCAATAGGCTCATCGCGGTCCGTGTAAAATGACGTAGCAAGGCCGCGGTGGCCAATGCGACCCGTACGTCCTGTTTTTAAATAGTGTCAGCATACATTAACATTGGTCTATGCACGATGGCGGCTCCGCCTTACCAATTCGGTGAACGTATTCTTCAATGCCACCATGGTCACAGCTCGGGAGGTCATAGTTGATGACGTGGTTGACATTGTGGACGTCAATGCCACGAGCGGCAACGCCGGTGGCGATCAGAATCGGACACTCTCCACTGCGGAAAGCCCTCATGGCATCTTCTCGTTCCATCTGCGTACGTCCAGCGTGAATCGAAGTGCACGGGAGGCCGAGGTTGTACAGAAGATCGTCCAGTTCATCAGCCATCTGCTTTCGGTTGACAAAAATTATGGTACGCCCGGGCGGGATGGAGTTGAGAAGCTCAACCACGGCCTTTCGCTTGTTTGCGGGATCTGTGTACGAAATAACCTGCTGGATGTTGCCATGGCTGCTGCCAGCCCGGCCAACACGGAAGTGGATGTGATCATTGGCCAGATACTCTTTGGCAAGGTCCCGAAGAGGCTTTGGGAATGTAGCTGAAAACATCATGTAGTTGATGTTTGCATCTTCCGAGTCTGAGAGGCCGAATGTTAGTCACCAAGTCAGAAAGCCTGCGAGGTTACGAATGGCTTACCGCCACCAGATAGGATCTTCGCCAGATCTTCACCCCAATCGTCGTGAAGCATCTCATCAGCCTCATCGAGAACCATGTATCTGACACGACGGAACGAGAGGTTCATCGGGCGATTCATGACATCAATTAGTCTACCGGGGGTAGCGATCAAAAGATCACACCCACGGCTAAGCTGCTCCAGTTGTCCACGAATTGGCCCACCGCCGTAGATAACACACGGTCGGAGCATGGTGCGGTAGCAGAACTTGCGGGCCTCGTTGAAAATTTGAATCCCGAGCTCACGGCTGGGAGAAACAATGACAACAAGAGGCTCTGCACGCGCGATCGGGTCGAAGCCATGCCGGTACGTAGCAGGGTTGGGTCGCGGAGCAGCAAGCTTTTTGGCCTTTCCCATGAGGTTGTTCAGAATCGGGATGAGGTAGGCTGCAGTCTTTCCCGAGCCTGAACGAGGATGGCACACATTAGATACCTGTGTAGTCGTTTATATGGCGACTTATTGCCAACGTACCGGTCTGAGCAATTCCCATGACGTCAAACCCTTGCACGATGGCAGGGATACAGTACATCTGAATGGGCGTGGGAACGTTGTACCCGGCCAGCTGAACGTTGCGGCGCATGGCCGGGTGAAGCCCTGCATGGTCAAAGTTTTCAATAGGAGAGATGCGAGTCTCTCCCTCCTGTCGCACATTGATCTCTGTGAGCCTAGACCGGGTTATACTTTAGTAAACGTCTCTGGTAATCAACATCACACGATGAGGTAGGGATGAGACAAACGTGGAAAAGTCGATTCCGGATCCAGATCGCTTCTCGGGGTCTCCAAAAAGCTCAAGCTCAAGATCTTTAGATTCTGGGCCAACGTCTCCTTCTTCACCACTCCACTCGTAAACTCTCGCATTTCCGGCCCAGTCTCGCACGGTGTTCGGGCCCTCGGAGTAGGCCTCGTAGTTGTAAGCCTTTCCTTCGACCCAACCGGCATCCTTGATCTTCTGACGCTCAGGTTCGAAGCCGGGGAATAGCTCTGGCTTGACCCCAACGTCGAATCCATGCTCTCCGGCGGCGTTCTCACCAGATAGATCACCAGATAGATCACCAGAAGGATCATTCATTCCCGTGGGCCCGGTTTGAGGCCCAGAACCCCAAACAGTGCCTCCAGAATTACCGGCTTCCTGGGTGGCGCCATCGTCCCAAGAAGGTGCAGGCATGATATTGAGCCTTTTGACACTATGCGCAATCAATACAAGGATAGTACACGATTAATCTATTGGTCATCTGAAGAAAAGAAAAATGTTTTAATGGTAGAAGGGGGAAGCATAGTTATTTCTTCGAGGTAATTCAAAGACAAAAGACAAATCCATAGGCAGTGTTTGAATAGCGAAGAGACCGTAGAAAATCGACATACCTGGCCTGACTATAGAGGTGAGTAGGCGATGTTATCTTCAAAAAAGCGACTGTCGGGGAGTTAGTTATCTCCTTGGTACTGTAACTTCATTGATGACGAAAAGATAATCAACGCCTGTAGCGTCTGCACAAAGAGGGGATATGTGAGAGGATGGTACATCTGTGCCATCTTCTTGGTTGATGATTTGTGCCTCAAGATATCGAGAATGGACCAACAAATGTGAAGAAATAAACAAGATGGGGGAGTATACTGAATGCCCTGACGAGGCGATCGGATAGACAGCAATGGAGGAGGACTTCAGCAAAAAGACTGGATGAGGGAAGGATATGATGCGATAACAGCTTCCGATTTGGTCTCTCCGAAAGAAATATTCTTTGGCAGATTTTGGAGGGCTTCAAGAAGAGTATACAAGACAAGTGCAACGATGGAACCATGCGACGCATGAAAGGATGTCGTGAAGAGATGTGTAGAAGCACTTACTTTCGTAACGTTTGTTCAGGCTTGTGTTTGTAACCCGCAAACGAATTTCAAACGACACCTGTCTGTGCTGGCGTTGTTGAAATAATAAAAAAGAAGAGGAAGGAGGCGAGACAGGCATCAAAGGTGGAATAAACTCGTAGAAATAAAAAAAGGGGGAGGGGGCGGCAGAAGGGCCGTGACACGAGGGGGCCAACAGCTTCACACCACCTTCCGTTGTGCATAGTCGAATCAGGAAAGTGCGTCTGTAAGTCCAGGATAGTAGCGCGCCTGCCTTAACGATGTGAAAGACGAAAGACAGACGTGGTCACGGTCTAAGAGTTGCTATGGGGGCTCTGGAGGACCTGAAGCAACGCGGTCATACCTCTGATTCGCGCACAATACGACAGCAACAAGGCTTATAGCAGAAATTTAAGCGAGACAAGAATAGTCGCTTAGTTCCATATGGCTACGCGTCGCAGCCAGAAGGTTCTTCCGCATCAAGCGAGAGACTCCAGCAGCAGATGCGATTTACATGTTCGAGAGTATCACCCTTTGATCAGCTACTTTGCCGTAAGGTCTGCCTGCATATCTCACTTTCTTGATAACCTAGCTGATAGTAGTAGAATCATAGTCGCTCATGCCCGTCTCTAAAACATCGCGAAGCGTTGCTGCCGCTCGTCCCACAGCACCACCCTCCTTCCGCGCTTCCTCGACGCCTGTGGTGATGGTCGGCTGCCAGCGCTTGGCAAACACCCGCTGCCGGTCCTCGCGATCCGCATACATTTCACTGTCTTCGTCCCGCGGAGCTCCGAAAATGTTTAGATGTCCAAAAGGGTTCGTCTTGGCAATGGTTGCCGTGGCCGCCGGCGGCCGATAGAGGCTGTCCCAGAGGACCTTTGGATCATACGGAGAGGGCTGTTCTCGGCGCAGGCCAATCTCAAGAAACTTGGCCAGCGCAGCGATCTGCCGGGCATATGCCTGGCCGCCTGTGGCCAGCCGCCGGCCGCCGCTGCTGCTGCCGCTCTTGGTGGCGATCGCGGCAAACGACGACTTGGGCGCCGAGCTCCAGCCAGAGCCCACGCCTCCTGCTCCTGCTGAGCCTGGAGGCGGAGGTGCCACCCACCCCATCATGGCGCCAAAGCCGTTCAGCGTCTTGAGCCAACCGCCCGGGCTTGAGACCAGGTCCTCGCCAGCGACCTCCAGCAGCCACTCCAGCGTGCTCAGGGCGTCATCGCGCACGGCCGACGACAGATTTGTGATGCCGGCACGCACGTAGAGCAAGATCTTTGCGGCCATTGGGCGCACCTCATCAGGCGGAAGGGCACGGAAGAGCTTCAGCAGCTGGGTGCGTACAGGAGCGGCCGGGTCAGAAATCAGGGGCAGCAGTTTGCTCAGCACCCCGACGGTGCCCACTGGATTGTGGCTAGTGCTTCCACTGCCATTGCCACTGTTTCTATCATTCATTCCTCCAGAGATTTGGCTCGTCAAGTAAGCCAGTGCATCGCGGCGCTGGTTGTCCGACCGGGACGACGCTGCCAGCGACAGATTGTGCCGAAATTGGACCGCTGCTTCTGGGGCTGTCTCAGAAAGAGACTGCTGATTGACAACGATGGCTGGACAAGTCAGTCGGAGTATCTACCCGGCACCATGAAGAAGAAGTTCACATACATTTGGACCTGAAACTTGTGTCCGTAAAGTTGGTCGGCTTCGCTCTTGCTTTGCCCACTTTCAACTTTGTTTTCTGTTCGGAGTTTCCGTCAGCCTTTCTTGCTCACATTATCGTATCATTGTTCTGCTTGCTAGTAAAGCAAGCTTCACTTACCTGAAAGTCCTTCTTCTTCTCATTCTTCTTCCGCGTGCTGGACCCCATGTTGCTGCAGTCATCGTCTGCCAGATACGCCACTCATAGCTCTCGAGAGAACCGACTCATGGCGGAAAAACAAGCTTTGCGATCAACTTTTTGGCGGTGAGACCAGGCAGAAAGACACGGGAGCACACTGATATCACCACAGTGTGGGGTCTCCCCATTTGTGCAGCTCCACGATTTGATAGCGCATTGCACACCACAAACAGCTATCAGGGCCCAATTGGTTAGAAATTACGTCCAATATCGCCCACCTCTCCTGCCCCTTTCCTCGAGCTCGCGACGGAAGCTTGGATACTTTGCGCCCACACCGACAAGATGGCAACAGACTTACCGGTGAGTATGGGGAGCACAGTCGCACTGTCCCTGTTGGCAACTGTTTGCTTCACACGGCTAACGCTGGTACGTGGTGCCGATATCCCGCCAGGCAGGTAACGGCAGTGAAGTTCTCGAGGAGACGCTGGGTCGTCTCTCCAAGAAGGCCGGCGTGAAGGCTACAATACTACTGGACCGGTCATCAGGGGCGATCCTCAAGATGGAGGGCCAGATTACAATGATCCGAACAGCTGTTGGGCGCACCCGGAACGGCGTGACCGAAAGCCCAGCAAGCCCAGCCCTGGGTGGCTCATTTGCAGGCGATGCCAGTAACAACAACCTCAGCATCGACGTCGACGAACTAGATGAGACCCAGGGTGCGCGGGAGCTGGCTGGTCTGGTGTGGAATTTCGTCAAAACGTCGGGAGACCTGGTTGAGGCCATCGACACAGAGGTGGGTTTGACATGACACGCGCTCGCGGTTTTGCTACATCTAACGTGGAGAAGGACGAACTGAAGCTGCTCCGATTACGAACCAAGAAGCAAGAACTCGTCATCGTTCCCGACTCGAAATACCTCCTGATCGTGGTTCACGACACCCCTCCCGCATAGCCTCTTGAGGTGAAATGGAAATGGCAAGCTTGGGAATTCTAGTTCGTCTGAAGTGTGGCCTCAGACCGATTCCAACCGGCGCTGGCATCTGGCGGGCTGCCGTTGGGACGGAAACGGAGACGGAAGCTAGAGGTCATTGAGACGACAGCAACCACGACGTATGATGAGATTACATGTGGAGACAAATCCTATGTGAGATTGATATACCCCCAAATTGGCCTGAACATCCCACTGTGCGTGTCTGGGAGCGGTGGACAGCTGGAAGGGGTGATCGTCGTAAGAGCAGCGTCCGTGTCGCCACGGTCACCGTGACTGCTACGCATCCAAGAAGGGCGGTGACGGTTGTCGATCCATTAGAGGGGATCACAGCCCCTGATTCTGCGTGCTCACCGTCCGCGTACGTGTTGAATGGGTGCCACGGCAGCAAGGTTCGCGAAAACCGCTGGCACTACGGAGTACCGGTGAGCGCTGTATTGGACTTATCTCTCCATCAAACCGGTGGGTCATGGAACATTCTTTGGCTTCGATGCCCCGTCCTATGTACTCCGTACGGAGTCTGCAGGGTCGTAATCGCCAGTCCGGGGTCAGGGGTCCCGCGATTTGAAACGCATCTCGCCTTGGTGCCATTCGTGGACTTGAAACACATTGCCCAAAAGCCTGTTGGCAGTGGCCCTGCTGGGAAATATGTCCAGAGATCCTCGGGCATCTACGGAATACTATGCACTCGTAGGGCTCGCCGAAGGAACGACTGTGTTCCACCCCAAACCTAATCGGAAACAGCATGCAAACGCAGCTTCGAGAGAGCCGTGATTAAAGGACCACAGGGCGGCTGACTTTTATCTCGTAGGGTCCCTACACGGACGGGATGTGCGCTTTCTATGGGGTGCTGTGGTATTTTATTTATAAAGTTACAATTTAGGCATAGATACACCCATGCTGCTGCCCCGTGATAATACTCCGTAGGAATAACAGGATGCGTACGCAGCAGGCCGAAATGTTGGACGAGGCGTAGAAGAACGGCCGGGACCCTCAGCCTACCATCCGTCGTCTTGGCCGTGCCTTTCCGTTTCTCATTTTGTTTCCCAGGCTGCTGCGTTGCAGTGTGACCGAACCACCCTCCGTCCTTCTTAAGCCCCCCTCCTTCTGTGCTGGTGCTGAGATGCCCTCGACTTCGTCTCATTCATTCTATTCTTGCCAGATTTCTTAGACTTTCTCGGACTCCTGTTCACGCCTCGGCCGATTGCCACACCACGTCCGATCCGCAAGCAATTGAGCGACCGCAGAACACAGACAGCTCATTTTCCGCGATGCTGTCCTTGCCCAAGCTCAAGCGTCCCGGCCGCGACGTGTCTCCGCATTCTTCGGAGCGCACCCGGAGCCAGAGCGATGCCATCGTCACGACCGGCAAGGCTTGGGAGCACGGGGACGGCTGCACGTCGACCAAAGCACATTGTTCCAAGCGCGAACTGCTACACGACCTGATCAGCCGATCCGTCCGGGGCGCCGGCCGCGCGCTGGCGCCTTCCCAACCGCAAGACCCGCCGGATCACCAGTCTAGCAGGCATTCCCACCGACGGCGCCATACTTCTACAGCAGTAACATCACGTAATGCCGCTACTGCAGCTACGAGCACAGCTTCCGCAGCTGCAGCCGCTAACCATAACGCGGTAAGATGAGTCGTCCTACAAGCTCCGCTTTTCCGCTTTGCATCTCATGAGATCATGACATTATTTCCCAAGCGGCCCTTTTGTTTTCAAATCTACACCGTATTAGTGCAGCTTTTCCTGGCAGTTTTTCCGTTTCCTTTTTGGGATCCTGTGTTGTTTTGGTCGTTCCATTTCCCCCTTCATTCCTTCCTCGTGACCTGGTCGTATGAGCCGAGTTGGGGTAAGTGCCAAGACAGGAAAGCGACGCACCTGCCTCATTGTCTCATGCTGCATTGGACCGGATTCTTCTGTCTGTTCGTTTTCCTCTTCAAGAACCTGCTTGATGTCACATTCATAAACCCCCATTTCCGACGTTGTCCGGCCTCTCCGTTTTGCTCTTACAAAGCACCCAGTGACTGACCCTAGGATTTAGGATTTGCATCTGCATCTGCAGTCCGATTCGCTAATACCAACAGCTTCCCCGCTTCGGCCAGCTTTGTCGTCTATTACGTCTCTGCTGCTTTCCACGCCTTCACACCCAGTGGTTCCCGTGCACGCAGACAAGCCATTGCCGGCGCCGCCGTTGCCTGGAAACATACCAGACGTCAGACCGCCTGCCAAGCCTGTGCTGAAGCTCACTCGCATCATGGCCAATCTCACCGCTGATGACATTGAGACGCTGTTTTCGGGCGCTCCGCAGTTCTTTGCTCGCTCTGAAGGCCACTTCACCGGTGCACCTCATCCGAGCACCGCGTTTCCTTGGGACGAGGCCTTGCATATCCGTGACCTCGCCGATCACATCCGCATAGAAGATGCTGCTTGGAGCTCCGTCACGGCGTGGCCGCACGTCATAAGATGCAAGGATCATAGCCCCGAAAAGACCAGCATTGACGGCCTGACCAGAGAGGCCGACGACCCGCCGCCGATTAAAAAACGTGGCCACTACTACCCGCGGTGCCGTGAGAGGCCTAGCATGCTCAGCATGCAGGGTCTGGAAAAGGGCACTATCGGCTATGAAGCGGCTCTCGAGCTGTCTGTGTCGGATGCTCTGCAAGAAGAGCAGTTCGGTTTTGATACAGTCGGCTCGCGACCGGCTGCTATCAGGGAGGCCCGCCGCAATCTGATGACGCCGACAGCCGCAAAGTCAGAAACAGCAGACCAGAACGCCAGCGGGGTCAAATTCGTTGGTGAAACTCAGATCCTCGAAGAGCTTATCAAAAATGGCCGACGTTACGCCACCGGCAACTTTTACAGCTCACGCCAAGGGCAGGAGTTCTATGATGAGCTCTTTGGCCATATCCTGCATCCACCAAAGAAGGCTCGATCGTTCCATGTCCGCTCCAGTAGCCAGTCGGGCAGTTGGGGCAACGGTGTTACCGGCCACCTTGTCGCCCAGATTGAGGCTCTACTCGATGTGCTCGCAACGCCTAACGTCTGGATCGACTTTTCCCACGTCGAGTGGCGCCTTAGGCTTGGCCAGATACTATGGACATCGTCCGCTCCGGACGAGCTGGATGATGGCATAGTGCGACCGCAAGAGGTTACAGCAGCACCACAATCTAACACATACGGCGAACGATACACGGAGCGCTATTGGCTTCTTCTCCAAATCCTGCTATCCACGGAACTTTTACTCCGTCTTGACGCAATTACCGATGGCGACGAGATTGGGCTGGAGTATGTCCGCCCCGCCGAGGTCCAACGATTTGAGAAGGAGGCCAACCAGTCTGTGAGGTGGTCTCTTATTATTGCTCGTGCCTGGCTTGAAAATATGGAGGTTGTTCGGGTCGGTGGCCCAGAGGAGAAAGTCGAAAAGAAAGCGTTCGAGTCACCAGAGAAGGAGAGACAAGGCGAGCCCCAAACACTTTTCCGATCAGGGACCATCAACGTTGCTAGTCTGGCCAAGAACAAGCCCAAAGAGTCGGGCTTGAAGCATACTATTGGATGGATTACAACGCTCACAAGGAAGCTGTCCCTAGCCGAAGGCCACCTTCATGCGCCGATCGAGCCCCATGAAAGACGTATATACGCCATGAAGGCAAAGTATGTTCGGCGCCAGCAACATGGCATCGTCCACTTTGCACGAGAGTTGCGGTGGCCAGATGAGCGGATTGAGCAGACACTTCGGCACCGCGTGGAAATGAAGGAGCAGCTGAACACCAAAATAGCCGAGTTCACGGCTACGGAGAGCGAAGCGGTCAAATCACTAGCATCGCTAATGTCTACCTGTTCAATCCCGGCGACATCAAAGACCAAGCTGGAATTCAACCGGAAGCTTCCGCGTCGGCGAAAGGTAGTTGCCGGTCTCCACCCAAACGGCTGGCTGTCCAAGAGCTACTTGTCAGGACTGATGCTGCCTGGAGATGGTCTCTGTACCCTGTTGATGGCCGCGTTGCTAGAAAGCGATGAGGCGGCTATGAAAGAGCTTGGAAACATAGCTCACCTGGGTGCTGGGTTCGTCTATCACGGAAAGAGTTTTTGGAGCACGGCGAGTGTGGTTGGCCGCGTGCTAGCTGCCGGTGCCGGTGCAGCTGAGTGCATGGGCTGGGTATCGTCGGATGTGTTGCCGCATGGCTTTGGAAGCGGATGGATCAACGTCAACGTCGATGATGTGGCCGAAGACTCCCGTCTGCTGCATCGACGTGCACGTATATGGGGCAAGGCTGCCATTGAGCGCGGATCGTACGTGCTCGGAGACGCAGATCCGGCGTCTGTCTTGCCTGCAGATTTTGTTATTCCGTTCGAAACAACCTACAAGGAGCAACCGCCTGCACACACGCAGATCGAGCTGCGCCGCTTTGAGCTCTCTGACAACTCCGAATCAGCAGCAGAGGGACAGGATCACGAGATCCGGCCCAAGGAAACAGGAAACTCGACCAAAGCCGGAAGCGGGACAGCAAAAGCGTCGATATTCAAGTCAGCTGCTGCGGTTTCCTTCGGGCTGTCCAGCGACGGTGGCCCCGAGAAAGCATATACGTACACGCTCCTCTACGACATTTACTTTGTGACGGCCCATCCGTGTGTGGTGTCCCAGCGCGTCAAAGTGCTCAAGTCACCCTCGAGCCCAACGATCCAGCAGGTAGACGTGACGGGTTCTGGCTTTGCGGGTCACGCCAGCTCCTCGATTCCTATAGGTATGCCCATACTCGATAGAATGGTGCTAGGCTTGATGTCGCCTCTACTGACACGAAACAGGCCATCTGTTGCACAAGTATTACACCTATGCGTCCATACATCTGACAACTTTGATTGAGAACAAGGACAAGACTCTGGCAGAACTGTTGGTGGCTTATGTCGCGTCGACAAATCGGTCTGCGCGTGCTGAGGTTGCCAAGGTGCTGGTGATCGACTGCATGACCGGGTTCTCGCCACAGCCAACAGCCAGTGAAATGCCTCTGTCGCCTGTTTTCGCGGAGAGGCCATCGATTGACAGCGTGTTCCCGCTGCTGACTAGAGAGATCTCCCCGATTACAGGGCTTACTGCACTTGACTCGGCAGCTGATTCGGCGGCACAACAGACAAAGGCTGGAGCCGAGCTGCCAAGGAAAGGGTCATCGGAGTCGTCAAGGTCTTCGGGGTCCTCAGCATATGCAGCAAAGAACGAGCCTACGCCACCACCATCTCAGATGCACCACGAGACAAGAAGGCGGCGTTTTGGATCCGATATGGAAATCATGGTCCGTGCCTTTTGCGCAGAGAAGGGGTGGAATGCTTTGGTCAGCCGTCGGCGACGAGGCTGTCTAGCATGTGCCATCCGCGAGGCCGGAGCACTCGGCTGGAAGGTAGTCATTCGCGTGGACTGAGGTCGATTTGTAATTATACTTTTTCGGGGTCATCATGTGGGCGTCCAATGGATGTTACGAAAACCGGAGAAGGAGCATTGATTCATGTAGATACGGATACGGAAAGGTAGTGAATGGAAACGAAGAACCACAAGCTGGACATGCAACGGGAATGCACAAAGATCACTGAAATACTTTGTAATGCATATATGTAAGGGCAGACAGGAAGACCTCACAGACGGTAACCGACTTCCGACTCCTTCCAGCCCTTCTTCTCACCCGGCAGACGGACTTTTTCCCAGTCGGCGCGCGAGACGTTGTGCCACTCATCGACGGGGATCCAGCCAATGTATGCACGGTCGCCGAAGCCGCCGATCCAGTAGACATTGGTGACCACGAGGCGAAGCCACTCGGACTTGTGGATGGAATTTCCGGGCAGCCACCAGCGAGCATCGGGATGCGTCTTGACGAAACAGGCCGCCAGATCGGACGTGGGCTCGTCCTGGCCCGTGATGGGTTCGAGGTAGCCAAGCAGCGAGAAGCGGGGAAGGGCAGCGACCGAGGGCACGGGCGCGGACGAGGGACCCCAGCCGAGAGCCGTCTGCAGGCCATCGAGGACGGAGCGGCGTTGGGCCGGTGCGTAGGGCGGCTCCCATTGCAGCGCGAGGCTGACGTTGGAGCCGGCGCGGGCGTTGCGGAAGGACGTGGCGATGGTGATGGCCAGCAGCGTCGGGTTACCGGAGTCGTCCTCGCAGTCGGCCAGGTACTCGGGCAAGCCGATGGGGAGTCCGTCGAGGTTGGACGGAGCAGAGCCCGAGTCGTGCGGAAAGACGGTCGCAATGGTGCCAAACGGCGTCAGTGCAAGGATGCGGCGCGCCAGCACGGCCGACTCGGCCGAGGTGGGAATGCGGCGCGGAGACGGCGGAGAGCTAGAGCCAGAGCCAGAGCCAGAGCCGGCAGTGCCGTCCTCGCGATGGTCGTAGCGGTGATGCTGGGCAAACAGGTCGGCTTTGCGGCCAGGAGCCACCAGAGGCGGATCGAGGACGGCTGAGGCAGCAGTCCCGGAAGCCAGGAGGAGAGCGGGCCAGAACTTCATCGTGCCGGCAGGAGAGGCAGGAGGCAGCAGAGAAGAAAGAGATGCAGGAGCCGGATGGGTGATTGACGAGGCACACAGGACGCCGGAAGACGAGGGGAATCAATGTTGTCGAGATGTACAGATCGGGGACGGAATGCACTAAATCTGCACAATGTTCCCCAGAGGAAAGCACGTCCACTCCGTACAGCAGGAGGGGGTCGGGAAAGCGGATGTTACAATACGAGAAGCAGCAACCGCGACCGGTCTGGTAAGTGTGGGGCGATTGGCTTTGGGCGCAAGGTCCCTCACCTGACTTTGCTATCCGGGCACAGCTAAGACGGCACGCCGACGTCTGAGCCCACAAAATTTCGTCTTGCTGTCAGCTTCGGCTCGGTGACAGTCTGGTAATTGCTTCGCTTCTCTGTTTTATTTGCTGTCTTGAGGGTTTGTCAAGCAATAGCAGAACAGGCTCCGCGGAACTCGGCCGTCATATCACGTGATACCAAGTCAACACTTCTTGTTGAGCTCTCCTCTAGCCTCTAGCCCGTCTTTCTTCTCCATGAGTTCTTCTATTCTCAACCTAACACGTCCATCTTACGGAATACTCCGTAGCTGCTAGTGCCTCTCTGCGTATCTCGTGTGCGTCCCAAGGCCACTTGATTCTACTCGTGTTTCGCACTACTCATGCAAAAGCATCTTATCGATTCCATCAGATAAATTGAGAGGGACCACCAAGAGCCATTCGGATAATCATAGCTCCGAATACAGTGTACTACAGTGTAACTATACTACCAGCACGGCTCTCTACAACTGGACAACGAAACAGCTCTAGAAACAATCTGGCCAACCTGCTGCGCCGTCCCGACTGACACGGCAGACCGAAACGTGCAAACAAGCCGAGCAGACGACGACGCCGGGCAGCAGCAGTACTTGACTGTAGATGACTGTGACGCCAACCGCACAGAGAAGCAACGTCAGCCCCCTCGCATTCTTTTCGATCGGCCCCGCCATCTGCCTTTCGACTCTCACGAGCCTCCTCCAATCGGCTTGGGCTCACCGAGCTCACCGAGCGTTTCGCATCGCGTCGGAGCAGCCTGACGTCTGTGCCCTTCCACTGCTGCGTTCCCTCGCCCATCCTCTCCGGTCAACATGTCGACGCTCCGGGACAAGCAGATTGCGGCGCTCAAGCGCATGCTGAACCTGAACCAGACCGACGGCAGCGATCCGGACCAGAAATTGGGACAGCAGCAGCAGCAGCTCGGCGTGGTCGGCCCCGATGGCGAGCTGGTCTGGAAGGTGCTCGTATTTGACGATCTCGGCATGCAGATCGTCAGCAGCGTCTTGCGCGTCAGCGACCTGCGATCCATGGTACCTCTTTCTGTCTTTTTTCCCCTCTCTCCCGCCTTGTCCTCGTAGCTATCGCTAACAGAGATTTAGGGCGTGACCATGCACATGCACCTGGCGTCCACGCGCCACCAGATCGAAGATGTGCCTGTCGTCTACCTTGTCGAGCCGACGGCCCAGAACCTCAAGAGCATCACGAGCGATCTGGAAAAGGGCCTCTACTCACCCGCCTACATCAACTTTCTCTCGTCCATACCACGGCCGCTGCTCGAGGAATTCGCTGCAGAGACGGTGGCCAACGGAACACAAGAAAACGTCAGTGTCCGTCCTTAAAGGGGATTGTCCAATGACCGGACTGGAAAAACTGACAGTGCTCGGCAGATCGCCCAGCTCTACGACCAGTACCTCAACTTCATCTGCGCTGATCGCGACCTCTTCAGCCTCGGCATGCAGAAAGACCACACATACTGGGCCCTCAATTCGGCACAGACGAACGATGACGAGCTGGACCACGTCGTCAACAAGATCGTCAGCGGGTAAGCCGCCTCGCCTGGGAGACTGTACGCAGCGAACAGGACTCCAGCTAACAATTCTTGACAGGCTCTTCAGCGTCGTCGTCACAATGGGTTTGTATTTTTTGCTAAATTGTACCTGCCCCCGGTCATGCTGACAGGCCCCGACAGGTGTCATTCCCATAATCCGCTGCCCCAAGGGCATGGCGGCCGAGATGATCGCGACAAAACTCGACCGCAAATTGCGCGACCACCTTCTGAGCTCCAAGGACAACATGTTCGCGAGCGGTGGAAGGCCGGCATCGTCGACCGGCACGCCCGTCTCACGGCCGGTGCTCATCATCCTGGACAGAAACATTGATCTCACGACCATGCTGTCTCACTCGTGGACGTACCAGAGCCTGGTGCACGATGTGCTGAACATGAAGCTGAACCGCGTCTCCGTCGAGACGCCCGTCGACGAGCAGAACCCGGCCAAGGGCTCGACCAAGAAAACCTACGACATAGCCGCCAACGACTTCTTCTGGAACAAGAACGCGCCGCTGCCTTTCCCCCAGGTAGCCGAGGACATTGATGCCGAGCTGAGCCGCTACAAGCAGGACACCACCGAGATTACCCGGAGGACGGGTGCCTCGTCCATCGAGGACCTGCAGAACGACACCAGTGCCAGCGCACAGCACCTCAAGGCAGCCATAACACTGCTTCCCGAGCTGCGGGAGCGCAAGGCCGTGCTTGACATTCACATGTAGGTTTTGTTTCTGCCGCTCTCTTTTTGCTGCAGAACTGACGCAGGGCCAGGAACATACTCGCTGCACTGTTGACGGGCATCAAGGACCGACAGCTCGACAACTTCTTCCAGATCGAAGAGAGCATTGCCAAGCAGACAAAGGCCCAGGTGCTGGAGCTAATCAATGACCATACTAAGGGAACCAACGCGACAGACAAGCTGCGCCTGTTTATCATCTGGTTCCTCACGACCGAGCAGGAGGTCGGCCGGACCGAGTGGGCGCAGTTTGACGAGGCGCTGAAGAGTGCCGGCGCCAACACGACGTCGCTTGGTTACATTCGGCAGTGAGTATCGCTAGCAGACGATCTAGAGTCCCGAGAGGCTTTGCTAACATACTTTCCGCTCTAGGGTCCGAGCAACGACCAAGATGACGCAGCTGACAACGATCCACAACACGCCACAGCAGGCGTCGGCGTCCAACGACCTGTTTGGGCGCTTCTCGTCCATCTCGTCGCGGCTCACGGACCGGCTGAAGGAGACGGGCATGCCGACGAACCTGTCGGCCAACCTGGAGTCAATCGTGGGCTCGATCAAGAACTTTCTGCCGGCCAACCGGGACCTGACGGTGACCAGCATCGTCGGCTCGATCATGGACCCGAGCACGTCCAACAGCTCGGCCATGACGAAGACGGAGAACTACCTGTACTTTGACCCGCGCAACTCGCACGCGCGCGGCAGCATACCGCCACCAGCGTCCATGGTGCGGGGTGGCAGCAGCAACGGTGGCGGGTCGGGAAGCAGCCTGAGTGTAGGGGCTGGGGGCGGAGCTTCCGGTGGAGGCGGCAGCGGCAGCGGCATGCCTGGTGCCGGAGGCGGGCTAGGCGTGCAGGGTCCGGGCACGGGTGCATCGTTTGGCCAGCGGCGACAGGGCTTCAGCGATGCCATTGTGTTTATGGTGGGCGGCGGCAGCATCGACGAGTTTGGCAACTTGCAGGAGTGGGTAGGCCGGACGGCCGGCGGCGGCGATCGGGCAAAGCGGCGGGTTGTGTACGGAGCGACAGAACTGTTGAATGCCGAGGAATTCTGCCGGGAAGAGCTGGAGCGATTGGGCCAGGAGACGACGACATGACGGGCGACAGAGGACAGACAGAGAGCTGAGGGCTGACGTAATCACACGGCGGATGGAATAAAGCGAAATGATCAGACAAGACAACAAGAACATGTATTGATGGATGTAAGCTGTAGGTCTGCATCATAGTCGACAACTATGAGGTGCGCATGCGTTAGCTTTGCTGATATGACGTGCAGTGAAAGACAAGTGGAAGGAGTGGAAAGGGCCCTCAGATTAGCTCTCTTATGGTTCTCCTTTGCAGCAAGACCTGCCTCTTCCAGGGATACGCCAACGGCCGACGAGGTTCGAGGAAGAAGACCTCCTCGCCCCGAGATCGTCGACCGCCGGGACACCGTGGGAGAAGGACAGGCCAAGGCATCAAATTTGGCTTTTGTGTCCATTTAAGACTTTCGCATCATAGGGCAACAAAGGAAATAACGGACGAGGCTGGGACGGAAAGCGAGCAACAGTGGCACGGAAGGACGATGTTTCCCCTCCAGACGTACCACCTCGCACAGACGATTCTCGCGTCAGCCCTTGCAGCTTCTTCCACGGAGGAGAAGAGCCAGGAAGATCCTGTCTGCGATTCTCCCGGAACTCAGATTGAAAACTATTCATGGGTTTGGATAGTCATCGGCACAGGAAGGCCAGAGGGCTTTGTGGGCGCCTGCAGTCCCTCCAACGAGGCCTCTCGGTCCAATATAAAAGATGGGTGGTCCTCCCTGTTCCGTCCGAGCAGGCTCGGACCGGTGGAAACGCGTGAAGCAGGCCATCGCCAGAAGCGCCGCCGCACAGAATGGTGTCCAACACGGGAGACACTCGTCGGTCCCGCGCCCTATTTCTTGCTTTCAGCCCAGCACCCCTCCACCTGCTCAGATTTCTGTTCTTTCAGGAGGCCGGGAGCAGTGAGGGCGAGTCGCATTTCTGCCGCTCGCCTCGACTGTACCCGGACTCCATCCTCTCACGACAGCTGGAAGCCGGGTCTGGGACCCAGCTTGCGCAGCTGCATTCGAGACGGGGGTGTAGCGGGAGAGGCGCGGACGACCGCACCTCGTCCTCGTCCCGTGTCTGGCTGTCTTCACTGCAGGGCTGGCTCGGATTTTGGTTGGGAGTATGGCGTGCGAAAGGAAACATCGGTCGGCTCTTACCTTGGTCGGCTGTCGGCTGCCGGGAGAAGGTAGGTGGTGAATGTAGGAGAGAAACGCGAAGAGTGCAAAAGGCGCGACGAAAGGATCCAATCCAAGGTGATTGTGGAGATCTAGTCACGTGTGTGCAGATCGCATCTGAGATTACTCCGTACACATCCCTTCCTTCCCCCGTGGAGCTCACAGGCGGATGTACTCCGTAGTTCGACGGCCATTGGGAAGCCGCGCTCTCTCTCTCTCGCCTTCCTTTCCCGTCCGCTCTCGGCGAGCTAGCCCTGTCTTACGCTCTCTGCCTATTTGCCGCCTTGCTAGCTTCTGCCTCCAGACACCACCCTGAAAGAAGCCACGGTTGCTTTAGCTGCTTCAGAGGCCGAAGGGGTAAAAAACAGAATACGAGGCCCAGGCACCCACCTATACCGTTCGGACGAATAGAAGGCCGGCCGTACTTTTTGGGATTGACTACGCAGTCGCATTGCCACAGTATCTTTGCCAGCTCGGTCGCTTACACTTGCACGATACACGAGATTCGCACACGGCCATCCGTTCTGCCTCCCGCCTCTTTCGGAATACCGACACGACCTCGACGACGGGCCCATGGGTGCCAAAGCTCGGCGATCCAGGAGCGGCAAGCCAAACGGGCGAGCGAGCGAGACGACGCCGGACGTGGACGTGGACGCAAACGCATACGCAAACCAGACGCGCAGCAGCGGGCTGCGGATCGTGACCAGCAGCGGACAGGCGACGGCGATGAACACAAGCGTGGAGTACCGGCGCAAAGGCGGACCGCAGGAGTCGGACGTGGTGACGGCCAGCCTGATGGCGCGCGAGTCGTTCTCGCTGGACGAGCAGGTGGTGGCGACGCCGCGGCTCAACAACCACGGCTTCGGCCAGCTGCCTCGACAGGATCAGCAGAACTTTGGGCTGCTGGTGCTGCTCTACTTTCTGCAGGGCATCCCGCTCGGACTGGCGACCGGGTCGGTGCCGTTCCTGCTGAAGCAGCACATGTCGTACGGCGAGATCGGCGTGTTCACGCTGGCGTCGTACCCCTACTCGCTCAAGCTGCTCTGGAGCCCGGTGGTGGACGCGCTCTGGAGCCCGCGACTCGGCCGCCGCAAGAGCTGGATCCTGCCCATTCAGCTGCTCTCGGGCGTCGGCATGCTCTGGCTCGGCAGCCGGGTCGAGGACTTGATGGCCACCACCGGCAAGCCGGGCGGCCCTACCGTCTGGACCTTTACCGGCTGGTGGTTCTTCCTCGTCCTCATGTGTGCCACCCAGGACATCGCCGTCGACGGCTGGGCCCTCACTCTGCTCTCGCCCGGCAACATCTCCTACGCGTCCACCGCCCAGACCGTCGGCCTGACCGCTGGCAACTTCCTCTCCTACACTGTCTTCCTCGCCTTCCACTCCAAGGACTAAGCCAACCGTTACTTCCGTGCCGTCCCGCTCGACCACGGCCTTCTCAGCCTAGGCGGCTATCTCACCTTTTGGGGCTGGGCTTTCATCGTCGTCACCGTCGCGCTCGCCCTGCTCAAGCGTGAGGACCGCTCGCACAACGAGGAGGGCGTCTGGGACGTCTACCGCATCATGTGGGGCGTCCTGAAGCTGCGCAACGTCCAGGCCATCATCCTCGTCCACCTGATCGCCAAGATCGGCTTCCAGGCCAACGACGGCGTCACCAACCTCAAGCTGCTCGAGAAGGGCTTCGGCACTGATAACCTCGCCCTTACCGTCCTCATCGACTTCCCCTTCGAGATCGGCCTCGGCTACTATGTCGGCAAGTGGTCCCAGGCCTACACTCCCATGCGCCTCTGGTGCTGGGGCTTCATCGGCCGTCTGGCCGCCGCCGTCTTTGCCCAGCTGACCGTCGTCCTCTATCCGGCCGGCGGCGTCAACACGTCCTACCTGCTCATCGTCATCGTCGAGCACGTCATGTCCACTTTTATGAACACCATGATGTTTGTCGCCGTCTCCGCCTTCCATGCCCGCATTGCCGATCCCGTCATCGGTGGCACCTACATGACCCTTCTGGCCACGTGAGTTTTTGTTCTTCCTTCTCTTCCTTCTCTCCTTTCTCCTATTCTCCTCTAACCTCCCAGGGTCTGCAATCTCGGCGGCACATTCCCGCGCATCTTTGTCCTGCGGCTCGTCGACGCCTTTACCGAGGCCACTTGCATCCCGACCTCGTCCAACCCCGGCGTCACGCTCAACGGCCCCATCGTGACCGAACCGTTTTCGTGCTCCGTCCAGGCCGAGAAGGAGCGCTGTCTGGCCGGCTTTGGCACCTGCGAGATGCAGCGTGACGGATACTACATTGTCAACATCATATGTGTCCTCGTTGGCACCATCACTTTCGTAACCTTTATCCGGCCCCAAGTTCTGCGTCTGCAGGCCCTGCCATTAAAGGCATGGCGTCTGGTCAGCACCAGATCATAGATGCAGGAGGGACACTGAGCGGAGAGAATAAGAGAGAGAGAGAGAGAGAGAGAGAGAGACAAGAGACAACTGACGAATCTCTGTGTCCATACTGTACATCCTCTGTATGATAGAATGCGATCGCTATACTGCTTTTCTTGTGGCAGTCTACGGTCAAGTCTTAGCTTGGCTTTATTGACTGTCAGCTCCGCAATCCTAGACCTTGTTGCACTTTGCTTGCTCTTCTTGGCCTCCTGCATACGTCTGACTAGATAGCCGGCATGTGACCGCTGTTCTCTTTGGCTCGGCCGATGTTTCGGTTAGCCGACAAGGCCATAAACGAGGAAGGAGCGATCGGGAGGATGGCCTTGGAACGCAAGGATCAAGCAGACGACTGGGTCTTCACGATCCTTCACTTTGTGTCCGGACGACGCCAGGCGCAATTTCCGCGTGCCCACCCAGAGCAGCCAGTCCCTTGCACGCGGCGGTCTCGCGCGCGCATGCAGACATGCCGCCAAGGCAGGGAAGAGCAGCTAGCCACTTCGACAGCCATGGCTCGGGATGCACCGGACAGCCAATAGCTCGAAAGACATGCCGGGACAGAAAGAAAAAAGCAGGATGGTCCGGACAGCCGCTCTTGCACGCACGTTCTTCAAGGAAGCGTGCACATGGTCCTCTGTTCCGGCACCGGCCCACGGTCCCGGCACGAGTAGGGGAAGGGCTGCTGCTCCCATGCAGGAATTGCGGATCTGCCAGGCTCTCTAGCCGCTTATTCCGGCTGCTCCAGCTGCCGTCCCGTCCACTCGGCAAGGTGTGCGCCTTACGATGCCAAGGTGTCGTACGACCTTTGCATCGGTAGATGGTCGGTGATGCACGACGCCGGGGCTTTTTTGTTTATTTTTTTGGCGCGCTATTTCAAAGAGCCCATGTGCGAGTACCGAGTACATGATGCCCAATCTATACATAATATCTGACAGCGGAGAATTGGGGCTGCTCCTAGGAGAGTGTCTCGACGAAACTGTCCGAATGGTCAAGGCGGAAAACTGCCAGAGGAACACAGCTATAACAGGTGCGGCGGGTAACGGGTAACGGAGCGAGCCAGGCTTCCACCCAGCCCAGACAAAGCAGAGCCGCATGATTGTCAGTCGTCATTTTGTTATTTGACGAGTAGGTTGCGAGGAGGACGCAACACTCCGTACTCGTACACCCCTTCGCCTCAACGAAACAGGAGTGGCAAAGACGGAAAGGCCGGAAGACAAAACGAAGCTGACAGGAGACAGGAAGAGGGAAGAGAAAAGAGGAAAGGACTACGAGCATAACTGACGTGCCACGACAGGCTTCTTCTTTTCTTTTTTCCCTCTTCACCTTTTGCCCAGTGCGCCGTATGGACAAATGACTCGCGACAAATGTGATGTGTCGCATGAACCCGAGCGACTCAGCTGAAAAGGTCTCTAGGCTCTTGCACGGAGCAATAATGCTGAGTACCCCGGCTAACACGTTTGCCGGCACGTTGCCTCCGTGCATACGAATACGCATATGCGCCTGCGGCATAAATGACAGAAACAGGGGAAAAACTGACGAGAGGCAACAATGCAGGAGGCAAAATGGAAAGCAAGAAACCCGAGCAGGCAGTCCAGTTCATACTCCGTACTCCAAATAGAGATAGAACAGAGATCTGCCGAACTATGGAGTCCGCACACGTGAAACATGAGTAAGGGTTATGTTAACATGCTCCTCTTCCGGTCTACTATGGGACATCGTCACATACGGAGTCCTTAACCTGCTGATCGTTTTGACCGCCGCCTGCCGGCCTTCTGGTAATGGCAATTTTTGCGCCGCTCGTGGAAAGATCAGATCTTCTCTCGAATAATACGTGGCCAATCAGATGCACCCGATCAACTTCAGCCAGAAGTCGGGTTTATGTACCACACAAGAACTGCCACGCTTTTTGAGCTCCGCCCAAATCTCCGGCACGGTAGAAAAAGATGGATGGGGGTTGCATGTCGGATGTTGCCAGGATCGCTCCAGCCAGAAAACAGCTGCATGGGTTGTGCCTTAGCTCTTGCGCCGTTCTATACCCACGGCACATAGCATGCCGCAGTCCCGTCGCCGACGTATCAGTGAACTCGTACAGGACCAATATTACCGAAAAAAAACAAGGACACCGCCGCGCTACAGAGTATACAACCATTGAAAAATAAAGACTGCCGCCACTTCTCAGCTCTTGGGTATGTCATTAACGGTAGTATTTGTAAAAGGCAGTACTTTGTCAATATACCCAGCTGCCAGTTCCAAGCAACTAAGGACAGAACCTGGTCTAGATAGAAAGACCAGACTGGGGTAGTAGAAAAATAGAACAACCTGAAAATAGCAAGGAAAAAAGAATGGTGAAATCCGGCCAATTGTTCAGAACGCAATGTGAAAAGGAACAAGTCATTCGCCGTCGCTGTCTCCATTTACATGTGTCTCTACATGCGTCTCGACCTTTTGTGGTTCGTCATAATCATTATCATCGTCCTCGTCGTCAGATTCGCCACCTGTAGCCCTTCTCGGCCTTCTTTTTCGTGGCTGCAGCGTACGTATATTCCAGACAGTCCTGTTTTTACGGGACTTGGATGTGGAGGTTGTCCGTAGCGATGCTGGGTTGGCAGTGGTAGTAGCGGGAAAATGATTCCGGTCTGTGGCAACGTGGCTGGGCCTACAAACAAGACAAGCGGAGGAAAATGGTAAGCAACCGCGGCCAACCCGAGAAGATGTCGTGCCTTGGAGGGGGCTAGTGGGTTTGGCTTGGGCACCAGGACAAATTTGGACCGAAACGCCGCCGCCACTCTCTTTGATGTACCTACAGCCTATCTGTGCGATGCCGCTGCTGTTGATAGCGGAAGCCCGCAGGTGCTGCTGGCGCCACGTCGATGTTGGCGCCTCCAACACTGCTACTGCCGCTGGGGTGGCAGTCTTGCAAGGGAAAATAGACTGCTGTGCTCGTGCTGCTCGCGCTGTCCTGGCTAGTCATGCTACTAGCACTATTAGTGTGGCTGCTCGTACTGCTGCTGCGACTGCGACCTGCATGATTGTACGGTACACCGTGGTGATGGTGAGGGTTGTGTCGCCCGGAACAAGGTTGTTGGTGCTGGCGTTGGTGCTGGTGATGGTGCTGTCGTTGCTGCTGTTGTTGTTGATTGTGACTGTGCTGCTCGTAGTGCTCATACTGTCCGTCTTGGCTCAGAGCCCTGGCCGAATCTATCTGGCAAAAGGATGGAAGATTGACCGGCTCTCGTTGAGGTCTGCGGACGCCGAGGGGGAAAGAAAGAAACACATTAGCTGAGCGTCCTTGTCCGACTTCCCCCTCTTCTTCTGCCATCCGCCCCACCAAGACATGCAACCTACAGCGCTTCAGGCCAGGGACGGACCGGAAGCACGTGCGGTACCGTTGCCATTGGCGGCGGGGGACAAAAACCATCTCTGGGTGATGGGGGTCGGTGTTCACTTGGTGGTGGTGGCGATGATGGTGAGAGCTGCTGTTGCTGCTGCTGCTGTCACAACCCGGTGCTGCAGGAGCAGAAAATGTCCCGCCAGCCTCGTTTCCTCGGCCGCTGCCGCTGCCGCTGCCATTGCCATTACCCATGTTCATTTCAACATCGCCATCGTCCCGCTGCGCCAACACCGCCTTACCTGTCTCCAAGAGGCGCTCTCCACCGGCGGAGGCAAGCTCGCGCTGCAGAGAGTCCTGGGGGTGCGAGGCTCGGGCATTGGTTGCAGCGATGGAAGCGCGGCGACGCTCGATGAAATTGTCAGTAATACCCAGAGAGTCGACAGACGGCAGGTGGCTGGGTGTTTCCGGTCGCCGAACAGGCAACACTTGCATCACTTCGCCGGTGCGCAGACTGCGCTGAACGTAGAAAGTGCCATATGGGGTTACGTGGAGGCCCATGTCGCCGTGAGTAGTATTGTGCTCCTTGATGCTGCCACTATCAACGGCAATGTGCCGTCCTTGTCGATGACCTGTATAGGTACGGGCAGGGTTGAAGAGCAAGGAAAAAGTAAGAGACAGAGCAATGAAACACTTGGGTGGGAAGTTAATCTGGGGAGGGACGGGGGTCAAGAGGACTAAATAGAATAGTGTGTGATATGTATGAGGAGTGGGTTAAAGTGTACTAGGACAACACCTAGCCTGGGGTGTGAAGGTGCATGTGGATGTTGATGCAAGAGTGTGTGGGTATTCTAGATAGTAGGTGCAAGTGCAGGCGTAGGTGCAGGAGGACGAGGAGGACGAGGAGGATGGGGATGGCGGCTCGAGAGGAAGAAGAAAGCAGGCGAGATCGAATGAAGACAAGAGGACAAAGCACGGAGGTGCAGACAGGTCAATATATGGATACTCGGTTGGATAGCTTGGCTGGCGGGCGAACGAGACGAGAAATAGCCGCTGGATGGGTCTGGGGATTCTTTCTGGGACTAGAACAGAACGACTGCGGTCTGAATATCTCCTGCTCTTCTGCTGTTGGTAGGTATTACACTCCGTCTTTGATGCCAACCCAGCGCAGCCAGCTGACTGATCGCCATCACCGGGTATTTCACCTACCTCCTTCAGAGTTCAGCGCCTGTCTTTAGACACTTCTAGGCGCAGCTTGCCGTATCCTTCAAATAGGACATTGTAAGGCGTTAGCCTGGGCCGGCAGTTTTCTCTCTGTTTCGAGCACTCACTCCGGACTGTTGGTCCTGCCGTTGTCGCTAGTGCTCCGTTCCTGTCTTGCCTTGATCTTCATCCCTGCTGCAAGCTTCCTTCATATGGTCACCGGCAGCGTTACAATGCCATTGCTCGTGCATTGGCACTAGTGCAGCGTCATGGAAATTCTTGGAAGTTGGCAAGAGACAGCCTGAATCGAATATATCCGTGCTAGCAGATGCAATCCATTCGTCACCTTCGTATAGTGTCATATCAAACGAGAGCCGTTTGCTTTTCCTCGGTTTACAGAGGCCCCGCTTTTGACAGTCTCGCTTCTCCATCATCGACAAAGCAAGGGCAGGACGGAGCTGTGCCAAGGGTGGATAAAAATCACCGCCGTCAGTGCTGATAAAACACTGTAGAGGGCTGGCTTATACAGCCACAGCTGCTATATGGCGGAGGGGGGGTGCGTCCGGAGCGATACGCGCAAACGTTGGGATTCTGGGACGACATGGGGTGCTCGCCTCTCCGGACTCACTGACCTTCTCTCCACCTGACGTGTCCGAGCTCAACTAGTTCCCTGCCACGATCATCACGAGGCCGGTTGTCGACGCCGATTGCGAGAAGGACACCCTGGCAATCTTGCATCCTGGCAGCTTTTTTCGGTTGGCCCTGCCGAGGCGGAAGTCTAGTGTTAGACCGACAGTACTCCGTAGGAAGTACGAGTAGATAGGGCGCACGCAGCGGTCTAGTATCGAGTAATCGCGCAAAGCATAGTCTGCGGGGGTGGTAAATTACATACTCCGTAATGGTCAGATATGATGCCGTAGTGGCGATGGCTTGGATGTGCGTTTTATGCCATGGTGAGTGTTCGCCTGCGAATCTGGGAAGGAAGGGAGGACAAGCCTGACCGCGTGCATACCCAAATAAGGCAACTAACAAGGCCTGGAGCTAGTGGCAGTTCGTTCTTTCCAAATGTTTTGGCCAATCTCCCTTGCTTTTCTTAGTCTTATTATGTATTTTGCTCTCCTAAATCCCCATTCCGATCCAGCCGTCCGTTTAGACTAAAATAGCCATCGAGTTGACAGGATATGGCGACGCTGTTGGCTCGGCGATCTTTGCTGTCTACATAGTACTGCCTCCACCCTTCCCATTTTCTTGCGCACTTTGCGCATTTTGCCTTGGCGATCCAGAGGCAGTCCAGAGGGCTAGTGACTGCACAGAGTTACGGAGTACATAGTAACAAATAGGACGCAAGGAGACATGATACGAAAAGGGGTGGGGGGTTAGTGGGAAATGGGTAAAATGCTTGATACGCAAGGATCACTGTGGCTGGGGGGGCACTCTGCAGCTTGCATCTAGGTTTCTTTTCTTGCCCATGCCCTGCACTGCAAATCAACTCGGTCATTGCAAGCATACCGACGATTTATAGGATACGAATACACTAGTAGTATCCGTAAGTCCCGCCTAATGTCTTCTGAGACATGCACAAACGCAAAGCATCTCAGATGATTGGCGAGGGTGGTTGTGGGCGCAAAGGCAAGTCTGGACGACTGAGTGCTCTGCTGGTAAAATACATATTAGCAGCCTTGGACTTTCAGCCCCCAGTCGGCTAGTGCTCATGAAAGGGGGGGCAAAAGGCAGGAGTTATTCCGAGTGGAGAATATTACATAGTAAGGCAAAAGGCAGGGGCAGACTACGGGTTCTGTAGGATATATCAGATACGATACTCCGTCCTGTGAGTATGTATCTTACGGAGTAAGATACAAGGGGGGATAGCTGACCGGCCAGGATCAGCCGCTATTGGCTAATTACAACAAGCAGACCAGGGCGAAGAAGAACTGCAACAGTTGTGAGCACCCGCCGAAATGTGTGGCATACGAGCGGGCTGCAGGTTGCAGGTTGCAGGTTGCAGGTTGCATCTTTTCTGGAATCCTTCCTATCGTATGTTGGCTGGGCAAAGATGGGAATGGAATGCGGAAGAAAGGATCTCACGGGACCCTGGTCGATGCATGCGATATTGTATCGGAGATGCAAGCACGAGATACGAGCACTCAATCCAGGCGACTCATATATTATACGGCAGCGTCCGAATGACCGGGCTTACCTGTTTGTGCGAGATGGCCGACCTGCATGTATCTTACATGGTACTTGTATCTCAAAACGAAGGCTTCAAACTTTGTTCCCTGGACCAGCGGCAAATGTAAGGAGCACAGGTCTGGCACAGTTGCTACATAGTACCATTTTGTCAATCCTCAGATTTGCACATATCCAATGGCCGCACTGGCTCAAGCTGCATTGGTTTCAAGCGTGCAGTGTCGAAACCAGGAAAATCCCTGTTCAATATGTGTGGCGGGTTGCCGGATCTGCACCAGGACAGCCGCGGCAGCCAAAACCTGCAAAGTTAAACGCACAGACTGGGGCCAGTAGCTCAGCAGGCCGGTTTACGTATGCCACTACGAGTGTATCTTACATACATAGTACATAGTAGCACATAGTATAGCAAGACACAATGGTGCTTGGAAACCAGGAAAACTTGGACAACGTGAGAGTGGACCTACCATATTCAGATCGCACGATATATTGCAACAATGCTAGCTCTGCTGAACCCGTTCTTCAACGGGCTTCACGCTACCTGGGAAAAAGGAAGTAAAGAAGGAAAAGAACAGTAAAAGGGACCAGGAAAGGAAGGAAAGAGGGCGGTAAGTCTCTCGAGTGCTAGCCCGCTCGCCTACTGAGAGCACTAGGCATGGCATGTTGAGAGAACAAGAAACACTCCAGTAGCGGTTCTGGGCGCGTACCTTCCGGTTCAGCCGTGACCCATTCATTGTACACGCTAGTCTACAATAGGATGTGGGTTGGTGAAAACAGAAGGCCGCTGGCGGGGCACAGCTCACAAAACGGCAAGGAGAATGAGGGGGTCTCCGCCGCGGTGCAAAACGTGGGCGAGCTGGCTTCTCGAAACGGAACCCGTGAGTGGTCTTCGAGCCGCCATCTGCTGCCTACCGTTTGCATCTTCCTAGTCCTGCATGGCTTAGAGCGCAGGCTAAAATAGCCAGCAAGATTATTGTTTAGCCAGCCCCTTCCAGTCGGCCCCTTTCCCGGAGGCTGTACCCATTTCGTGACCGAAATCTCGACTATGTCCCGACTCTTCCCAGCAAGATACAGGTAGTTTTTCGGTGCTGTTATTAGCTTATTATTTTTTTTACAACTGCTCTGGAATTAAATTCATTCTGTGCGTGCCCCTTGTCGCAAGATACCTTACCCCTGTCTCTATACGTCTGTAAGCTAAGATATCTTACCATGTACGGAGTATCTTACATAGTATCCTATCTCTACTCTCCGTACGGAGCACACCAGTTGAAACCCTGGGATCTAGGCAATGCATCATGTATCTTATCTTAAGATATTTCTGTACTCCGTCGTCTTCGCCTTTCATGCTCCTTCTGCACATACCACATTCCCCTCCCCACCGAACACATCACCTGCCCCCCTCCTCCTGCGACATGCTTCTGTCAGCGCCATTTCTCTCCATCTTCCCCCTGCCACTCGTGCTCGTATAGCGAGCGAATACAATCAAGTCTGCCTTTGATAATGATGGTGCCCACACTACCGCCATCTTTACTTGAAGAAAGCGCCAAGCAGCCACTTGATTTGCCAGTCTCCTTTGCGCATTGACTAAGACGGACTTGGCAAGGCTGAGGCAATATTCTTCTCGCTTCACTAGAGGTTCTCTTCCGCTTCCTCTCTCATCACCTATGTCTCCCATCTAGGCAACCATTGCAAGATACTATGTAGAACCAAAGAGCGGTACATTATCCGTAGTAGTATTAGATGTGGCCTAGCTTATAAATGTGTGCGCGTATTGCAGAATTATTCTGCACGCAGTGCCTAAGAGCTATTTTATGGCCGGAGATGTCGCGCTAGCAGGCCTTATGCTACACGTCACACAAGCCATCACCGTTGAAACTTTGACACATGACAGCCTTCGTCTATGCCGGCGCCAAAACCGTGGCGAACTCTACATTGTGCTGTTGGACGGCGAGCTGGGCATTGTAAGAGGTCCAACGCATCTGGTACTAGTTAGTACTATCGATTTCTGGGGTTTTTTTTTAGTCTCATCGAATCTTCTCCAATCTCTTTTTTTACTTTTGGATGACTATGACCATGATAATCCCATAACCAAAAAGTTCGGTGGAAGTCCGGCATTGCTACATTGATAGGAAACAAATGTCAAACTAGATAATACTCCGAGCATTCAATGCAACAGACCTAACCCAAAATGTGACTGGCCTGTTACTGAGTCGAAAGTACCCAGTTCGAAGGGAAGCACACAACCTATTAGTAGGAGTCCCCCGTACGTGATTCGTAACGGGCCCTGATCTGTAGTATCTTAAGATACAGGCCGTGGGGGTGTGGCACGAGCTAGACGTAAGATATCTTATATCTTAGACCGACATTTGAAGATAGGTCAAACGGAACGTCCGCGGACTCCAAGACGCTACCTGCTATGTAAATTACATACTTTGTTTTTTTGACACTTTGATCGGCAAGGTAATTAAAGACATCTTACATATGTATGATATACATGAATCTGCCGCGGCTATACTATGTGTATAGAAAGCTAAGCGATCTTGGGGCAAGATACTTTGACAACTATTAGCGGAGATGTAATCTGTGAGACACAAAGACGTCTTACTATTTGCTCCGTGTTAGCAATTGCATGCGAGTTGAGAGCGTCCAGAGCAATCAAGCGAATATCCCGTCTGCTGGCGGGCAATCATCCTGTGGACGATACATGGCTGCAGGAGATGGCATATTTTCATCACACAATCATTGGGTGCTTTCCTGCCATACTTCAAGCTCGGAATCGTACGCTCAAGTCGGGCTTTGCAACTCATAATCAAGCGGCATGGAAATCGATCGAATCTGGCCTGTATCGCACACTATGTGTATTTTGGGAAACGCTAAAATGTGCGTTGCCCGGCTGGATCCACTACACTTCCTTCCAGCGTCTTGCTGCAAGGGAGGATTTCCTGCAATTAAATGCGACGCAATATCGTAGTCGCAAGCCCATTGTGTCTTCTGGCTGTAAAGAGTGTGCGTAGGCTATTCCAGGCGGATAAGTTTCGATAAGATAATATCAGATGTCTGTTCGTCTTTGCCCATTTGACGTAAACTTCTCGACCGCTTCTGTGCTGCATTGCGTTCCCACAGCTTTGTCCAAAACGAAAACGGGAGACCCGGGACGTCAAAAAACGCCGGCTATGAGCACTCGGCAGCTGGGAGTCTTCGAACACCGGCTGGCGGCTATTGTGGAGAACCTCGGCTTGAAAAGGCTGTATTGCTCGGAGTAAATACTCCGCTTGGGACGTTGCGGATCCGGTATAACCTTGCTCCGAGCACGCGAATCACACAAAATCTTACATACGGATTGCGGACTACGGAGTACTCCGTATTCCGTGACCGTGCTACGTCCCACTTCAATTGGAATATGCAGAACGTGCACCAACTACGTCGTATCTTAAGTCGTACTCTGTAAACTGCTTCCTAGCCCGCCTAATTTGTTTTTACTCACGCACAGGTTACTTTTTCAGGCTTAAGAAAAACAAATCTTTATATTCTGTAGAATATAGTAAAAAGTAAGGATAATGACTAACTAAAAACATTCGCTTTTATTTATTTTTTTCAAGTATAATTGCTAAGCTTTTTCTTTAAGAAAGTAAATAAAAACTTTGTATCTATTATATTCTTATATTTTTACATAAGAAGTGAAAGAGTTATACATATTTTTTAATAGTATACTAAAACTTTACACTATCATTTAGCTTAAAATACTTAACTTTGACTTATAAATACATTGTTTGATTTATATTAGCTGTTTTAAGCTGTAGTTTTTTGAAGTATTTTTTATATATAATTCCTATACAAAAGGTACTTGACAGGTAGGCTGGGGAGCACCAATGCGGGTTCCAATTAAAGTGGGACATGACACGGTTGATGACAAAGTATTCCGTACTCCGCACTCCGTACGGATTACGGATTACGGCGTAATGATTCCAAAAATACTCGTATTAGCATACGTAAGCGGCATGCGAAATCCCGCAATTGATTAGTTAAGATGCAATGAAAGGAGCCACTACAAGCTCCGTGGAGGAACCTGAAACGCCACTTATCTTCCGCAAACAAATAGGAAAGCTCTCTTGCTTTTCACGTCGTATGTAGCTGGCCCGGCGTATGCTTTGCCCTTATAATACTCGAAAGCAACCGTGGCGACACAATCTCCTCACTGGGCCTCGAAAACACGAGGACGTACGATGCCAAGATGGCTCTGACCCGGTCTTGAATGTGAAGCTTCGGCCCTGAATGACATTCAGGGTCTAGCTTCTTGGTTTACAATGCGTTTGACCTGGTCATAGCCAAAATTGATTCCAAATATCGCTGTACCGTAGAGTCTGGTTATTAGTAATCACCCCTTGTCTGAACCACCCGACGCAATGTCGTCACAGGCAGTCTTGCAATCGGGCTCGTGACAGTACCGGCTAATTTTTCGTCTGCCGGGACAACAGTTGTCCGATATGTTTCGCTGTCACGATTATCGCTATTGTATAAAACACAGCCTCGCTTGCGCAGAACACTTCTCCAGTACCTCTCCAACAAGGACCCGTTACGCCAGCCGCAGTTTTACCGCACTTTCTGGCCAGAAAACAAAGCTTCTTGCACCTGCCAGGACCCTAGAAGCAATTACGCCACGCTTTCAGACAAAAATATTCTTATTCAAGCCATCGCACAGTCAACAAGTTGCGACAAGATCGTTTACAATGTCGTCCAAACTCATCCCGGCTAATCCGTCAGACGTTCTCGTCGTTCGGGACATCACACCCAATATAACCACATTGTCCGTGCCGTTCTTACGTCATGGTGTAATCTATTTCGGAGGCAGAGGCACAGTTGGTGAGCAGTCTTTTATTTTGCAGTGTTTCTGTCTCGTAGCTGACCAGCCGACTAGTGCGACTCTCCGGCGGTGGCGTGTTGCTGTTTTCGCCTGTGGCGTTGACGCCAGAAGCAGTCGCCGTGGTCGAACGCCTTGGCGGCGGCCATGGTGTCAAGTACATCGTTGCCGGTGACATTGAACACCACATTTTCATATCTGAGTGGGTGAAGGCCTATCCAGAGGCACGCATCATCGCGCCTGCTGGACTGCCAGAGAAGCGAGCTGCCACCAAGGGCAGCGATCCCAAGATAAGCGTCGATGACAAATTCTTTGCCGTTCTGGCCGACGGGCAGTCAATGCATAAGTCTATTTCGATTGCACCTGACTTTGACGCCGACTTCTCCGTCGTGTATAACGACGTCCACCCAAACAAGGAGATCATCCTTCTGTACAAGCCTGACCGGGTTCTCATCGAGGCCGACCTGATGATGAATCTTCCGGCCACCGAGCAGTACTCACGCACTGATGCTGAAACACGGCATAATGTGGAGCATCCAAATGTTATCAATCGCATATTCTACCGGTTGATGACCACCACGGGCTCACCCTTGGCAGGACAGCGCTTCAACTGGTATGCTGTCAGCTCTCGCAACCGGCCCCGTTTCAACGAGGCGATACAGCTGATCGACAAATGGGAATTTGACATCTTGATCCCATGTCACGGTGACACCATAATGGAAAACGGGAAGGAGGCTTTCCGAAAGCTTTTTGCTTGGCATTTGGAACAGTAAGATCGGGATTGGCATGTCTGTTGATCTGTTCTGGCGCTATTTTTGGTACTCTGTTATGGCTCATGCATAATATTGTAAGCGATATTGTCCATTGATAATGGAAAAAATAAACTTGTGAACTACAGACATATGCGGCTTAAAGAACCATCTTGCATGTTTCGTAAATAACATGGACTCTCTAGACAGCAAGCACAAACAGATTCAAGTAACACGGCAGCATGATTATTCAGCACAGCTGACTATATATACGCTGCTAAGACATCTGCAATACCAATGAGCCCGGGTAGCACAGTGGTAGCTGCGCCTGCCTAGTAAGCAGGAGGTCCGCGGTTCGATCCCGCGTCTGGGCAGTATTGTTTTTGTTAAAGTACTTTTTGCCCCCACTAAACAATTCTGCTACGGTTGGGGAAAGGCAAGAAATGCAACAACAAAGCCAGTTTGTGAAAGAATACGATATCTGAGGAACCTGTGTGTTTTTGTTTATGGGCGTTTGTTTTTGGTTCAAACCCTATTGTGCTATGTACGTACGCACTATCCCGGCACGCTGGATAACGTGTGTACCTATGGAAAGATAAGAGTCTCGAGAATATACAGAGTATTTCTGCGAGCATATATGATGATCCCAATTGGCGGCGGGTGGTTAGTTGTTATCAAGCATTTGGCGATACATGCTACGCCCCGTCTTAGAGCTCGTGATTACGTGCGTACAAGGGAATAACGTCGACTTGGTTGAAAGTTGGATATCTACAATCTTGCGGCCATCTACCTATCCCACACTTGACAACGGTCCCAGCTTATTGCCATTATTCCTGCATTACATACTGCACTGTAAATTTGTTTCCCTGACCGCGGATGAGATCCAGAAGCCAGGCGGCTAGGACGTAACGATAGGAACATCACTGGTAATCCGGAAAATAAAAACAGGATCCAAGAAAATAGGAACTGCTGCTGGGGGTAATCGGACAAAAGCACCATCGGGACTGCGCACCTAGAGCTCCTTTATGCTGGCAACACCAAGTTCAAGATAACAACTTGCACAGTTCAAGACAACCCTCGGAATACCTATGCCCTAATTCTCCTTGGACGGACATCGCAATCCCAAGGCCCGGGTAGCACAGTGGTAGCTGCGCCTGCCTAGTAAGCAGGAGGTCCGCGGTTCGATCCCGCGTCTGGGCAGTGCTAAGATTGCTCTTTTTTTGCCTCCCCGAACTACTTGACGGGAGATGTTCTTTGCTAAACAAGGCCCGTCCTAACTAGGAGCTATCAATCTATCTAGCAAGGATGTTCGGAGTACAAGCAATGCTTTTGCTTGTATGTATCAAGTATCCTGTTAGCCATGCCTTTTCCACGCCTGGGAATACCGACCTCGCACACCTTGAGATAGTCTTCGTATACTCTGTTTCCTCTTGGTCGGACATCACAGTCCAAAGCCCGGGTAGCACAGTGGTAGCTGCGCCTGCCTAGTAAGCAGGAGGTCCGCGGTTCGATCCCGCGTCTGGGCAATGAGAATACGGCTTGTTCATGGTGTGGTTTTTTTGGCTGATGCTGTACAAGTGTTAGTTCTTGTTCTGCATCCGGTATTTTTATGGTCTGGATGAAGCTCGACCGCAATAGCATGTTGAATGCTACCTTTTTATCTATGATCGGTTCGACCGTACTATGTAGTATAAGATGCCCGCTCGCCCAGTTTTTCGAGTTCCGTACTCCATACTGTGGATTATGTGTCCAAACGAGCTTGTAGACACCATTTGTGTCCTTTGGTTGCGGCGTTCAATGCCTGGTACGAATCTTACATAATCAACGCTAACTCAAATGTGGAAAGGCTGCCGTAGGCCTTTGCAGGAAGATAAGATACGGAGCCTCCAGTAGAAAGACACGCAGTGGCGTTATCAGGTACGACAAGGCCAGTCACAAGCTCTTTCTAGCCGTCTTTGGTGCACTTCCCTGGCAACGTGAACGCTGGTCGACTTCGCACCACCACGTTGGTTTCCTGTTTTCGCTACCTGTTCACCGACAGACTGTTCAGCAATACTGCCATGGCCTTTTCCAAAGCAGCGGCATCTGCCGTGGCAGTCGGACTAGCAGCCTTTGCTCCTCTGACTCAAGCTATGCAGCCGAGTGCTGCTTTCCCAGTGCCAGCGCCAATGAGGCCGCTGCAATGGGGCGACATCAACTTCCTCCACACGACTGTACGTTTTCCGCCGTCTTGGCTTGGCACCCTGTCCGACCTCTTTGTCTGACCTTGCTTGATCGCGTTTCCGACACCAGGACACCCATGGCTGGCATGGCGGACATCTGCAGGAGTAAGGCTGCCATCCCGTGTTGCCGCTTGCAGGAGGCTTCTGTGTACGATGCTAATCTGAGGACCATCACAGGTCTCAGTACTCTGCGGACTGGGGCGACTATGTCTCCTTTGCCGAGCACCTCCGACGTCACGCCGACAATGAGGGAGTCGACCTGCTGCTCGTCGACACGGGCGACCGAGTCGAGGGCAACGGGCTTTACGACGGCTCCCAGCCAAAGGGCCAGTACACGTACGACATCTTCAAAGAGCAGCACATGGACATCATCTGTACGGGCAACCACGAGCTGTACCAAGCCGACACGGCCGAGCGCGAGCATGAGCAGACGGTGCCCAACTTCCGCGGCAAATACCTGGCATCGAACCTGGACTACATCGAACCTGCGACGGGCGAGCTGCAGGCTATGTCGCCGCAGCGATACCGTGCCTTCCAGACCAAGAACCGTAAGATCAACGTGGTCGCCTTCGGCTTCCTCTTCGACTTCACGGGCAACGCCAACAACACAGTGGTGCAGCCGGTGCGCCAGACCGTGCGCGAGCCGTGGTTCCAGCAGGCCATCCGCGACGAGCCGGCAGAGCTGTTTGTGGTGATTGGCCATGTCGGCGTGCGGATGGCCGAGTTGCAGGTCATATACGAGGCCATCCGGGAACAGAACCCCGACACGCCCATTGCTATATTTGGTGGCCACGCTCACGTCCGCGACGCCGTCCGGTTCGACGACAAGGCGTTTGCCATTGCAAGCGGTCGCTACTTTGAGACCATTGGCTGGATGTCTGTGAGCAGTGTGCAAGAGCCGAAGACAACGTTCCGGCGCCGCTACATCGACAACAACCTGCTGGGGCTCTACTACCACAGCGGCCTCAACGCCTCGACCTTTCCGACAGAGCATGGCCTCAACGTCAGCGCCTTGATTACCGACGCCCGTGCAGACCTGCAGCTCGACAGCCGCTTCGGCTGCGCTCCCAAGAACTATTGGATGCAGCGCCGGCCGCACACCAGCCCGGACAGCGTGTATACGCTGCTGCGCGACAGGGTGCTACCAGAGGCTATTGTACGACCAGACCGGGCACATGTGCCGCGGCTGGTGCTGACTAACACGGGTGCCATACGCTTCGATATCTTCAAGGGTGCCTTTACGCGCGACACGACATTCATTGTATCGCCGTTTGTAAATTTGATCTACTTCATCCCAGATGTGCCATACGCGCTGGCCAAACAGGTGCTGGGAATCCTCAACAGACAAGACCGCATCCTGGCCGAGAAGACGGGGGATGTCAGCTTGGACTGGCGCGAGCTCAACGTGCCGGAGCAATATGCGATGAAGGGCAGGCGGCATGCGGCGGCTGTCGACGAGGATGGGGCCGACCGGCAGAAGTTGCTCGGGGGCGAAGAGTCGTATCCGCGACTCGTGGCCGGCTACACGACGTGGGATGATGCAGGCACCGACGGCGACGATGCCATTCACTCGCCGCTGCCGTTCCACCCCGTCCCCAACTGCATCCAGGCCGAGGCCGCATTTCCGGCCGAAGGCGAGCCAGAGACGGTCGATCTCGTCTTCTTCGACTTTGTCGGCAAGTTCGTTCTTCAGGCGCTCGCGATCGCGGGCCATGACAGCACTGCCGACAGTTCCAAGCACTATACCGAGACCGATACTGAGACGTACCTCGAGGGCAAGTTCACGGACTATTTCAACGGCTGGATCAAGGAGAACTGGGGACAGCACTGCTGAAGAGAAGGCGGCGTTGCATTCAGGCTGTGTTGACGGAAGTGGCAGTGTTAGTTTGGGCTTTATATATAGATATCATGAAGATCATTAGCAGAAGTTGAGGCGCAATTACGCATTTTGGGTTGCATACAAATCAAGAACTCGCTAATTCCAGTGCCCTCGGACAAAACCAAAGAAAGAAGGGAAATAGGGACAACGGCGTTTCTGGTCATAGCTGCTGCAGAATGCGCTGTTTCCGGCGCTCGAGCAGTTCTTGTTGGACCTCCTCGGCCGTCGGCAGGAGCCAGACCTTGCCGTCGCCCGTGTCACCCGGCAGCGCCTCCCAGTCGGGTGGTGGCCGTCCATCTCCAGACTTTTCTCCGCCGTCGTCTGGAGCGGCCAAGCCGGCAGCTGCAGCCAGACGCTCCTGTGCTTCAGCCTCGCGGCCGGCCTCATACGCGAGCAGGACGGCGTCCTCCTCGTCCGGGCCGTAGCCGTAGTACGCAGCGTCGACATCTTTGCGCAGGTCGTCGCGATCTTCGAGCGGCTTGCCGTCGTCGCCGGTGCTGCCGTCTTTTTTGGAGCGGGCACGGGCGGCCTCGAACAGCTCGCGCACACCCGGCAGCTCGCGGGCGCGGCCAAAGTAGCGGTAGCCCTTTCCGCCGCCCGGGATCTCGCGGCCATCTTCGTCGTACTCCTTGGTGCCCTGGCGGGCGTAGTTGGGCCCGCCGAGATTGCGGATCTGCACCTCCCACATGTGTTTCTCGCGCAGCAGCTTGTTAATCTCGTCGTTGAGGTCGCGGATCTGGAAGTCGCTCAGGGTCGACTCCTGGATCCGCGACACCTTGCGCGAGATCTCCTTGAGCACCTGGCCACGCCAGCGCTCGCAGCCCGACACCGACGTCTGCTCCGAGATCACCTTGGGCCGCCGCGTGCGCCCCGCATCCAGGATGCCCAGGTCGGCGGCCTGAGACTCCCGGAAGCGGTACAGCATGGACTGCGCCTTTTCTGCATTGCGCGCCTGTGAACCGGACGGACGGTCGGCCGTCTGTCAGCCTGCGCTACCTCGTGCCTCTCTGCTCCTGGCCTTCGACGCCGTCAGACGACTTACCATGTTTGCGGGATGGCGTCAGGACGAGTCGGCGAGACTGGCTCGGCTTTCTGCAGACACGTGTGCCGCAGGCAGTTTTCGTCTCGGTCTGGTTCGGCGTTCAGTCTCAGAGGTGCAGTCGCGCCCGTTGCCGTCCTGTCGCCGGTTGTCGACTTATGCGTTGCTACAGGAGAGCTTCCAGAAGAGCCAACCCGAAAATATCAATGCCACCAGCCTTGCGGGGCTAGAGCACAGTTGGCCAATCATATCTCGCAACGCCCTGGCACCATCCCGTGCTTTGCTTAGTCATCGTTGGCCTCGTCATGCAAACGCGACGCGTCTCGACCGAGCTTGTGCCTTTTTTCACGAAGCCAGCCAAAGATGTCTGCGACGCTCGACGACGAGATAGAGCAGCTGAGGGAGCGAGGTGGGTGCTTTGCTTGCTTTGCTTGCTTTGCTACCGGTCTTCTGTCGTTGTTCCGCCTGCTGATCTGCGTGCACAGCTGCTCTCCTCAAAAAACAGCTCCGGGTACATGCTTCCACTCTTCTTTCCGCTAGGCCGACGAGGGAGCTGCTGAGCGATGGCAACACCGGCGACGACAAGGTCCGAAAGCAGCTTCTCGAGCTGTGTGACGCGCACGTGGCGCACAAGCAGCAGTGTCTCTACCGCGCCGGGGCATCGGTCACGGCCTTCCGCGTACGCGACCCCGATCCGAATGCCGTCGATGGCGGGCGTGTGCTCGGATTGCGGCTAGACGTCATGATGGGCGCCCAGTTTCTTCGGCCGTACTACGTCTTGCTGCACAGAGACAGCAGCCGACAGCCGACGCAGAAGCGGCAGCAGCAGCAGCAGCCACAACAGCCGCAAGCACAGCGTCTGCGCATCCATCGACACACAGTGCCGCCCTGCATTCCGCTGTCGGGACTGGCTGCACGCTATCTGGAAGGGACTGCTGCAGTGCCGGCAGGGGCCGGCGTGTCCGGGCCCGACCTCTACGGCTTCGTGCGGGCGCTGCGCCGCGCGCTGGTGCGGTACCACAACCGGCTGGCCGTCATCGGCGATCTTCGGCGTGCAGTGCAGCAGAGGAGTGCAGACGACAGCGAGAGCCACGACACGGCGCTGGCCGATGTCAGTGGCGCCGACACTGAGGCCAAGCAGATCAGGCTCGACTGGGCCGACAATCGGACCGGGCGCTTGGTGATGGACGACAGCGGAAACATCCAGCAGCTCGTCGTCATCGGCGCCACAGGCATTCGGGATCGCGCGGCAGCGCGGGCATTGCTGGCCGGCGAGACTACGGCCCTGGGACTGGTCCGACGGCTGGCCACAAATTGAGTTCTGACAAGCCACGGCTATGCACTCACTACCTCTGGATATTCCGATTGCCAGGCTGGGCTAGCATCGGACTGAAAGGCAAGACTAGAGCACCACACAGTATTGATGCCTGACGGTGGGCCGTTTCGGGGCAGGCAGACGAATGAGCTACGCCCTCGGTAGAGCCCGAAAGACGGAAAGCCAGAGAACGTTCTGGCGAGTTGAGCCTGACCCGCAAACGAAAGAGTGCGGCTCTGCAAGTGGGTCATACGAATGCCTTCATTTGCCATGTATCGATTTTGCTACTGTCATTCCCTATTGGATTGTCAAGGCTATGACAATACCCAACGTCTCCATACACAAAGGCACATGTCGTGTTCTTGACTGAGATATTCTGATGAATCTCTTTTCTCAGCCGGAAACCGCACAGAAAGGGGCGTGTAAAGAAACACATAGGTCGTGACTCAAACAAGGACCGCCATTGCTGCTGCGGCCGCCAGTGCACCAGCAACGCCGAGTGCGCAGTTGGCAGAAGCACCAGCCGTGACCACAGCCATCGGTACCGCCGATGTCGTCGAGTTAGAAGTGGTGGTGCTAGCAGTCTTTGCCAGCTGTTCCGTCAAAGACGAAGCGATCTTCCCAGTGGCAACGTAGGTCACCGGGACCGAAGGGATCGACGAGGGCGAAAGTGTTGCCAGCACTTTGGACGAGGCTACATACGAAGGCAGGACCACTGCCGAAGGGACGGATGTGAGAACGGCAGTTACCGGGTACACGGTCGTGGAGAAGAGTGCGCTTGTAGTATATTCAGCAGCAGATGCGACGGTGGAGGATGTCATTTGGGCGCTGACAGTCGCGGGAAAGATGGTGCTGCTGAAGGACTCGTCGCTGCAGTCCTCATCGTCGTCATCAGCGTGAGAGTCGTAGCTGGACTGTGCTACTGCATAGGCGGCGAGGGTAAGGAGAGAGACCAGAGACGCCTTCATGATGACAGTTGCACTTTCGGGTGTAAGTTGTGGATAAACGAGCGACGAAAAGAAGGGATAGTTGACGGAGAGCCAGACGGAACAGCTTGAGAACAGGATACATGTTTCAAGCAGTGAGACGGCACGTCTGGTATATCTATCTCTGTCGGTCGTTGGCAGAATAGCACATCTTCAACAGGTGCAGACGGCGGCAACAAAGACAACAAAGAAAGACGAAGCCTTTTCGTTTTTGCTAGTTCCCGTTCCCGATCCGTCTCGCTGAACAGAACCGAAGCGCCAACAACGGCCGCGACCCAGACTTCCAGTCGCTGGTTGGTCGGCCTGGTGGAGTGCTGCATGAACACGGCGGTTATGGCCTGCATCGACACAGTCAAGCTCCCACTCCCTGCCGTGGTTCATTTCGCGTTCGATACGCCGTTCCTGGGCGGCTGCCGTAACACTCCCTCTGTCAGCGTAGCATCGGTCGACGAGCACCAGGATGAAGATGAAACCGATTTGCAACGGATGTCATATGCTGATGCAAATACCTGCGAATCACGTGGGAGCGTGGCTATGCTATGCTACATAGGTGCAGACAATGTCTGAGTTTCGAAGCCCAAGCAGCCAGGCGCAGCTGTACGCAGCCATTTCAGGCTTCCCGCTCGTGAACAGAAGCCTGCCCAGCGGCTCTTGCTGCCCCGCTGGTGCCCACCCAACCGCACCCAACCACACCCAACAGCAAGATTACGTCAGAGGCTCTGTACGCACACGAGGAAAAAAAGGGAGAAAAAGGGAAAAACAGCTGCCCCGCTAGGCTATCCCGCTGGAAACGTCCACTAATGACAGGTCAAAGACAGACCCCTCGCGGCCCGCAGCTAGCGCACGTACTGGACTAGTGCAGGCAGCAGAGGAAAAGCAGGCAAGATAACGAACAGGTGCTGGAGGCTTCTGTCGGTCGTAGGACGTTCGTCTTGCAGCAAGCGGGGAGGGAAAGAGCGAAGAGCAGCTCTGCTCCTGCCGCCTGTCGACGCAAAACGGGTCTGGGCCAGCAAGACGTCATCAGCCCTGAAGACGGTCTCCGTCACGCTGCAGAAGGTGGGATATTTCTGCTCGCTAGCAGGAGCAGCCGCAGTGGCTTGGCTTGGGTGGCCTGCCGCCCTCCTGCTCTCTGCCCTGTCGGCTGCCCCTCCCCCTCATCCATTCAGCAGGCCGCTCCTGCCACTTTGCGGAGGCCCCTCTGTCAAACTGGTCAGCCGCTGTCATCATTCGCCTCGCCTCTCTCCCACTGCCTCCTGCCTCCTGTCTGCTCTTTTTCTATTTTTGTCCCGACTGTCCGCCCGTCTTTTCTTCCGTCTTCCAAACCTACCTCTCTCGTCTTACTTTTTCTCCTGCATTTGTGTGCTCATACTGCGCCATCGTCCCCGACAGCGTCTTGCTTGCCTCTACTGCAGCGCGCGGCTCTTTTGGTTCGTCTCTCGGCCTTGTCTGTGAAGGATCTGCACGCACTCGTCCTCCCGTCTATTTTGCTGTTTTCTTGTTTTCCTATCTTTGTACCTCCTACTTCTCGTGTCCCCTTGTCCTGCTCGTCGCATCAAGATGTCGAGCCGTGTCAGCCGGAACACGTTTGAGGACCGCGAGTATCTCGCGCCCGGTGCCCGTCCACGGCCGCGTTCCGAGGCGGGCTACTATGATCGGCGTGAAGAACGTCAACCGGAGTTCCGAAGCCCATCTCGTGGCGGACGGATGCGCGAGGTCGACCAGGTCGATGTGCGTGTCCGCGAGCGCTCACGCGAGCGGGAGCGGGACCGAGACCCGTTTGCTCGATACCATGAAGATCGTCGTGCCGAGAACGGCGCCATGGTGCTTCGCCAGCGGGAAATCGAGACGGTTGAGCGCGAGCGGCCTCGAGCACGAGCAGCTTCGCCGGCTTCTGTGCGCATCATCCGCCGGCGCTCAATGTCTCGCTCGCCGTCACCTCCGGAGCGAGAAATGAACCGGGTCGAGATTCGCGACCGTGTCAATGACCGTGAGCGAGACCGGTATCGCGCTCCGGAAGAGGAGCGAGTCGTCACCCGCATTGTGCAGAGGGAGCGTGAGCGCACGCCCTCGTCGTCGCCCGAGCCGCGAGAGCGCATCCGCATCTTCGAGCAGACCCGGTCTCGCGCTCCTTCGCCCAGCCCATCGCCGCCTCCTGCTCCAGTAGCAGCTCCTCCGGTCATCCGGGGTCCCGTGGTCGAGCGCGAGGTCATCACCCACTACACGGACGTCGATCACGGTATGTGTCATCTTGTGCTGCCAACACCCTACATCCGGATGCTGTGCTGACGTGTCAAGGTGTCGTCTATGCGCCGCTTGTTCCACCGCCTCCGGCGGCTGAGCCGGCACGCCGGCGTGACGTGGACATTGACGTCTTCACGTCGCACAATGAAACCCGCGTGGACATTTCCGAGAAGAAGCCGCGTGAGCGTCGCTCGTCGCGGCCGCCCCCGCCTTCGAGCCAGAGAGGCTCCCGAGGCGAGCTCGTCGTGCAGTCCGAACGCAACCGGCTGGAGATTGACTATGACGATCGCCGGCCCAACCGTTCTCACTCGGCCGCGCCGCCACGCCCATCACGCTACTCTGACGAGGTCGATGACGAGGCTGACTACGTCGAGTCGCGCATCGACGAGCGTGGCCGCATGGGCGAGGCTCGCAACGGTGCCACCCAGGAGTGGTCCATCATCGACGTGCCGCCCGGAACGGAGCGTGTCCGCTTGGACGGCGCTGGTGGTGGCGCTGCTGAAGTTACTTGGCAGCGCTATAACGGCGTGAGACGCACGCGCTTCATCCCGGACCGCCAGGATGACGCAACGCCCGGACGGCGTGACCGTGATCGTGACCGTGACCGCGAACGCGACCGCAGCAACATCAACGTGCAGATCCTAGACAACGGCCGCCATCGCGACCGCGAAATTGACATCCAGCAGGTCAACGACGATCGCGTCATGGTGCGTGCACCTCAGCGCGACGATATGTGGACCGAGATCACCAAGGATCTCGTCAACAGAGAGGCCATTGAGCGCCTCAACTACAAGTACACCGAGACGGACTACTTTTTCTACATTCTCGAGTACCTACACCATGTACGTTTTTGTCTTTACCTTTTTGTCCCTTTCCCCTTCTCCTGTTAATACATTGCACTCACACACAACAGGACGACGTCCAGAAGCTCGTGAAGCTGACTGAGCGCATCCGGCGCAACCGGCGGCACACTCGGCCGTACTCTCGTGACGAGATCGACATTGATGTGCGCCAACGGAAACGCAGCCGCAGCCGTCCGCGACGCCGCCACGACGACGTGCGTGAGCAGGAGATCATTGTAGACCACCAGCCTGCGCGCACCTATTACCGCTAAAGGAGAAGAGAGGAGAGGAGAGGAGAGAAGATTAATACCCACAGTGATGGTTGGATATTATGGAGTCACGAAGTAACGGAAACGAGCTCCTTGCTGTTTGTAGCATGAATTTGTATTTCGCCAGTCTTGTTTTTGCCAGCTAGAGCCCACCGTTCTTGTCGAGAGTTTGAAAGTTATATTTAGGCAACAGATCAGATATATAGCAGCCGTCATCGAGAAACGGATGTCATACAATCTCAGTACCCAGTCGCTCCATCCAAGGTGAACAAGACAGACAGTAGTACACATAAGCCTGGGGATGCCAGCATCCGTGGCGTCGGACCTCTTCCGGCTTCAGGCCGCCTCAACACATCATACTTTTTTTTCCTTGTATTGTTCGTGGAATAAAAAAATAAGAAGAAGATGCACAGGTTTCCGTTTTTCCGAGAAGAATACCAGCCAGCCACGCGCGCCCAAGACATCCCACTCCCTACTTCCTTGTCCGTCTCTTCCTCCACTGTCACAACTGTCTGCGATTATGGCTCCATCCACACCTCTACCTCTCTAGCACTTAGAGCGGTCCGCTGTGTGACATGACGTGTTGCGATTTGTTTCTTTTTTTTTCTTCGTCTCGACAGATGATCGAGATGTTTTGGTGCTTTTGCTTTATTGGTAGTAGTTTTTTTTCGGAGAGGGAGGGAGGGGGGGGAAAGGGAGAAAAGAGGTTCCGATTCGGAGAAAGGCAACCTCCTCTGTCACGGTTCCGGTCAGCCCTCTATGCGCTGGCCTTGATCTTGGCCAGGGCCTTGCCCTCCTCGAAGCGCCGCTGCTTCTTCAACCGCATGACCTTGAAGCGGTCAAAGTCGGTCAGGGCCTTCCGCCGCTCGTTCTGCACCCGCTTCTTGTACCAGTTGCTCGCCTTCCACTGCTCGTCGACCTTGGCCGCCTCCCAGGCGCGCTTGACCGCACCCGACCGCGCGCTGAGGGTCAGCTGGTGCACCACTATGCCGGTGAGAAGCACGTCCGAGAAGGAGATCGATTGCCGAGGCACGCCACCAGGGTTGGCCTCTGTCGCAGGTCCGTCGACAAGAGCCTAGAAATGTGGCGAGCACAAGCCGCGTCAGCAATGTCCTCGTCCTCACGCATCACGCATCACGCATCACTTCTGCCCGCGTCGCCGCTCTGTCGCCTCCCTCCCTGCTTCGCATCGTCTCCTCTTTCAGCTCCGCCTTTTCCCCCCTCCCTCTCTCAGCTCCCCCAAGGATAGGTACCCACCCGCTTGTGGTCGATGATCTCGACGATCGTGGCCAGACGGCCAGCGTACGGGCCGTTGCCCTGCAGAAGGACGACGCGGCCCAGCTCAACGAGCCGCCACTTTGCACCGACAACTGTTGCGTCGCCCATTGTGATAATTGTCCGGGTTCTGGAAGAAGAGGAGGCTGGCTGTGACCGAGGCGATATATGCTGTCAGTCGCCACAGTACTTGATTGCAGGACGGGGGGTTTGTCCACCGTTGTGATCGGGTATGTTATAGCCCGCTGCCAGAATGGATGGACTCACCTTACTTCTCACGTTGTGCGGATGGTTAGGTTGAAGATGGAAATTCGAGATGCAAACCAAGCGTCGGGATATCTTCTTTCTTTCGCGGAATGGATAATTTGGTGCGCCTAAGAAAAATTCGTCGCCTGCCCTAAGACGACCACACGGGAAATTCTGTCCACACGGATAATCGTTGTTGCGGTCCGCAGCAACGTCAATCGCATTGCCATCGCCCTTGCTGCTCCCTTTGTAGAGGAACAGGCTGGTATACGTGGTGGCAAGTCTGTGAGGTGATGAATGCGTTATTCCGCTTCTTACACCTGGTCGCATTTTTTGTCAACGCTTCTCAATGGATCAGTCTGTCCTCTCGTAAAAGCCTTCCAAGTGTCACTGACACGGATTCGCGATCCATATCACGTGGGAAAAAGCTACATCGTGCACTGCACCATTGCTGTAGTATTGAAAGTACCGATTACCCCTCCTCCAAGGTACCGCGCCAGAAGGTAGACAGCATGGCCAAAACCAGTTTAGCGCGGTCAATTGCAAACCCTACGGCATGCCCATTTCATTTTCGCCTCGCAAAGTTCTTTCGTTCGAAGCAGAAGGAAGCCCGAATCCATAAACTCAACGACGAACCTCCGTTACCCACTTCGTGACCACTCATACCACCCCTTTCACGCAAGGTATGTCATCGTATTTTTCAGACATTTTCGGAGTGCTTTACCGATATGTCACCTGTGGCCATACATTCCCGTTATTCCCTCTTCGCTGGAACATACTGCTAACTCACGCTCTGCGCCTCGCTCAGTCAGCAGACAACACCACCGCTCAAAATGGCCAACCCCCGTGTCGAGGAGCTCCCGGACGACGAGACCAAGAATGTCCAGGTCGAGGAGCAGGAGGAGGAGGATGACAGCTCTGCCGAGTCGGAGATCGAGGTTGCCCCCCCCGCCGGCTCCACCACGGTCGTCCACTCCCGCAACGAGAAGAAGGCCCGGAAAGCCCTGGAGAAGCTGCACCTGATCCGCGTTGAGGGCATCACCCGTGTGACCCTCCGCCGGCCCAAGAACGTGAGTCGCTATTAATTGCCGGCCGCCAGAGGAAGCCTGTCACTAACAGACGACCCAGGTCCTCTTCGTGATCAACAACCCGGAGGTGTACAAGTCCCCTAACAGCGGCACCTACATGTAAGTACAGGAGGCCGAGGGCGAGATGCTGCGTGAACGTGGACGTGCGTGGCTGACATTGGACGCTGCAGTGTCTTCGGTGAGGCCAAGGTGGAGGACCTCAACGCCACGGCCCAGGCCGCGGCTGCCCAGCAGCTGGCCAGCCACGATCACGACCACGACCACGCTGGCCACGACCACGACCACGACCACGATCATGACCACGATCACGGCGCCGAGGGTGGCGACGAGAAGAAGGAGGAGGAGGAGGAGGATGAGGAGGAAGAGGTCGATGCCACCGGCATCGAGGACAAGGACATTGAGCTGGTCCAGACCCAGGCCGGTGTGTCCCGCAACAAGGCCATCAAGGCTTTGAAAGAAAACGACAATGACATTGTCAACTCGATCATGTCGCTGAGCGTCTAGGGCTGCTCGGCCGTCGACGAACTGTCCTGGGGAGGGCGATGAATTGTTGCGCTTGCGTTGACCAACAGTGCGAGCAGTCTTGGACATTTCCCACTGCTTGCTGACAGCAGCGACTGCAATGGAAACAAAAAATGCACATATACAATTCAAAAGCACTACTTTGTATTTGTTGATAAGGAAAACGTAGTCGTAAAAAGAACGTGGCCACAGTGCATTGGAGCTGGAGAGAAGCCGTCATGGATTTTTCTGTTGTCTGTTCTAGTGCAGACTTCCCCTCCAACGAATTTGGTGCTTCCGGCGAACCGAAGCCGGACAGCGAGGGAGCCACGACCAGCTCTGGCTGCAGCACAGTCGTTCTGCCGTGCCAATTGATCTGCCTGAAGGGTGTCTCTCGATCGAGACGTTGCGAGCCGGCTGCTTCCGCCCCTTGTCTGGTTACAAGGCCGAAAGGGATCTGGGGATAGAAGCAGCTCCGGGTTTGATCACGTGATCTTGGCATTGGGGGTGTTGTGTGTCGCACCGGGTTTTCCAGCGTCCTAGCTTTTCCGAACTACCCAGAAAACTGGCTTCCGGCCCGCGAATCGCTGTTTGGCCAAACTTTCTCCTCTAGCAAAATCTCCTCTTCCCGCCACCAAGACCGCCTCCGCTGCAACCCGCAATCCAGACGACAATCATCATGGCCGCTGTGAGTTTCTGACGGCCATTCCTGCTCGACGGTCGTGGGAGGAGCCGACGCAATGGAAGGATACGAGGGCGATAGGGCGGCCGTTGTGCCGAGCGAAGCACAGATGAGCTAATTTTCCTTTTGTCCACAGAAATCCGCCGCCCTCAAGCTCGACTGGGCCAAGGTGACGACGTCGCTCGGCCTGCGCGGCCAGACGGTGTCCTCGCTGCAGGCATTCAAGAAGCGCAGTGACGATGTGCGGCGCAAGGTGCAGACGCTGTCAGAGCAGCCGACGACGGTCGACTTTGCGCACTACCGCAGCGTGCTGAAGAACACGGCCGTCGTGGACGAGATCGAGAAGCGGTTCGCCGCCTTCAAGCCGGTCACCTACGACGTCAACCGGCAGCTCAAGGCCATTGCCGCCTTTGAGGTCGAGGCCATCCGCAACGCCGAGGCCACCAAGGAAAAGGTCGACCTCGAGCTCAAGGACCTCGCCAAGACGCTCCAGAACATCGACGAGGCCCGGCCGTTTGCCGACCTCACCGTCGACGACGTCGCCGCCGCGGAGCCGTCCATCGACGAGAAGACCGCCAAGCTCGTCTCCAAGGGCCGCTGGGCCGTCCCCGGCTACAAGGTCAGTCCTCCGGTGATCCGGCCGAGCCCGAGTCCGCTCGCGCCCAGACGCGTCTGTGCAGTGCTGACACCTCGAACAGGAGAGATTCGGTGACCTGTCCATGCTATAGAGCATCGGTCGGATCGGCATGGCAGCATGGCAGTCTTGTCCCCTTTGTCCCCCTTTTTGTACTCTAGCAGTCGTGTAAATACGGAAAATATTCAAAGAAGCAGGCAAAGGAGCAATAGAAGATTTTGCACTCTTCCACCGTCCATTTGTATCTCTTTTGTGGGAGGTAAGTTGTCTTGCTACGTCCGCATGGCTGATCAGCACCCACACCTGCTGTTTTGACTTGCTGTTTTGACTGACCGTGAAATCTGAACCCGGTTTTATGTTTCATGGCCACTATGTCGCTACCAATATGGCAAGACGCCTCGCCATCTATCAAAGAGCACTCAATGCCCACAAGCAGATGCGAATCAGGTTGAACCATCCGGCCCATTCGGGCCCTCCTCTGTCCGGGATTGGATCCGCGATGCAACCCACCCAAGAGCAGACGATTAAAAACAGCAACAAAAATAAAGGAATACCAAGTCAAAAGGCCTCCCACAGACGCATCAGCGCCTGTCTCCCAATCCCTACCCGTCCCTGTTCCGTCCCAATTTTCATGCACCCGCCACCCATGACAGCCCCTCCAGCATAGCTTTCTCTGCCTCCAAGGCATGCGACATCCAGGGCGTCTTCAGCCAGAAGGTGTGCGGAAACCCAGAGAGAACCTGAACCTGTACAGGCACGCCGGCGGTCTCCAGGGCCTTGGCGTAGCAGACGCCGTCCGAGTACAGCATGTCGTTGGTGCACACCTGGATCCAGTGGCGCGGAAGCCTTTGCAGCACGGCTGCCGGCGCCTCCAGAGGCATGCGTTCCAACCCGTCTCGCGGCACAAGGCGGTGCATAGGTCCCAGGAGGCTCGACTCGAAGGCCGCGTTGACGGCACTCGTGTGCAACGGACGCAGATATGCGGGTACATAGGGATCGAGGCCGCCGAATGCATCGCTGGTGACAGGGCAGCGCAGGATGACTCCATACAGGCCACTGTCCGTGTCGTTGTCGTCATTGTCTGTGGCGTTGCCTTCTCGGCTGTCTCTTCCTGCTCTGACAGATTGTGCGACAAGGGCGGCCAGCTCGCCGCCGCTGGAGCTGCCTATGAGCAGCAAACGTGCCCGTGGGTGAAGTGAACGCACATGGCGGAAGGCATCGGCGCAGTCGGCCACGCAGATGCTGGCCGGATTCAACGGCATCAGCCGGTATCCGACCGAGTAGAGGACGAGCCTTGTGTCTCCCCTCTGCGACAATTTCGCGTCCTTGACTATGCGCCGGCACGAGAGGTCCTCACTGTCAGCCTCGCCAATGTGCAGACCGCCACCATGGATGTAGACCGCCACCCAGGGCACATCTTCTACTGTGTCCGGCTGGCCGCTATACAGCAGCACCGGGATGGCGTATCCGTCTAGCGAAGAAGGCGCGGTGATGGGGCATGTGACGATGCCCTCGGACAGGTACTCGTCGCGGGCCCCAGCAGCACGCATCCGCTCACTCAGCTCGCGGCACTCAACAGCATAGCGAGGCTGGCGCTCCAGGGGAGGCTCGATGATACGCGGCATCGGCAGGTTGGCATCCTTCTCATATTGACGCCAGTCTTTGTGTAGTGGAGGAGGATTCGGGAGGACCAGACTGTCAATGGACGACGTCGCTGCGGATGCTGGGGTCGGCTGTACTGGTTCGACCTGCACTGACGACAGAGCCATTGTGGCCAAGGATGCAACTGTCTGTGGTTGCAAGTTCTGAGGATTTCCGTGTCTGTCACGTGGTGCAGGTGTAATACCGATGATAGTGGAGACAACGGTGCCGAACAGAAGGCTGTGGGATGTGTAACCAGCAACACGGCAGAGGGACGAAGGAAAGGGGACCGGGGAGAGCGATCGGTCTACTTATACGCAAACTGGTGGGGGAGTGATAGAGTGATGATGTATGGTGGAAGTCGTTGCGTCTTCGAGGCCCTTGGGTGATGTGCCCTCACGGTGGACAGGGAAGTCAATGTGACGGGAGGTCAAGCAGAAGCAGACGTAGACAGTGAGTGGGATGCTCGCAAGAGGCCAAGGGCCCGAGGAGATGTCGAGTTGATATAGGGCAGCCGTTGTTGCAATAAATGCAGTGTGACAAGACGTCCTGGCAGCTGTGTTGAGGCACAAGACAGGCTGTGAAGGGGGCAGGATGGTACAGAATTGCGTGTAAGTGCAAGCATGTGTTTGAGGAGGCCACACACGGAATCGAAGGGAAAAGGAGGGGGGCGCAGAAAGGGGGGGAGGGGTGCAGACAGGTAGGATGATAGAGACACCTCCTTGTGTTGACACGATGTGCTTGCGTGCTGTATGACGTACAGGAGAGAGGAGAAGCGAGAGAGAGAGATGAGAGTGAGGAGGTGAGGCAAGGTAAACGAGGAGGTTCCACCGTGTGGTGAGTACCAGACTGTCCGGCCGAAATGCCAAACCGATCAGGGCTAGGATAAAGACGATGCGCCGTGCTGCGTATCTGCGTCTGCTGCTCGGCCGTATTGGGAGCGCATCTCATTTTTATGGCTCTCTCCCCTGGGACAGCCCACAGCACAAGGGGGCACATGGCCTAGTACACCTGGGGAATGGTCCTCGGCCAAGGATGGGAACAGCGGATAAGAAAACGAGAACCGCAGAGTCCCGGTCAGCTGGATTTTTAGCCTCCCACCAACGGGTACTCGACTTTCTCCGAAGTAGCGGGCTGTGTGTATTTTGGACCAAGCCAGAACGGCCGCTTCGTTAGTGTGAGTCCAGAGTGCGTACGAGTACGGCTTTGCTGCTAGTCGAGTTGCCATGGGAGATGCGGCTCCGGGCTGCCGAGGGCGAGTGGGAGGCGAAACCATTCACTTGCGTTGAACTTGTACGCTGTTCACCGAGAACCACCATTGAGGCGTCGACAGGAGGCCGACCGGTATCTTATTCGCAGAGACACCACCCCTGCGTGTAGTGGTTGGTGGGCAGGGTCTACGTTCCATTCTTTTGGGGTCCAGACCTTGTAGTGAATTTTCGGGGGAGAGAGGGAGGGGGGGGGGGGGGGGTGTGCAGAGCGACGGCTGCGGGAAGAGAAGACGGAAAGACAGGAGAGAAGTGAGTAGGAATCGACAATTGAGACAGACCGTGGATCAGACCCAAGAAACCGGATGTCTGCGAATCGCAGCAAGCGACAAGGGTGGTGGCCATCGTGACCAGATCACGGCCATCACAGCAGTGGCAGCTAAAAGGGTAAAGGCTGAGATAGCACCGGACGACGTACTAGAGGCAGAATATCCGTCACAGACGGGAAGGGAAGAGCCTGAAAGGAGGGGTGAGGTTGCGGTAGCACATCTCTGACCCCTGCAAGGCCGAAACAAAGCGTGGAAGGTATCTTGTGTCCTAGGGGAAACGAGAGCCAAGAGAGAGCCAATTTGGCATCGGCAGGGTGACAGCAAAGGATGGACATGGCGACAAGGGGGTGGAGACAAGGCCATGGGACAGCAGAGGAAAGTATTACGAGTATTATGTATCGTGCATTCGCAGCTTCCTTCTGATCTTCAGTAGAACGCCTGAAACAGACTTTGCCCCCCGTCTGGAGCCGTCCGATTGAGGGTCGCAGCTGCCACGAGAGGCTTCGAGTGGGCGACTGCCCGCTGTGCGGACCCTCGCGCCGCTCGCGTCTCGCCAAGCCGTGTCTGGGGGATCTAGAGCACTGTGTCCGTATAATTCCGAGTCGCAGCGACCCTTTGTTTGTTTTTTTTTTTTTTCCTTTGGGCTGCTTGCTTCTATGCTTCCTTTTGTGCTTGCTTTTGTGCTTTTCGACTCCCTCACACTCTAGACGTTGGACTAGCTTAGTGCACCACACGCCGGCAAGTCCAGGTCGGTCTCGGATTATGCCCTTACCAAGGCTTTTCTTGTTACCGGCCAAAAAGGTCAGAGGGTAATCGTCCTCTAGCAGCATCAGCCCCCTCCCCCCTGGCCACCGGTGTAGACTTGTGGAAGTCGGAAGATGGAAAAGGAGGGGTCGACAGCCGCCCTATCCAAAAACCCCCGCCGGACGGTCCTCTGCTCCTATATTTCTACCCGTATTACAGAGTACGAAGTACTCGTATCTTACATGAAGAAACAACCATACATAGTAGTCATAGCTGCTATCCACAACGACATCGCCAGGAGCAGCTCGCGTACGGAGTATATAGAGCTACGTACTCCGTATGGAGTATGCACTCCGTACTCCGTACTTGTAGACCTGTCCGTCTTATTTTGGACCCATCCGCACCTGCAGTAAACTGCCCGACATGCCCAGCTTAGCAGGACGGAATGGCAATACTCTCTTACAGTACTCCGTACGTCGTAGGATATTTGCAAACGCACGCGGTGCGTGCGATACCCGAAGCGGACAGCTAGGTAGAAAAGGGAAAGGGATGGGGCGGGTCCGTATGCCACCTGTACTCCGTAAGATACTCGTACGGCATACGGACAAGCGTAGGCACTGAGTCCTTAGCGAGATCCTGGGCGGCCCGTTGCACGCGTACCTCGTAGGACGAGGTGCTTGGCTCGGTCTCCTTTGCTGTTCTGTCATCTGTCATCTGTGTCTCTTCGCTCTCGGCAATCCTCGTGCTCGCTCGCGTACCTGTGCTGTCGTGAAGCGGCTGTGGCGAATGGGAGACGAAAGAGGTTCGTACACGTCAGATACGGAGCACACAAGAGGCGGGAGGATGCAGTAGCGAACCGACCGACAAGCAGACCGACGACGAGTCAAGAGGGAGGGGAGGTGGGGTTTCTGTTGGAGGGGCGGAATTTGGCCAGTGTTCTGGGCTTAAACAACCCTGCGTCGAGATCGCGTTGCTGGAAAGAGGTGACGGATTGAGCGATAGGCCGAATACGACAGCACGGCCGGTACGACAGCACAAGGACGGAAGCAGTAGGTGATACCACATGGCCGAAACAAGCAGGCGCCACCCTCTCTTCCGGCAAATCTCCCACCGAGGCAGCTGTCAAAGTGATCGCTCTCGCTAGCAGTTCACGTTTTTTCTTCTTTCCTTTCTTCTGCGTCTTCCAGCTTCACCGCCAAGACGAAAAGCGAATTAAAAAAACCCCTGCCTGGTGGAGCTGCCGCTGTCGGTCATACATAGAATATATATCTTACTATGAGGTAAGATACGGAGTACTCCGTACTATTACTTGATATGTACAGAGTCCAAGCAATGGCGAAGCAACCTATTTTCGCCGCGGTGGGGACGGCATTTGCGCAAGAGGAGAAGAGCCCCTTGCCCCCGAAAATAAATAGAAGAACCAAAAGGGCAAAATGGAGGGAAAAAATAGTGGAAAATGGCCTTACACGGGACGCGCAGAGAGACAACTCCACCAGTCAATGATCATCAAGCGAGACGGGTCCCGGCACCCGGTGCCTTGGGTTCGACGCCAGCGTTGTCGGTCAGCAGCCCATCCTTCCTCTTTCTTCCCTGGTCTGCCCAGTGGCCTGCATTTACGGACAGAGACGTTTCTGGTACGCAATGCCGTGTTACCCTGACCTGTTCGTCCCCCAACCAAACGATTGTGTACGATACTGTTACGGGACCCGGAAGATACGACGGATATTTAGCATCTCCGGATATTCAACGCCATGTGTATACTAATATCGTTTAAAGCCGCCTGAACCGCAAGCAAGACCGATTGTCACCTTTTCTTGCCTGCATATCGTCATGTATTTATTGTTTCAGCTGGTTCGGCCCAGTACGGATAAGCTCAGTATGCAAAGTCCGTCCTATTACTATTTTCTTCTCTTTTTCCCTTCTTATTCACTATCATTTTATTTTTAATTGTTTATTTTCGACAGAAAGCCGCTCCGCCCTGCAGGCGCTTTAAAGAGCGGCACGCCGCATGATGTGCCTCTTCCCACTGCGATCCTTCGCTCGTACGTATAAATTGCATTGGCCTCCGCATGAAGCTTGCGGCATGTGACAAATATGCACACAAGAAAAGAGAAAGTGAATGCTTATCACTTGCTTATTGCTCATCGCATGTCTTGCCCTGGGCCGCAATTCGATATATCGATCTCGATACAACCGATAGTGTACTTAGTTCTTACGTGTCAATTGCTAAGATCGATCAAGATTGACTGCTGGATCTCCGACACGCCACCCCCTCGTTTCCTGCGCGGAGATGTTTTACACGACGGCAAACCTCCTTGCACCGACATTACCGTTGTCCAAGACATGTCAACCTCAGCTACATGTGGCACCCTACCTTTTTTGCTTGCGAGCAGGTCACAACCAGTAAGACATCGCTTGCAGTAATTTCGGCAAGCGACGTAGCGGTCTGAAAGCAGGAGCCAGTGGTGGAAAAAAAGAAGAAAAAAGAAGCACCAAGGTGCTCATGAGGTTGTGCCAACCGGCGGTCAGCGTTTCCAGCCAACCGCTGCCTCCAGCCAGGCATTTGCTGTCTCGCCCGAGATGTAGCGTATCCGCAGTGGCGTATCTCTCCCACCAATTGCAGCCATGCAAGCCAAGGACACTGAAATATATGTTCTGCGCCGTACGGAGTACATCTCATGATACCCATGACTCAAAGTAGCATTGCAGGTTCCGTGCTGCCACTAACTTGGTCCCGTCGCTTCCGACTCGATCAGTCATACGCATCATCGTCCATATCGCCTCCTTCTCGGTCCGTAAACACCATATATCCGTCACTTTTGACACCCGCTTCTTCGCCAACGCCTTTGTGGCCCATAACACGCATCCATGCTCCGCGTACAGCATCCAATGATCCGTCTGGGACTGTCAAGTCGGCCGGCAGTGGCGTGAAGCACAATACGGATTCTTGCTGCTGGCGAGAGCTGCTGGCTGAATCTGCCGCCGGCTGACTACTCGGCGCGCCACCACAACTAAGCTGCTCGTAATACAGCTTGTATAGACACGGCAGCTGCTGCGGTGGCACAGCTGGGCTAGCTTCGTCATTTCTTTTTGCAAAGGCCGCTAGCAAAGTGTCCAGTGCGCTGTTGAGTACGGCCTTGGCATTGTCCGTGTGGACTGTTGCCAGGTACAACACGCCTGATAAGAACCTCGTATTAGCCATAAATCCACAAGCAATGACAGCGGGGGGGTAGGTGGAGACGTGGAAGAGGAGAAGAGCAGATCAGAAACATGTGTTGTCGTCAAAGCATATAGCTCAGACAATGTAGATAAGTATTTTTATGAAGATCATCATTTGCTCTATGCGGAAATGGTGAAGAAAATGACAAAAAGGGGCAAATGAACATGACTTACATTGTCCCAGGGGGCATTCCCCCGTGTCACTCGAGTGCGCCATGGCAAATACAGGATGTTCCGGTGCCAAACCTTCAGCAAGAACTGGCCGTCCAGCCGGAATAGCCACCACGGCGCCGCCAGCCACGGGTGCGCCTTCGACTGGCGGAGTGAACAGGAACGGAAGCGAAGCGCCGATGACAGCCACCAACCGGCTGAGTCGCTGCGTGCCCGCTTTGGATGCAGAAGGCCGCAGGCCCTCTGACGAGCCCGGCGACAAAACCAGGGCAGGAGTTGTCCCCAACTCCTCATCGCCACCGATGATAAGTCTGGCCTTGACGTGAATGTCGTTTGTCAGCTCCAAATCGACAAGCTTGTCCTGCTTCTCCGGGTCTTCGGCCTCTGCTGCCACCTGTGTCAAGTTTCGAATGCCAGCACCAAGCATGTAGACGGCACCTCCTACTGCTCCGGCACGACAAGAAACCTGGGATATCTCACTACAGCCACCCCACTTGGGGTAGACAGCCGCGAAACCTGGACCGAACGCACCCATAGACGTGATGTGCCGGTGAAGGCGGAAGATACCGTCCGCTACCGTAGTGTCGGCGCCGTCGAGCGAGAGTGTCAACGCCAGGACATAGTCACGGATGCGGCCATCAAGATCAAATTCGCTCTGCAGAAAGCCGCCAAACGGTGCTGTCGCCTGCGACTGCCACTCTGCAGTGTTCTTGCTGCTGCTGCTTTCGCCTGGCAGAGAAGAAACTGCATCCTCGTCGCTGCCATGGGCGATGACAAACTTGAGAAACTTCATCAGCTTGCGCTTTTCCCGTGGGCCCAAGGCCGTGGTGGCAAAAACATCCTCGCGCGTTGCAGGTATGCGGACTAGCGAGGGGACAGGAGAGGAAGAGCCGGCCGTCTCTTCGACGACAAAAAAGGAAGAGACGGCGAGGAACTCCAGTTGCCGATAGGCCTGCGAGGATACGAGCCGATTCACCAAGGCCGACCGGCTATGCAGGAGCTGTGGCGCTAGAGCTAGAGCATAGGAGCGGGATGCTGCGAGCTTGGGATTGCTGCTCGCCAACACCGCTCCGTCTTCATGGCTCTCCAGCCGAGACACAGAGACATTCGAGAAGACAGGCACTGCAGATGTCGATGGCTCGAGGCCACCATACCGGCTGGCCCACGCGTCTGCCTCCTGCAGGCTCAAGGATGCTTCGGCGCCACCATAGTATTCATTCGGATCAATGTGCAGGATTTTCTTGTCAGAACGAGAAAGAGCCCTTGGATTGACACAGATCAGTCACGTCACGGTACGATGGCTAGGTCAGTCAGACAAAAACAGGACAAATCGGCCAGGAAAAAGGGTATGTGATAGGAAGACATACAGCGCCAGTAGAGACTGCTGGAGACCCGTGCCACATATAACGACGTCCCAGATAGTGTCAGAAATCGACTCCATAGCCGGAGCGATGGTCTGCCACGTTGGTTGGTATGCAGAGGAGGAAGATTGGAAGAAGGAAAAAGTTGGGTGCTGGATGCAGGCAGTAATGAAAGTGAAAAATGGCTTGCTGCTTAGTATGTGGGGCACGATGCGATGTCCGGCAAGACGTTTATCCGACCGCGCCAAGCTTGCAGTCAAATTGACCGCGCAATTTTTTCTTTGATCTTTCCTCTCTTTCTCACCAACCACTCTGTCCCAAACAGTGGCCGTCAACAGCTTTCGAGTTCGATGGTTGCCATTCGTTTGGAAAGCAGCCATTCACTTGGCTGCACCATCAAAGTGGGAGATTGACACGGACTCTGTCCGGGCTCCTCCTGTATCTACTGCTCTTGATTTTCTCTGTAAGCCTGAGAGGGTGGTTCGAAAGGTTGTGGGACATTTCCTTTATCCGTTGGCCGTATTAGTCAGCAAGACGGCTCTATCAGATGCAAACCGGTTTGGCCGGTCAAAATTATGTCTTGCTTTGCTACAGGGTATCATGCTACCGTCGTAGACTAGTGTATGAAAGCGGCAAGTTGTCAGCTCTAATTGTTGCCTCCAACGGCTGTTCCATATATGAACGCGTAAGTGAGCCGACATCCGCCCTATGAGCTCTGTATAATTTGTGAAACGGCCCGAGACCCTGTTGCAGGTTGCGAGACCACCTGCCCGGCAAGTCGACCAGCAGACAGTCCTGGCAAGACAGAAGCCTCCACGGACGCCATGGCCTCCTTGGCCATCTGCTCGGTCCTGTAGGTCGGTGTGCACGCGTTGTTCGATCCTGTATGTTGTCGGCTTCGAGGCCAGGTCGATCGGCTGTGCTGTAGACACCGAAAAGTAAAAAATAAACGCTCTGCCCCGGTGGTTTTCGGATCATGGTTTTGCGCTGTCCAGCGCCTCTGCGAGGGCGGTCCAGCGCTTCTCTGCGGCGGCGACGAGCGCGTGCAGCTCCCGGGGCCCAACCAAGACGCCGCCCGTCTTGGACAGAGCCCGCACCATCGTCTGGCTGCCGTCGCTGCGGTCGACTACCACCGTCACCGTCTCGCGGCACTGGTTCTCCTCGAGGCGGTCCGGGTCCAGCAAGATCCAGCGGGCTCCGCCCTGCTGCCGCTTCTTCTTGTTCTCGACGCAGACCACGGCGGTCGTGGCCACCGGCAGGCCGCGCAGGGTCAGGGGCGCAGAGGAGGCGACGTTGGTCTCGGGCTCGGACTCGGTCTCGGTCTGCGGGCTGCAGACAACCTCACCGCGATCGGCGTCCCATCGGGCCAGCGGCAGCTGGGTGTCGCGCAGGGCGGCCACGACGGCGGCCCAGGCAGCATCGAACGGGTTGCCGTCGAACGAGAGGAAGAGCAGATCGATGTAGAGGGTCCAGTACGCCTTGAGCTCGGGTCCCTGGGTAGCCTGGCCGGGGTCAAACGCATCGAGTGCCTCGTCCGCATCGCTCTCGTCCACGTCCATCTCGTCGTCGCCGCTTTTGCTGTCGGTCGATCGCGACGACGGCGGCTGGTGCCAGATCTTGAGCCGCTCGGCGTCCACGAGGCCGCTGGCGTGCAGCAGCGAGTACAGGCGGGTGCTCAGGGGCTGCGCCAGCACCGAGGGCGGGCCGCCCGGCAGAAACTCGGGGGCGCTGCCGGTGGCCAGTTCGAGGTTCGGCACGAGCAGGTCGTAGTCGCGCAGCTGACGGCGGTTGTCCGTGTCGATCTCGGCCTGGCTGAAGACGGATCCGGCTTCTGTCGGTGCTGTCGTCACGGCCGACGGCCGGTAGTGCGGGATGTTGTCGACCGGCAGGATCTCGGCGCGCACACCGCAGATCACGCGCGTCCGGTCGAGACGGACGGCAGCGCTGCCGTGAGCCTGCGACAGCGACCCCGTGTGCACGTCAAAGGCGCGGGCCTCTTCGGGTGACCGGCCGTTGGGCCGCGTCCCCGACCCAAAAGGAGACGAGTCTGCCGTCGTCTCCCGCGCGAGGTTGGCCACCAGGTATTCGTGCGGCGCAATCTTGGCAAAGATCGGCTTGGCCAGCTGGCCCTTTGGTCGCGACATCTTGAAATGAGAAACTAGAAATAGGTCGGTGGCTGGGCTTGACAGCGGATGGCCGGTAAGCTGTGAGGAACCGTACGGGCGACGGCAAAGGCAAAGCTGTCGACTGTTGTGGATGGCCTGAATGGAAAAAATTTCGAATGGGACAGCAGAGAAAAACAGATAAGATAGCAGTCCAAATGATGCGGAGCCTCGTCGCTACTCCGTATAGCACGCGTTAGTGGCCTAGGCGGCCTATTTGGGCCTTACAGCGTCTGGACTCTCGCTAAGATGAAAATCAGAGGTGGTATTAAGATGCAGCTCCGCAGTATGGAGTTGTATGCGAGGCAAGAAAGGAAAGAACCCCGCTGCGTTGTAGTGCATCCGACGTACATGAGCAAGAAAATAGACCCTATATCACTCCACGCCAGGCCCGCCCGGCTCTTTCTATCGCTCACGACGATGCAGTGTCCCGTCTGTTCTTCACGGCGCCGTCGAGCCCCAGCGCATTTCTCGCCAGCGTGCCACAGTTCGGCGGAGGCCCTCGGCCGCCGTGTCTCTGCCACGAGGCCGGTCGTTTCTGTCTGAGATCTCGACCGAGAAGGATGGCCGCGCTGAGCCGTTGGGGTCCTTGACTAGCTTTCGTGCGGCCGGCCGCTCTCCCGTCCAGGACGGACGCCGAGCATCGGCCGCGGCCAGCCAGACTCGCTGCAGCGCATGTGGCGACGATGTTCGGTGCAGCAGCTCTCGTCTTGTTGCGCTCTTGTTGCGGTCTACCTCTCTCTCGGTGCTGCTGCTCTGGAGCAACATCTCGTAAGCCGACGCCGACGCCGACGCAAAGCTCACCTCGCTCTCGTGCGTAGTCAGCTTCGCCGGCAGGGCCGCAGATCGACCGAAAAATCGCCGCATCGCTCCGGGACCGCTCCTCTCTGCTGCGTCTTTTCTTCTCCTTGTCGTCCCTCTTCAGGCTGGTTGTGTAGTAGCAGCAGTTACGGACGGAGAAGGTGCGGCAGAATGCAGGTTGTATTTTAGTAGCTCCGGGTGATGTATCCTCTCTTGCAGGTGCATGAGAGCGAGAAAATCCGATTGCGTCTTTGCAGGAGGTCAGTGTAGCATTGCCCTGGCATTCCCCCCGCCCTTTCGCCAAAGAGGGGTGGCAGGAAACTACGAGTATATGCTAAGCATGCTAAGCCGCATTAAGCTCTCGTTCGCTAGCCATGCCAGTGCCATGCCCAAGATACATAGGAGCTCGGAAAAAAACATATAAAAACAAGTGTTCTTAGGCTCGTATCGGCTTCCTTCAACTGCAAGTTACCGCAAAGCTTAGCTTACTAGACCTCTACTTACTTCTCCACCAACAACACTGCGGCCGTTGCTGTTAGACGTAAGCCATCCAACAAACGTTTCGAGCTTCGAACCGACGTCAGCCGACTTTAGCCTGCTCGAGATATCTCACTGCTCCCAGATCGTTCGATCTCCTCTCCATCGCCCTAGTCCTATGCGCGTTTTCTCCATTCGGCAGGCGCTCTGTAGATCGGCATTTTTCGTATGGCTGCTCCTAACGCTGAGGACAGTGGCCAGTCACCGTCTATGGTTGCAGCCGAGGCTTGTGCAAAGTGGAAGACATCCATTCTAGAAGCCCAGCCGCGAAACGCAGATGCAAGTGGTCAGAGGGCGGGCGGAGAGACACGACTGTCAATCTCCCCTCTGGCTGGTCCCATGATCAGAAAGCCTATCTCAATCGGCTGTTTCCAAGTCAGCTTACTCCGTAATTGTAGCTGCAAGCATACGTATGTACCAAGAATCGCGAATCAATGGCAATGTGTGCGAGACGAGGCACTGGTTGTCTCATAGCGGCGATCCTCTAGCGCCAAGTTGCGGATGGCTGTCCTAAGACCTGCTAGCGTGATCTCTGTGGCCTTCCGGAAGCTTTGCAGCTGGGGGAAGAGTACTCGTACTCCGTAAGCTGTATTACATAGGAGAACGCTCTGATAGGACAGAGATACGTCTCTGCACCACACCCCTGCACCCCATCCCAATGAGGAAGCCGCCTGTAACGGCAGCCGAGTAACAAATACGAGCAAGATGGGAATGCTCATGCTGCGATACTACGAGATGTATGTCGCCTTTTCGGTTACGACGTAGGCTTATATCTTACATAGTCCAAGAAACAGACGTCGCCGGGAGGCCAAATCTTGTGCGTGCCTGAGCCTCCGTCCCTAACATTGTCGGCCGGTAGGAGGTGGTGAAACCATGGAAGCGATAGCCTAATCACAGTGGGGCTGCAACATGTCTCTCTTTTCTGCAGCTAAGATGCATGGTACTGGATCCTTGCAAAGCACGCTTCTGTGTGCCCTTGTCCTTCGAGTAAGATGAGATATAGCGCGATGTCGAAGGGAGTGCCAGCACCTTAAATACGTACGAGTACTCGTACTCGTAGGCTCTGCAGGCGAGAAACGAGGTTGCATTCATTCCCGAAATTGCATTTGCTCCGGGTCACGACAACAGCGGCTAGCATCGCCCAATGGGGCAGTGGGTGTCCGTGTGCGCTGTAACGCCACCAGTTGCTGTTAGTGCAGAGTTGTATACTAGACTTCTAATTTAGGAAGGTGAATAAAACGCAAGACAGCTTCTGGAAAAAGTGTCCCGTTGGACGGCCAGTTCTTGCCCAATTCCCCCGCCCGGTCTTTGTTTTGACCTTCCCATTCGACCATAGTAACGAATAGTCTGATGGATGTGGGCATGCGGGTGATTTTTGTCACGACCTGGGAGGAGTAACAGAAACCGGGCTAGTTTTAAGCAACTGACAGACGCACAAAAAAGTGGCAGTTGTCTCTCTACCCACTTCGTATCGAAGAAGACGGACACGGAAAACACCGGGGATTTGAGCGATACAGACGACTGACATGTGACTAGGGAAAGACCTTAGGCCCCACCCAGCTCCGGGTATCTCTTGTCTGTCTGATCGGCAAGAAAAAAGACGGGGCGGGATATCTTTCGCAAAGGCAAGTGCATACGAAGGATTGGGGGGCAACGAATACAGCCAAGGCCGGAAAAAGTCATGTTAAAACCCAAGAAAGCAGTAGGTGACCCCCTGCTGCATGTGTGCATATGTGTGGGACAGCATATGAGTTCGTATGGGATAACTCGTACAACTCGTACAGTCATACATGGTGTCTGCTGTGGCACATAGTACGAGTCATTGCGAGCCTATTGCGCCGTTTATATAATTATAGAATAGCCCCCCCCCCTAGATTCGGGCGCGCCTTCCCCTCGTTTCTGTTCTTCACAGCTCCTTCCCTTCTCGCTGTCTGCCTTTGCGGGTTTCCACCCCCCCTCCAGAAGAACGAGACCAGACAGCAGACGATCTCGCAATCATGGCCGGCCTCTTCAACTTCCGTCGGAGGCATGAGCCTGGCGAGATACAGCCGGAGATTCTCCCCGCCACCAGCGGGGCTTACGGCGTGGAAGAGGACAACATCCAGGCGGCCACGGGCTCGGACGCGCTCAACACGCTCAAGCAATTCAAGAACCTGCACCAATTCGATCCCAATTTGCCAATCGAGGAGCTCAACGACATTGACGATGCGCTGCAGAGCGGCAATGCTGAGAAGGGGCTGCAGATGGAGCAGGTCATCGTCGAGGACAACTCGCCGTACGCCGAGGTGCGCGCGTCTGTCCGCAACTACGACGTCGACCTGCCGGCCAACACGATCCGCGCCTGGGTGATTGGGATGGTTCTCTGCACCGTCGGCTCCGGCGTCAACATGCTCTTCTCGCTGCGCAACCCCAGCGTCACGGTGACGACGTACGTGATCCAGCTGGTGGCGTACCCCATCGGCCTGCTCTGGGACGTCGTCTTCCCCGACCGCGTTTGGAGCCTCTGCGGACTCAAGTTCAACCTGAAGCCGGGCCCGTTCAACTTTAAGGAGCACGTGATCATCGTGGTCATGTCCAATGTGAGTGCTCTCCCCCTGTCTCTGCTTCCGTCTCCGTACTGACCGGGCAGGCTGCCTATGGTGGTGGTGCTCTCTATGCCACGGACGTCATCATTGCCCAGGAAAAGTGGTACCACCAATACTTTGGCTGGGGCTGGCAGATCCTGTTCGGCATCACCACGCTCTGCACGGGCTACGGTATTGCCGGGCTGTCGCGTCGCTTCCTCGTGTGGCCGGCGGCCATGATCTGGCCCAGCGACCTGGTCAATGCAGCGCTCTTCTACACGCTGCACGACCACTCGCCGTCTGACCCGGCCCACACCAACGGATGGCGGGTCGGGCGCTACCGCTGGTTCATGATCGTGTTCGTGCTGGCCTTTGTGTGGTACTGGTTCCCCGGCTGGATCTTCCAGGGTTTGAGCTGGTTCTGCTGGCTCACATGGATCTGGCCCAAGAGCAAGGTGGTCAACCAGGTGTTTGGCGGCCTTAGTGGCTACGGCCTGATGCCGATGACGCTTGACTGGACGATCGTGTCAGGCTATCTTGGCTCGCCGCTGATCCCGCCGTTCCATGCCATTGCCAACTCGCTCTTCGGCATCATCTTGTTCTTCGTTGTCGTCTCGTCGGGCCTGCACTTTAGCAACGTGTGGGACAGCGGCTATCTGCCGGTGCAAAGTTCTAGCGCCTTTGCCAACACCGGCCACAAGTACAACGTGACAGAGATTCTGACCGACCTGAAGTTCGACGAGGCCAAGTACAAGGCCTACTCGCCGCTCTTCCTCTCGACGCAGTTTGCCCTTACGTACGGCCTGTCGTTTGCGGCCGTTGCGTCCGTGGTGGTGCACGTGGTGCTGTACCACGGCCAGGAGATCTGGTCGCAGTTCCGGCTTGCGCGCCACCAGGAGGACGACGTGCACATGCGGCTGATGAAGAAGTACCGCGACGCGGAGGACTGGTGGTACGCGGTGCTCTTTGTCATTATGATCGGCCTCTCCTTTGCCGTCGTCTGTGGCTGGCCAACCGACTTCCCTTGGTGGGGCTACATTGTGTGCATGATTCTGCCGCTGGTGTGGACGATTCCGATTGGCATCATCCAGGCCATCACCAACATCCAGCTGGGGCTGAACGTGCTGACCGAGTTCATCGTCGGTTACATGCTTCCGGGCCGGCCGCTAGCGATGATGATGTTCAAGAACTACGGCTACCTCTGCATGTCGCAGGCGCTGTACTTTGCCCAGGACCTGAAGCTGGGCCACTACATGAAGGTGCCGCCTCGCACTATGTTCTGGGCGCAGTTGGCGGCGTCGATCTGGTCTGCGATTGTGCAGATTGCGGTCATGAACTGGGCGCTGGGATCGATCCACGACGTCTGCTCGGACGATCAGAAGAACTCGTACACGTGCGCCAACGCGAAGGTGTTTTACACCGCTTCAGTCATTTGGGGTGCTATCGGTCCCAAGCGCATGTTCAGCGGCGACGCCATCTACCACAAGCTGCAGTACTTCTGGCTGGTCGGCGCCATCACGCCCATCATTACCTGGTTCCTGGCGCGCCGGTACCCCAAGTCGGTCTGGCGCTACGTCAACATGCCGCTCATCTTTGGCGGCCCCGGTTGGCTGCCGCCCGCCACCGTGTTCATCTACCTCTGCTGGGGCAGCGTGGGCACGTTCTTCAACTGGTTCGTCAAGCGGAGGTGGTCTGGCTGGTGGATGCAGTACAACTACGTCACGTCGGCTGGTCTGGACAGCGGCCTGATCGTGTCTACCCTGATCATCTTCTTCAGCCTGTACCTCACCTCGGCCACGGCGCCGCAGTGGTTCGGCAACGTCGGTGCCCTCGAAACGCTCGACATGAAGGGAAAGGCTCTACACCTCGAGCTTCCTGCGGGCCAGAAGTTTGGCCCGTCCAATTGGTCGTAGGCGAAGATGCCTCGATTCGCCGTGTCATGTCTCTGGCACGTTGTATTAATCTCTACGAAACACTCAAAGCCCATGTGTGCTATCGGGGTGCGGCTTTAGTATGTGACGCACATCTGATCTAACCAATAAAGCTATGCTTGTACTGTACCGATTTGTAGAGGAGATCTCTTGTAGAGAAGCTGTAAGATGCTGTGATGAATGTAGATTAGGTAAGCTGCCTTGTGCTACCAAAATCACGTGCCGTCACCAAGTTTATCCGTCTAGGCCGAGTCTTTCAAGCAGACTGTCTATCTTTGTCAGCAGGATCTGGTAGTTGAGCTGATCTGAGTCGAACTCGTCCTCGACGACGTGGCCATCGAGGGTGCGCATGACGCCGGCTGCCGTGTCTGCCGCGATGGTGGCATCGGCCACGGGCTCGCCATCAGCCGCGGGCTCGCCATCGGCCTCGGCCTCGACCAGGGCGAGCTCCTCGAAGCGGAGGCGGAAGCGCTCGGACAAGAAGTAGCGGATATCGTCGACGAGCTCGATGGAGTCAGTCTCCTGGCGGCTGCGCAGGCGGTTGGCGCTCTCGAGGACGAAGTCGGCAAAGGCAGGGTCATCGATGTAGTGTTCGAGGCGCTGGGCGAGGAAGCGGGCGGCGAACTCCTCGAGGCGCTGAACACGGAGGTCCCAGGCGGCACGAAGGACGTCGTAGACGTTGATGTCGGAGTCGTCGGCCGCGCGGCCGGACCTGGTGGGATCGTCGAGGACGTTGCGACGACCGCTGCCCAGCGTGCTGATGATCATGGCCGCCTTGGTCTTGAGGCGGTCGAGGAAGAGCATGTCGGCGACGTAGAGGACGTCGAGGGCTCGATCGAGCGGGATATCGGCCTGCTCAGTGTACAAGAACGCGAGCACGATCTCGAGCACGTCGGGCGCGCAGTCGACCGGGATGATGCGCAGGTGCGGCGACGGCTGAGCCTCACGGAACGCGCTGCTGAACATGGTCTGGAAGTAGTCGCAGCGGACGAGCAGTGCCTTGTGTGCGGGATAGAGGATGGCGCGACGTCGGGGCGGGTTCTCGTGCGACGTGGCCTCGGCCGGGCCGACGGGGATGTGTAGGGACGTCTGTCCGAGGCTGTCGTGCTCTTCTTCCTCGCCTTCTGGATCGACTGACTCTGCTGGCTCCTCGTCTGCCTGCAGCAGGCAGTCGGCAAAGATGTGGTTGTCGGGCGGCCAGCAGACGGCGTCGACCTTGGCAGCGTCGACGACGATCCGGTTGCCGAGCACGTGCTGGCGGAAGAAGGTGCCGATCTGGTGCTGGGCCCGCTCGACCTCGTCCTGGTACCGCTGGCGGGCGAGGCGGCGGTCATGGCTGGCCAGGATGGCCTCCCAGAGCTGGTCGACCTCGAGGTAGCGGCTGGCGCGGTCGATGCCGCGGACAAGATCGGCGTCGACGTCGGCGTCGGCAAGCGCGGTCGCGTGGGCCGTCACGTCGTCGAGGTAGAGGTAGCGCAGCACGAGGCCGAACGCGGCAGCCGGCACCTGCTTGGACAGCCGCCAGGTGTCGAATTCGGGCGTCTCCGACAGCTTGCGTCGGAAATAGGGCGAGCGGGCGGCCAGCAGAAAGCGGTGCAGCCGGAATGTGGCGGCCTCGGTTCCGGTTCCGGTTCCGGTTCCGGTTCCGGCCGTCGTCAGCGTAATGTCCGACGTCGGCGGCCGGTCCAGCGTCAGCAGCGACGTGATGTGCGAGGCCCACGGCTGCAGCGGATCCGTCGACTTGGCATAGTCGTAGCGCAGCAGCAGGTTGCGGATCCGGTCGTTGAGCGCGTTGTAGAGACAGCGCTCGCCCTGGAACGTGTTGCGCTCGGCGAGCGCACCTGATTTGTCAGCGGGTGTGGACAGAAGACGAGGAGGAAAAGACGGAAACAGACGGAAGAGGATACAGGCAGAGGACAGACACACCAGACTCCAGCAGCAGCTGCACCACTTCGTAGTGACCACACAGACTCGCCTACAGCACGGAGCCGAGACCACGGCCGTTAGCCAGCGCAACACAGACAGGCTCCCCAGCACCACAGCACACCTACTATGATGAGAGGCGTGTAGTCAAACTCGTCTTTGCCGTTGATGTTGACGCCGGTCGAGATGGATTTCTGGCACTGCCCCAGGTCGCCGCGCCGGCAGGCCTCCAGAAAGATGGCAAAGTCGTCCGACAGGTCCAGCGGGTTCTCTTCGCGCAGCACGCCGCTGCTGATCAGCTCGTGCTCCTCCTTCAGCTTCGCCTCGAGCTGGCCCTTGACCATCGCCATGGCGTCCACTGTCTGGCTGACAAATGCAAAAGGCGAAGACGGGCTGCCGGTCTGTGTCCAATCCTCTTCTCCAATCAATGCACGTCCAAGTCCAGACGCTCCTCCCAGGTGACACACATCTAGAGCCGCTGTCTCATTCCTTAGCCAGCCGTGAATAAGACATTATCACCCATGCCTACCGCCCGATAAAGAGTTTGAACGATAGTGTCACGTGACTTTCCATGAGCCCACCAGTTGCTGTGGTAACTTCCTGCACCTCAGTAAACATGTGACCCTTGTTTGACTACCGCCTTTTGGCAGCGGCAAAGCGGCCTAGTATTCCAAACGACACCGCATTAATATCGTCAAGGCTCTTTTTCTATTTTTCACCTTTTCCGCGTGTGCACTCTCCTCAACTCTACACCTCGCTCTCGCACCCGACCCAACGGCGCCGCATACTAACCCCCCAACAGCTCGAGACGTCGCTATCCTATCCGGCAGCAGTGCACCTCTTCGCCGGGCACTGCTGTGTTCCTCCCCGTCTCTTCTTCCGGGTGCTGGGACGATCTGACCGTCTCGCTCCTGCCGTCGCGCTTCCCTGCTCAAGCAGACCTGTCCGCTGGTGGACAGCCTGCGGTGCCTGATGCTAAGATGTCGGAGACGGAACAGAAGTACGATGTGCTGGAGAAGATTGGTACGACACTCCCCATGCGCACGCTCCGAGCCGGACAGACGGCCTGCTAACCCAGCCAGGTCATGGGTCCTTTGGCGTGATCCGCAAGGTGCGGCGTCGGGAAGACGGCATGGTGCTCTGCCGCAAGGAGATCAGCTATCTGAAGATGTCGCAGAAGGAGCGCGAGCAGCTGCACGCCGAGTTCCAGATCCTGTCGACGCTGCGGCACGCCAACATTGTGGGCTACTACCACCGGGAACACCTCAAGGTCACGCAGGACCTGCATCTGTACATGGAATACTGCGGCAACGGCGATCTGGGCCGCGTGATCCGCGAGCTCAGCCAGAAGAACCAGTACGCAGAAGAGTCGTTTGTGTGGAGCATCTTTGCCCAGCTGGTGACGGCCCTGTACCGGTGTCACTACGGCGTAGACCCGCCTGAGGTCGGCAAGAACGTGCTGGGGCTGGGCAACGCGGCCAAGCCGAAGGTGCCGGCGGGCGGTGTGACGATCCTACACCGGGATCTGAAGCCGGAGAACGGTGAGCGGCGATGAGCGGCAGAGGCAGGGTTGAAGGCACACACTGACAGTCTAATCGGCAGTCTTTCTCGGCGAGGACAACTCGGTCAAGCTGGGCGACTTTGGCCTGGCCAAAATGATCCAGTCACATGACTTTGCGTCGACATATGTGGGTACGCCCTTTTACATGTCGCCGGAGATCTGCGCGGCCGAAAAGTACACGCTCAAGTCGGACATCTGGTCGCTGGGCTGCATCATCTACGAGCTCTGCGCGCGCGAGCCGCCGTTCAACGCCAAGTCGCACTACCAGCTGGTGCAGAAGATCAAGGAGGGCAAGCTAGCCCCGCTGCCGGTGGTCTACTCGCCCGAGCTGTGCACGGTGGTGCGCGACTGTCTAAAGGTGAACCCGGACCGGCGGCCGGACACGGCGACGCTGCTGAACCTGCCGGTCGTGCGGCTGATGCGCAAGGAGAAGGAGGTGGTGGAGATGAGCCGGGTGCTCAAGGCCAAGGAAGACCAGCTCGGCCGTCGCGTGCGCGAGCTGGAGCGCAAGATGGAGGCCGACAAGCAGCAGCTGCGCCACGAGCTGGACGCGAGCATGCGGCGCGAGTGGGAGGTCAAGGCCCGCCTGGAGATTGATCGCCTGGTCAACGCCGAGCTCGACCACCTGCAGAAGAAGTTTGAGCAAGAGGTGCGGGCCCGCGTCGAGGCCGAGCTGGTCGTGGCCCAGAAGAAGATGGTGGCCGAGGCAGAAGCAGCAGCAGCTGAAGCGGCAGCTGCAGTGGCAGCAGCACAAGCACAGGCACAGGCACAGGCACAAGCCCAGGCACAAGCACAAGCACAAGCACAAGCAGCACAAACAGCACAGGCATCGTCTGTCTCGTTTGCAGCCCCGCGACTGCCACCGCCATCGTCGTCGGTCGATCTGGAACTGTCGTCATCGGTCAGCAAGTCAGAGTATAACATGCACTCGTCCATCGACGACTTCAGCGGCGACGAAGACGGTTTTCCATCGACGGCCGACATTACCGACATCACGGAGCTGTCGGTGGACGAGTCGCAGTCCACAGCAGCAACAGCAGCAGCAGCAGCAAAATCGGTCTCTTCATCCGACAGCAGTTCTGCCGTCACGACGACGACGACTACGTTTGCCAAGCGCCAGAACGCACCGCCCGTGCCGCAGGCCCGCACGCCCTTTCACCGGGCGCAGACCATGTTTGCCGGCACGCCGATGGACGTCGAGATGGCGTCGCCGTCGCCCATGGCCATCGCGTCGCTGTCGCTGTCGCCACGACGCAACGCCGCCACCAAGGCGCCCACCACCAGCTCGGGCAACATTTTTGCCGTGGGCGACGATCAGCGATGGCACGGTGGCCCGCGCGAGACGCTGTCGGACTGGGACTCGGATGACGAGGCCGGCATCCCGTCGCCGACCCGGCTGATCAAGACGCGCAAGAACCTGTTCACGTCCAAGAAGCAGTCGCAGCAGACGACGGCCGGTCCGACGGCCGGTCCGACTGCGCGTCCGGGCGGTGGTCTGCTCTTTGGCCGTCCGCGGTCCAAAGGACCCGAAGCTGGCACCACGGCCACGGCCTCTTGCGATTCGCCCGGTCGACATCTGAGCAAGATCTCGTCGCCTGGCAGCACCGGGGCGGACGGGCTCGGGCTCCTGGCCGTGGCCGACGGCGGGATGCGCGTGCTGTCGCGGAAGACGTCATTCAACAAAGAAGCGACGGTGCAGCCGCAGCAGCAGCCGGCACCATCACAACAACCGGCTTCGGTTCTGGGACATGGCTTAGTCAGCAAACAGAAGCCGGGGATCCGGGGACGAACGCTGGTGGAGCTGCAGCAGGCGCGCGCCGGCGGACGGCCAATGGTGATCGATGGTCACAGCAGCGGCAGCAGCAGCAGCGGCTCCGGCAACATGAGCCCAAGGCGGCCGTTCCGCGAGCACGCAGCGGCAGCCAACCGCGGCGGCCTCTCGATGGAGTCGCCGGCCGTCTGGGACCCAGAGCAGGACGAGATGCCAAGCCCGTTTCTGGTGCGGCGCAAGATGATCGCCGTCGTACCGGTGTCGATGGGCGGGAGCAGCAGCAGCAGGGCGTGAGGCGTGAGGCGTGAGAGCTCGACAGCCGACCACACATTCCTTGATTCTTTCCTTTGTCACGCGGGAAGGCTTAGAGCGACGGCGACAGTACGGGATGGGTGGACAAAAGTCTGTACTCTTCCGTTCTCGCACATTCATTTTGCTTTCTCTTCTCTCATTCTGGGAGAGTTATTCCCAGAGGCATGTGGCGGAAGCCAACGGAGTAGTAGGTAGACGAGGAAATGCATAACAGGATCAACATATGGGTGTTTGGGTGCGGTCTGTCATATTGTCGTATTGTCGTGTTGTAGTATTGTTTACTGCAGATCAGACGACAGCACCAAATGCACAGGCGTGCCAATAGCCGTCTCGTGTAGGAGGAGACAGGACCACGAAGGATTGGCGAAACGAAGACGCATCTAAGAATAGGCAAAGATGAGAGAGACCGGCCGCAATCAAACTGTCCAACCAGTTCTCGTGGGGAGCGGATCAGCGCCCCAAACCCAAAACCCAAACCAAAACCCAAACCCAAAACTCAAATCAGCGAGCCCCTTCCCCCTTTCCCCAGACAGAGCGGAAGGGTGCTGTGCCGACGATAGGCACGCCGCCCGGGAGGCCTGAAACGCTGGGGATGCGACATCGCAACGACGGTCCAACCGAGGGCGGGCCTTTTTTCCAGTTGTTCTCGGCGCCCCTGCGGGTCATTGACAAATCCAATAAGAGGCGACGGAAGGGTCCTTGCTGTCCATCTCCCTCTCTAACCGAGCGATCCATCCGGTTTCACGAGAAAGGCAAGCTTAAAAGACGCTGCAGGCCGTTGAAACCGGAGCGGCCTGCAGGGACGATCCCTGCACAGCTTGGGCGGTTCCAGCCTGGCACTGTGCCCTGTAGTCCCTGTGCTCCGTAGTCTCTTGTCGGTCGTCGTTTCCTGGCTGCAAGCGCAGCTAGGCCACGCCCAATCCGGCAGGGCAGTGGTCCGATCGCACTCTCGTTTCGGCCAGAGGTCCAACAACAGCAGCAGCAGCAGCAGCATCGCTCTCTCAGCTCTCAGCTGAACAACGACGCCATCCCGTCCGGGCAATAGCGCGGCAGAGCCAGCCCGGGCATTATGTATTTTTGTGCGCTCTTTGTCAGCAGGGCCACCGACCGCCATTTGCATTGGGAATCGTCCGTCCATAGGACTGCCCTAATGCGAGCAGTCTCGATTAGCTTATTTCGCCAATACCCCTTTAGGCTGATTTGTCCGAAACAGACCCCACGCCTAGGCTGGATGATCGATGGTGGATCTGCACCGATGAAGAGCAAGATTGGTGGAGGTCCGTGGGCGCGACGAGAGAGCATTGCACGTAGCTATATGTCATTCGCCCCCGTCATCTGCGAGCGCGCGACGATAGTGCACTCGCCCGCACCGCCGTCTGTCTTTGGTGACACCCAGTCTCCGACAGGCCATCGTCCGCGCAGCGAAACGCATGGAAAACGACAAGAGGCGTTTCCGTAACCTCGTCGTTCTTCTCCCGCCAAAAGGCCCAACAGACGGTTTTTTCAAACGGCTGGGCGGCTATCAGCACCCTCGCCCGCATGACGCGATCCAGCCGGCTCGGATACGAGAGCAGGCAAAGGCGAACACGGGCGGGCCGACTGCTCGTATGAGCCTGCTGGCGGCACGAAGAAGTACAAAACCCATAGCCGCTTTGCCTCGCCAACCGACGATCGGCACATGTCAGTCTGCCCGCCCTGCTCCTATTCCTTTTCCGCTTTCGTGCGCTCGCCCGTTCCGTGGCCTGAGGGTGTGACGGGCTGTTGGGCTGTCGTCATGCTGTGTGTGTACACTGCCCTCGAGCGCGCCGGTTGGGCGGCTTTTTCGTCTGTCGCTTCGGGGGTGTCCGGCTAGCCAGCGACGATCCTTGACTTGCTCGACTGGCCGCGTCGCCAGCCGAGGCGGCAGAGAGGTAAACCGTCTGGCATTACCCGCGAAAGTACAACCAATACCATCACGTGATGTCTACGTCCTGCGAGTCCGTGCGTCTAATGCCCTGTTTCCGTGGCCTGATCTCGATCGGCACGATGCCCCGTATGAGCACTCGCCTACGACGTAGTAGACAGAATCTCGTGCTGCCAACAATGCTCGAGTTGGCAGTCCAGAGCGTTTCTGCCTGGATGTGGCTGGGCCTAGCCTCTCCTCGTTGGCCCTCGTTGGCCCTTGCCGAGAAGGAGCTGCAGCGTGGCTCGTCTAGGCTTGCCCTTGCGTAGAGAAGCACCGTTGGTTGGCGGGAAAAGGCGGCAATCCAATAATCGAGGTCGTGCCGGCTTTGTGCGAGGTTTCATTCGGCTGCAGCTGCCATACGAAGCTTGTGCTGCCAACTGACGGCCCGATCAAAATCTTGTACGAGTACGAGTTTTCTTGAACGTCCTCGACAGCCATCAAAGAAGAGGTCGTTTGCCTCGGCAATTCGTCAGCCCGGAGCGTCCTCCATATCCTGTCATGCGCCGCTGTCTGTCGGAGGCCCCCTTTCCTCGATCTGTCATGACCACATATGCCCTGCCACCCTGACTCATCATTGGCTCCAGGAAGAAGGGGGTGATCGCCGCTAGGGAGCCACGTTTACGAGTAGCACGATTCAGCAGAATAGGGCGCTTAGTGCGACCGATTGGGGCCTAAAACAGGACGGCCCAGCACTACTTTCCTAAAGTTCAGCAGGCCATCAGCACCCCCTCAGCAGCTGTAGCAGCACACGCAACCGGGCCGACGCACGACGTTCAACGCTCATCTCTCGGAGCATCGTATGCCGGCGAATCAGAGCGCTCCGCTCGGATGCTGTCCTCCGGGCTCATGAACAGTATTGGTTGCTAGTGGGAAAAATATTCCATTGTAAAAGTCATGCTAAAAATGCATATTTCGCCGATTTCCATGTTATAGCAGTCGCTGGCTATCCGGTTTGCCGACCTTGCCCCGTAAAACCCCGTATTCTCAAAGTCCAGGAAACAATGAGACACAAAACAGAAAGGGCTGAAAACCCACAACAAGCGCCGAAGTCTGCCCCAATGGCCTTTTTTCGTTTTCCACCCGCCCAGTGTTCCCCTCGTTTCCGGTTTCCCACTTCGCTTGCCTTGCAAGTTCCAACACCAAAAGTAGATTTAAAATAAAAGTAGTATTTTTCCCCCAAAGGAGGAAAGGGAGGGCGAGAGATGAAGTGCGAGGTCAGAAGATCAAACGATCAGAACGTCTGGCCCTCTAAATGCCGCTGTCGTAGTTGTGGCATCCCCGCTCGTGGCGCTTCATGTTGCTGCGCACGCTGAAGGCCTTGCCACAGCCGACATGGGGACACTTGAACGGCTTCTCGCCCGTGTGCGAGTGGCTGTGGATCCGCAGCGAGCTGGGTCGCGAGAACGCCTTGTTGCACGTCGGGCAGATGTACCGGTCCTGCGACTGTGGGAATGCAGCTGCGGCTGCCGGCGAGATGTAGTGGTGGTGCTGCCACGGAGACGGCTGGACCACGGACATCGGAGGGAAAGCCTGGCCATGTTAGCTGGTGAAGGCGAGAGGCAGAGCAGATGAAAGACGAACCTGAGGAAGGGCCCGCTGGTAGTAGAGACCCGAGACCTGCGGCTGCTGCACTGGGGCTGAGTAGTATGGCGCCATGGATGCCGGCTGGCTGATGTATGACTGCGGAGTGGCGCCTGCTGCTGCCATGGACGCGCTGCTGCCGTAGGACGAAGAGGAGGATGTCTGCACCATCGGCAGGCTGCGGTGTTGCGGGATGGGGCGATGGGAGCTGCTCGGCGTGTGGGACGCGTGCCGTTGGTGATGGCTGTAGTGATCTGGCGTCGGGTCGTGACTGCTGCTGCTGTGGCTGCTGCTGATGCTGGCGCTGCTGTAGTGGTGCTGCTGCTGCTGTTGCTGCTGCTGCTGTGGCGGCGGTGTTGACTCAAAGTAGTAGTTGCTGGCACCGGCAGGCAGCTGGTTGGCCGACTTCACGGACGGCGAGTCGTAGCCACCGAACGAAGCTTCGGACGTCATGGGCGGCGTCGGCGGCAGGACGCCATTCCGCAAGTTGTTGAGGCTGTTGCTGTTGCTGCTGGAGTAGTGTGCTGAGCTGGGCCGGGTGTTGGGCCGGGAGGGTTGTGCTGGGAGCGGAGGTGTCAGCAGAGGAGGACGAGAAGAGGGGTGCGAGCCGGTGGGAGAGAGAGGGGGGACAGAGCACATACAGCTAAAGGCATACTCGTTGCTCTGCTGCAGCGGCGGCGCGGTCTCGGATGTGGGTGAGCCCTGGTCGGCTAGGTCCAGCAGATTGGAGATGGACGGCAGCGAGCACTTTGTAAAGTCTTCCATGGGGGGCGATGGCGGTCCTTGTGGTTGTTGGCTGGTGTAGCCGTAGTGTGAGCTCGTCTGGCTGGTGTATGGGTGTGAGAGCAATGCGGTTGCCATGATGGTAGAGGAAGTGATTGTGAGAAGTGGGTAAGGAGGAGAGAGAAGAGGAAGGAGAGAGGGAGAAGGCGGAGAGGATTAAGGAGACGTCTGTGGCGAGTCTGACCGTTCGATTGGACTCTCTAATTAGAAGAATGGGCAGACAGGACAAGGGTGCCAAGATCCAGTAGAGATTCGAGTCGAGAGTTGAGGATTAACCAAGAACCAGCTAGGATAATTTTTGTTGTATAGTGTGGTGTTTAGACTCTGGATAATGAGGAGAAGTTGAAGGCAAAGGAGGGGGAAAGGGGGGTTGGGAACTTATAAGCATGCATCACGACGAGAGAGAGGAGCGCAGGAGAGCCGGGAGACATATTAGACAGGAAAAGACAATCTGGAAGCCCACCCTACTAGTTGGACAAGGGGGGGGGGGGGGTGGATGTTCGCCGTTCTGAGTTTAAGGTGTGCCGTAGAAGAATTAAAAAAACACACCCACCAAGCGCAGAGTCCCATCAGATCCCCCAAGGAAAGCGTCAATCCACAAAAAATCCACACCGTTGATCCCCTAGGCGATGTGCGGCCAGCGGAGCCCATCTGTCACAAATTGTGTGTGGGTCTGACCCGAGAGGGTCATGGCCAGAAGAGAGGTGCAGTGCTAGTGCAAGGATGCGTGAACCAAGTGCTGATCAGTGCGAGAAGTATCTTGGAGCAGGCCGCCCCTTTGGACCGTATGGACGGTGAGAGAGAAGGGAGCAGAGAGGGGGAAAGAGAGGAGGACGAGAGAGATCAGAGAAGGCGGTGGCGATCAAGGATGAGAACGGAGCATAGGACTGCAGACAGTGGACTGCAGACAGAGAAGAAGAAAAGGGGTCAGTCATCCTGACGGTCAGCCAGAAAGAGATACCAGGATGCCAAAGTACCAAACCCCATCTGACACTCAGACATCAGCCACGCGCCAAAGCGTTGCGAGCAGCCGGCGCAGCTTGGCTCCGAACAAAGTACGGAGTAATACGTCTTCACTATTCCAGCACATGGTACGTACTCGTCGTGGTGGTGGTGGGATCTTACAGCAATGCTATTCTAACCAGATCAGGGCTCTTTCTCCAGCTTGCTCCGCTTTTCTGCTTTTCTTTTGCTTTTTTTTGTCTTTTTGTGTCAGGCTCTCTGACGCGTGCTGGCCACGCTCTGCCAAACAGTGTACCGTGTTCCGCACTGTATTCGCACTCTGCCTGAACTAAAGCTAAGAAGCAGAAAGGAAGAACGAGGCGCCATGCCGGCGAAGCAGTCGTCTTTCGGCCAGCTGGAAATATCCGCCCTTGTCGCCCCTGGGACGTACCCTGACTTGTTCATTCCTTCATTCTGCCTTTAGCCTGCACTGCCCACGAAAGAAGCCATACAGAGTAGTCTTGAGCTGTCCCTTGTACGGTGCCGCACTGTGGTACGCTAAGGGAAGATCCTGCAGAAAGAGTCCCTGTCCGCTTTATGTAGTACGGACCACGCAGTTCCTAGCTGGGGTCCAGGCCTCTGTGTACAGTGTTCTTGTGGAATTTGCACCGTCTGACGGTACGGGGTACTCCGTACACCAGTTCTCAACGCCCATTGTTTGGGGCCAGGGGCACGCTCTAATACCGGATGTGCACACTTGAGACGGGGCTTGGAAAGAAGCGTTTCTGGAGAGAGAGGGGCGTGTGCTATCTTTTTTACATGTGCGTCTGTGCAGGAGGCTTCAGTTGCGACCGGATCGCCAGGTGGATCTTATGCCGGCTGTTGCTGACAGAAACCAAATACGCTGAGGACGTGCAAAAGAGCACGTCCTTTGTCAGGGGGGGGCAAAATACACGTATGTACGGAGTATGGAGCACAATGGATCAGAACCCCGGAGTGCCAGAAACAAACGAAGTAGACGAACTGGCAGCAATGCTCGCCGGCAGCAATGCCGGTCAAAATTCCGTAGTTGCCCGGCACAATCTCCGTGATGTCTCGTGTGGCGGATTACCTGCTAAATCTCTTTTTGTGCCGATTGTCGTGCTGATCGCTTGCTAATGCCATGTCGGGTGGCTTTCCCTAGAACATGGCTCCCTCGCATGTTCTCGCATGCCCTCGCATGCCCTCGGGATGTGGTCGCGCATCCTCGCATATTCTCGCACCGATCTGAAGCGCCAGTTGCCACCGGATAAGCCCCCGTGATGCTAAGAGTTCCATACGGAGGGCCTATGGGCGCGAAGCAGCCACGGGACTAGCCCTATCGGATCGGCTGCAGCGGGACAGACGCACACAAAGGGACGCCAATAGCATGCTGAAGAGCCACGTTTTTCTAACCTCCCCGTTCCCGACGTATTGCCACTATGGAACGATCGACTGCTTGTACGCAAAGTAAAAAACTAGTGCACAGCTTTTGCCGCCAGATTGCCTAGTGCTGAAGCTTGTCTGGCACACATCCATTGTAAGAAGATGTTACATGTACTATCATGTGTCTCTATGGGCTGCGGACTATTCTGGAGCGAAACGTACCCGCCATACCTGGCATGCCAGTCGCATGGCAAAACTGGCCTACTCGTGCGGAAGGGGTAGCGAGGGGAAGGGCTGGTCATTCTGGAAAAAGAGAAAGGCTAATCTCGCGCAGATCGGCTCCTTGGCAGCAGAGGAGATAAAGGAGCATGGCGTTCTGGGTCGTGAAAATAAGAGAGGGACTGCAACAGCGGCCGTGCGTGGATTGTCTTGGCCGGGTGGTCTGTGTGCGGTTGTCATGGCATGGGAGAGTGCAGGGATAGCCGGAAGAGATTTGGCCCGGTCTGATGGACGAGAAGAGGGCAGACGGACAGACGGACAGACAGACAGAATCGTGCATGTGGCCTGCCTGAAGAGAGAGGACAATTTGGGGCAGGGGCACCCTAGCCGGAATCGATCTGTAGGCGTTGTCACAGACCAAGACATTTCAGCCCCGAAAGGGAAAGGGGCACAGACGAGAGAGAAGGAGCGCTTTGTGCTTTGGTCCCCTCTGTTCCCAGCCGTTGGGAGGCTGGGGCGCCACCCGAGAACAAGACAGCCGGCCCCTGGCTTGGGATACTAATACCGTTGTGTGAGTGTACGACGTAGGAGTAGTGTGGGTGGCCCTATCATTCTTGCTACGTACGACGTAGTAGGAACAGTGCCCGGGTTGTGCTTCCTGTCCGCCCCGCCGTCACAGGTGACAGCAGACGTCCGACTTGGGACGGAGGCTCTGAGCATGCGGACCAATGTTGGCCTTCCTTCCGGTCTCCCTTTTCTCTTCTCTTTCTGTGCTCCTTTCTTTCTTTTTCCCCATCCTGTCTCACCTCCTTGCCTGGGCAACGTTCGCACGTGTCTGCTGCTCATCACATCCAGCGCTCTCTGCAGCACACGCTGAAATGAAAGGACTGTAGCGCTTGCCCGCAACGGGTGGCGAAAGAAGCCACGGGGAACAAAACCAGAAGGGAGGCCGACGAGGCGCTACGGCGGATGTGCTGGGGCTCCACCCTGAAGCTCTCTCGCTGTCCTTTAGCGCTAACGGCGGATTCCTCTGCGCCGATTGGGAATCTGCTCCGTAGTCAACGCCTCTTGGCCGTGCCGCCCGGCAAGACTGCGGTGCCAAGCATCTTACTTTACTATGTACTCCGTAAGTGCATACGAGAGTCGGTGTGGCAGGGGCAGGAGGCGAAGGGCCGCAATCTCGTAATCTCGCATTGTGCAGCCATCGAGAAGCACAGTCGCCGTCCGAAAGAGGCAAGATGGACGTGTTACAAGAAGGAAATAAAGGAGAGCAGAAAAAGAAACGAAATTCAGAGCCAAAAGAGGAAACCCCCGAAGGACGGAACGATGGTACGGTTGCATGCGTTGCATCACCGATGATCGACAGAGGGCCATGCGATGCAAGGGAAAATTGCGCATCAGCAAGCAGGGCGGTGCTCTCGCCATACTACGGTGTACGAGTACAGCGCCAAGGTGGACAATGTGGACAATGTGGACGATACAGAGCACGCCAAGGAAACGGGCAACTTGCAAAGAAGTGTTCCAGAAGGCGTCGCCCGTCGGCTTGCTCTGTATACGACGCACGACGTAATCCTCTCTGGCGCTGTCGAACCTGTCTTGCCTGCTGTGAGACAGGACGGCGCGCTATACGAGCACGAGCCCCGATCGATCGGCAGTGCATACTCTGCATCATGTCGTCGTCGGGTCTACTCGTTCTCGTAATTGAGCCCGTAAGGTGACTCTGGCGCATGCAGGTTGAAAGGGCGGGGCGTGTGTCTGAACGCCTGTTTGACTCAAAGCTTCTTCCTCCTAGTAGCACACCGATCCTGTCTGACAGCGGCAGTGTTTCCGCCAGAACACGCGTCATGCTGTCATGTACGGAGTACCGGCCCAATATTGCCAGCAAAGCGTGCTGCCACGAGGAGACAGGTGTGCGGCAAAATGATAGCCATGTGCTCTCATTTCGTTTCTGCCCTGTACGATACTTTCGCTTCAGGCCTCACTTGGCCGAAAAGAGCCGTCACAGCCGAGAGTCGCCTCTTATTTGCTGCTCTTGTCGGCCTGCTTTCGTCCGAGAAGTGGGACCCACGTTCCCAGCAGCGAACAGACAAGTCTTGCCTGCCGCTTGCCTCCCTCGCCCTTCCTCCTCTCGCGCTCAAGCTTCGTTCCCTTCTTCCAGAGAAGGGAGCCTGAAACTTCGAGGCCGAGCTCCAGTCTCGTCCCTTCCCCTTCTTCTTCCTTCCTTTTTTGCCCAGAGGCCGCGGCCGGCTCGTTCTGGTAGGTACTGGTCTCGGAGCCCACCCCGAGGAGAAGGAGGGGAGGAAGGTGGGTCTTGTCTCGTGGCAATAACCTTGCTAGCGCACAGCTGCGCTCTCGTCATCCAGTAGGAAGAAGAGAAATGGCGGACGGGACAAAAGAGAAAAACGAAGCACACGAAAATAGAGATGAAGGGGAAAGTGATCTGTCGATCCCATGGCAGGGGGGATCTACCCGCGCGGGCTTCTCTCCAATACATATCTCATTTCCCATTTCTCATTCCAGCTCCGGAGTCTGGAGTCCAGCTGTCCAGCTGTCCAGCTTTCCAGTTGCGCACGGAGACTCGTACTACGGAGTACAGTATGTAATGCGCCTACGACCTACGTGCTCAGACGCATTCCCTGCAGTGCTATTTTTAGGCCAGCGGCATGATTAGATGAACAGGTCGTCAGAGCAAGCATTGGATCCGTGGTTCGTCAGACATGACGGAAGCGGAGGAACGAAAACAAAGGGAGATCTGCCATTTTTCCACAGACGCCATTTTTAAGGTGAGGCAGAGCTTGTCCAAAGTGCTGTTCTGGTCGCTGCTGGCGGCATTCTTTCGCAGAAAATTGGGCTGTCCGTCCCAGCAGCATGCTAACCCTTGCACAAACGCATGTGGGAAGTGGGTTCGGCGGGCCCCCGGCGCTGGCGACGGCCGTCGTGGTGAGGGAGTGGAGAGCGAGATGTGGTTTTAGTACGTAAGATGCTGTACTCGTTTCCTGCCATTTTAGTATACGGGTACAGGTATCCGTATGGGGCCGCGAGGGCGGTCAACACGACCGCCCCGTATTGTCTGCACGACAGCTGCCCATTCCAGCAGGTGTCAGAAGCCAGCCGGGAAACAAAATGAGAGGGTGTCGGTGTGGGGGGGGGCAAAACACGGTTGAGCGCCGGTCGAAATAGCGTTTGAAAGAAGAAGAAAAAACGAATTGCCCTCCGAGGTATCATTATTTGCTTTGGGAAAATGGCCACAGGAAGTCGTGTGTGCCCTAGGTCGTCCCTCTTTTTGGACGTTGTTCTGGTGATCTCCCCAAGTATCCATGCAGATCGGCAAGGATGCCCTTGTCCGTGGCTGCTCGTACGATCAGACGTGGGGCCACGACCGCGATGCATACGGAGTACTATGTAGGGAGACAGCGTGCTGCATGTCTCTCTCAACATGTCTCGACTGGCCGGAGCAAGAGGAGGGGAAAGTGTCGGCGAGACACACCTGCCACTCCTGGGAACTCGGGGTCGTGCTCGTGGTCGTGGGCCTCGTCGATCTCTCTCTCACCGTGTCTGAGGTCGGCCAGACGTTTCCTCTTTCAGAAGGGGGAAGGTCCAGTCGAGCTTCGTGTAATCTTGCCCCGATGCTGGCACCGGACAGCGATCGGCTGTGCTGGCTCGGCATGGCATCCACGATCGATAGGGGCCAGACCGTTTGTCGTCACAGGCTCGGTGAGGCCTCTGGCAAGATAGCACGCCCTCTGGCTCGCTGGCGGTTCTGGCGGCTGCGCCGCCTGCTGTGGCGATTCTTGCAATACAGAGTAGCTATCGTACATAGTACGGGTCGAAGGAGCTGCTACCGCCGATCTTCTGCAAGGAGAAGGCATGTCTCAGGCTTCCTCTACACGAAGATTTCTGGTTCTATTCTATTCGCATACCTCATGTCTCCCTTGTCCTGGCAGCCGTTGGACCGGCACTGTCCCCGACGTGTAGCAGCACAGCCGACTTCTGCTCCTGTGCATTTTCTAGCCCGCTGCGCTAAGCCTGGCGCACAAGGACAATGGCCTCCGGCCTCGAGACCGCTAAAGCCCGGCAAAGCCAGGCCCGCTCGCCCTAGCCCAGTCCAGCCACCCAGGCCTGTGGGCGGTGCCTGGTCTCGCGCCTTTCTAGCGGTGTCGCAGCGCCCAGACAGCACAAAGGGATACACGGTCTCTTACCTGTATCTTACCGCTATGTAAGATACATCCCCTTCTGGTCATCTGGGTAAAGGGACTCGTCATCGTGCTCGTACGAGAGCGGGAAGCGCTCACTCCACGAGTGAGGCGTGACGGGCTGTTTCGCCTCTGACTGCGCAAGCGGGCGACCGAGTTAGTGCCGGCCGAAATGAAGCGCAGAAGCGCAGAAGCCCAAGCGACAGCAGGTCATCAGTCTCTCTCCCTTCCCTTCCCTCCGTCTCCGCGTCCCCTTCTTCATCACGTTGTGGCGGGTCCGCTAAAAAGGTGATCCTTCTGGTCGGGTCAGAGAAATCGGCACCAGCAGTCGGGAAGGCCATAGTGAGAAGATGGGACGGCCTATTCTCGCTAGCGATTACGAGCGGTTCGTATGGACGGCCAGTCTCTGCTGTTCGTATTAGGAGTGCTGCGCGTGAGAAATACGACCCAACGCCCTGCCATTATTGACAGAATATTGGCAGTGTATTGGCAGATTACATAGTATTGGGATGGCAGGTGCCATCCTCTATCCTCTCTTGCCTTGGCTCTGCGACGTAGGACTGCTCCTTCCTCCTTTCTCGCCGTCTCGCCTCGTTCTGCCGAAGAGACGGGCGATCGCTCTCGACGCCTCAGAACGGTTCCGCTGCCCGATTGCTCACTCAATGAGCGGTAGAGCGGCCAAACAGGCTTCGTACCCCGGTCCACTCCCCCCTCTCTCCCCGTCAACCTTTTCCCGTTGAAGACCGTTCTCCGGCCTATGTACGACGTACGTCGTATGTATGAGTACGATACCCACTCTGGCACACGATGCAACCAAGTGAGTGCTCCGTACTCCGAACCGGCTCTTTTCGTCCTGTGCCAACGTCTGTCCGTCACGGTGCTATCGCGAGGATGGACACGGTCGTATATGCGGACGCGCAAGACGCGAGCAGAATACGAGTGCACTGCTGTCTTTCGGCCACAAAGCAGCGAGACAAGCGTGCTACTGCCATGTACCAATGTAGCTGATGGACTCCGTATCTTACGTGAGGACAGACCCACGCCAACACAAACCAGGCACCCAATCCTGCCAGAGTACTCCGTATCTTACAAATGATCGCCGGTGGTAACGGTGGCCCTAGCCAAACCGGCTGATGATCGCCCGCGTTCCCTGCTGTATCGTAGGGAGTACGTACTTGCCCGATTGCTACAGTACATGGCAGATCGTCCGTACTACATAGTACGGAGCACAATTATCTTACATGTACGCTCAGGCTGTCCTCGTGAATCACGCATGACCATGGCATTGCACAAGCCGCATTCGTATGCTCGTACGTACCCATCTTGCCGCGACGCAAGAGAGCGAACCGCCTCAGACTCTCATGCCTGCCGGTGGGGCCACCAAGGCGCCTGTCAACAGTTTTGGCACATCGCTAGAGCCAACGGCAGAGGCTAGGACGACTCGCTCCTCGACGGGCTCAGTACCAGCGACCGACTCGTGGGAAAACTCCGGCAGTTTTGGCGCCCATCTGCCAGGACGCCGCTGCCCGTGCGGGCAAAGTGTATAAATAAAACGATGGATTATCGAAACAGATCAGGAACTCGTAGGCATCGTCACGTCCTGATACACCGTGCCTCGGGTCTATCCCCCAGAGCGGCAAGGATCGGAAGGAGAAGACTGCTCGTTTCGAAGAGATTGCCCAACCGGGCATCCTGCTCGCGCCCGGCAACGGCAGGATCTGCAACCTCGCTTCCTGTCGAAAGAATGTGAAATGGTACATAGTAAAGGGAAAAGGGAAAAAATACACGGCCCTCCCCCCCCCCCAACCCCTCTTTTCCCGACGAGGAGATCCCGACGAGAGCTGATCGTTGGCGCAGCTACAGCAGATCTCATGCACCAGCCGGGGTTTGGTAATATGGGGGGAGAGAGGAATAGAAGGAAAGCGAGAGAGTGGAGGTGGTGGTTGTGGAGAACAATAATTGGTATGAGCAGTTTTCGAATCTAGCTTCTCCGTCTGCTCCATCCAACCGCATCGAAGCAGCGGTGCCCTTCTTGCGTCCTGTAATAATGCCGCGGCCAGGGAAAGAATGCAGGCCCGGTCGAGAGATCTGCCTTGCTCCTAAAGATCGGCGACAGAAGCCAGCCATCCGACGGCAGGAAGCAGACAGCCGACGCCTGACTCTGGCGGTCTACGACGTACGAGCAGACGAAATGAGGCCGCGACTCGGGGCGACTGTATCGCTTGGGGCAGCTAGTAGGCGGAGTCTAAATAGGGTACCACGCCGAGGGATCTTCAGCCTGGAATCGGGTCCCCCTACGTAGTAAGCTTGACATATCATCTTCTTCCTTGGCACATTACGAGAGCAGTGCGTGCGCTCCACCGCGCTCTCCATCTTCACGATCATGCACCCGGCGCAAAAAGCACACAAGTACAGAGTACGGAGCAGTAGCATCGTCTCTTGCATCGTTCCCGTCAACGTCCATACGAGAGTACTCGTATGTACTCTAGTAGAAATAGTACAATACTCTCTCGTCGTCCTTTTTCCTCTTTGGCGAGCGAGCCGATGTGACTGGTCAGACAGCCCTAACGGCCTCCAGTGTCGCAAAAAGTCTCACCTCGGCGGTTGAAGAAGAAACGACGGCGAGAGGTTGTGGGAAGATACTTTGTACATGGTCGATTGTCGCCTCCGCGAGGGATCCTTCACAGGGATTGTCTTGGGGGGAAAGGGCTCCCCCCTCCCCCGACAGCCGCTAAGCTGGATTAGTCACCATGGCCTAGCCTGCAGCTTGGTGGCGTCGAAATCGTGCCATTCGCTTTTATTTGCCTTTTGGCTTTCCTGTAAACGAGTAAGATGCATCCCGTGAGTAATCTGCCAGCCTGCCATGCTCTGGACGATTCCCTTTCTGGCATCCGGGTGCCCGCATCAAAGGCGCAAACGTACGCGGCCTCAATGCGTCTCTGGCCGTCACAGGCAATACTAATCCGTCCCGTCAAAACACCCCCTCCCGGACAACATGCTCTTCCGCGACACCTCTCGCACAGCCCTTCACCCCTTCACGCCCTCCTCTTCCCTGCCCCTTTTCACTTCTTATACTTGTCCGCGCTGATCTGGTGGAGGTCCAGCAGTCAAAGGCATTTGCCGTACATAGTACGGTAAATTCCGCCAACAGCATCGCTCCAGCCCTCAATTTCATTCAATCATGCGCCTGGCTGTCCTATACTGGCGTCTGCTATCAGCCAGAGGAACGAGCGTGATCTGCGCCTGTGCTTGCAACTGTTCCCCGACGTTGGGACGCTACGGACGCACTATGTGGCTCCAGCAATACGAAGAAAATGGGCAACCGTGCACCGGAAAACCCGAGCCGCGCTATACGCCAATTGGGAGGTGTGTACCGATCCCGTCGGATACCATGCAGGCTCAAGATGCGCCTGCTTCGACTTGCTGTCAATTAGGTAATTTCAAAGCTACCGAGTACGCAATAGATTATGACAGGCAGATCCGAAGGATATGCCGCCGCTAGAAGACAGATAGGCAGGCCATACAGTCCGACCAGTCCGTGATCGACAGCCTCTCCTCTCCTTTCACTTTATCAATTGTCCTCGCTGGCAAACAGGGACTGGAGAACATCGACATTACTCGACGCCGGTGGACCGAAGGAGCCTGGTCCAAGCACCTTTTCGGCAGCTGCATCTCCCTCGCTCGATAGGCCTTGCGCCCTTCCAACAGCACTTCTCGGGCGCTTCGTAGTGACCGGCTCCTCTTTCTCAGCACGGCTGTCTCCCGCCGCCTCCTGCATGATCCTCCCGCTTTCCCCGTAGAGCCTGTCGAGGTCGGTGAAGATATCCTGCTCGTCCTCCACTACCTGCACGTCTTCCGAGAACCTCAGGCCCGCCATCTGCTTTTCTGTCAAGCGAACTTCTTTTTTAGTCGTCTGATGGATTTCCCTGTCATCGTCCTCCCCGATGCTCTCCTCGCTCGTAGTCGAAATAATGTCATCGTCCATTTCTGCCCAAGGGAAAGAAGGCTGAACCACGGCACTGCATCCGGGCTCCTCTTTCTCCCTGGCGGCAGATCCACCTACCCGCAGGTTGAGGTTGTTATAGTCATCGTCGTCGTAGGCGTCATCCTTCTGCATGCCGTCAGACTCGGCTGCTGGAGCGGCAAGCCCGATCACGATATCCCCCTCCGACTTGCCTGGTGGCAAAGTCCACATGGGCTCGTAGAGGTCTTCTTCCTGGCCAATGTCTTCCTCGTCCTCGTGCGAGGCATCGTAGGCAGTGATATCAAGAGGAACGCCGTGATGAGTCGGCACTCCGTTTTGCATGCCGTATTCCATCTCAGCGGCTTCTGTCGGACTGAGAAGTGCAGAAGGGGGCTCTTTCGGAGAGGCCTCCGAACCTTCTGGCTCTTGTCGGGGGGCATTTCCATCCAGAGGAATCCTTTCCTTGCTGGCTTGGCCGTCTTGGGTCATCTCAAACGCTTTCGAAATCGAGGCTAGTTCATGAGGAAACAACCAGGGGAAGCTTATTAGCGGTGCACTTTTCTGGCTCAGCCGAGTGCGCAGCAGTTGCCCTGGACTGTGCAAGCCCCTGCTTCGAGCCCGAATGCGAGATTGCTCAAATTCGTGCAAGGCAATGCGCACCTCTTCCTGCGTGACCTTGTACATTGCTGCGATAAACGGCCCCAGCCTTGTGATGTCTCGCTCGTCTCCAGCTTCCCGCACACACAGGCGTCGGAATCGGCTCATGATGACCTTGAAGATGCGGCCAATATCCTCTGAGGCCTTGTAATCCGAACCGACCCGCGGCCGGTGAATCGAGAATCCCGTCCACATCTCGAACTCACTTCCGATCTCTTTCTGAGCCATGGCTCGGCGAAGGGCAAGGTCATACTGTGTCTTGATGCGTCTGGCGCGGCGAAGGAGGTCGATGTCAAGATCGGGATAATGGTGCAAGATCCGCACATCAAACGGCTTGTCATAGGCAGGCTCAAAACTGTCCACCTTGACACGGTCGTAGATCTTGCCCAGGGCTGTAGGCGATCTGTAAGTGTGCTTTTGGATCCGGTTCATCCAGTGTGGCCACTGCTTGGGGTTGAGTCGGTGTGGCAAAAGTGCTGGAATCCCGGTTTTGGCGTAATCCACCGCTTGCGAGTGCAGTTGAGCCAGTTCAAGGCATCGCGGGTGCATGGCACCGCCGTCGAGCTGGTCAGCGAAGCCCCGGTGAGACAGTGCGATGCGAGGCAACGTGTCGTGCTTCATGTGCTGAACAAAAAAGGAAATGAGGTGTCTCAGGGTGACACGGTCGACATCAGGCTCGCGTGAGGCCTCGTAATTCATAGCCTCGTAGTTCCAAACCCGATGCGGTGGAAGGAGACGTTTATCCCAGAAAACAAAGTAGTCGTCGCCATCTAGGTCACCTCCTGAACACATTCCTGGGATATCTCGGTCGCCTACACGCGGAAACACCACAACGTCGCGCAGGTGGTGCAATGCCGGCACATCGACAGCCTCCACCACCCGCAGATCTCCCGGATGTAGCGAAGGATTTCTCCCCACAAGGCAGAGGCCAACGATGACCTTGTACTTTCCGTGGCCAGCATCTTGGTCAATGCTACTGCGTACTTGACCAGCGGTGACGGCGTCAAGATCCGGCACCTGCAAGAAAATTTGTGGAAGCCGGGCGATTTTGTTCTCCTTGTCGTCAATCTTGTCCCGAGTGTCTTCATTCGTCGGCCGCTCTGGCTCGTTGGTATGTCCCCGCAACGTATCCGTCTCGTCGACACATCCAAGGACAAATGCGCTCCTCTCAACCGTTATGCGTGCCTTTTCTTTCAGTGCCTTGAGTGTCCAGGAACGCCATAGCTGCAGCAGAGCCCAGACAAACGGTTCATCTGAATCCATGAAGCCAGCCTTGACCATATCAGCTAAGGCATGCGTCGTATGGTTCTGATCCACACGCACCATCAGCTGGTCTACAGCCTTGCGTGCATCTTTCATGACCGCGTCGATCCCTGTGAGTTCTTCATTGAGGAGTTCGAGAAACACGGATGTAGGGATGCCCAAGCACGTAAGCAGGAGGATTGTCTGCTGATTGAGAGTCGCAGTCGCCGTTTCGGAGCAACGCACGATTTCGAGTACATTTGCCTTGTCTGACGTGGGGAACTTTTCTTGAGACGGGCGGACTTGCACCACTTGACCAGACGGCACGTCGGGCCAGACAACCAGAACGCCCTTGCAGCCGCCCATGCGAAATTGAAAGGCAGAGGGCACTTCGGACACACGTAGGTGGGAGGCGATGACGCGAGCCCACCATTTAGAGATCTTGCCGACGCCATCGGTAAAGCAGAAACCGCCGCCTTCGACGTCGGGAATGTGCTGCACCGTGGTAGGAACACCAAATGTTGGGACCGGCCTTGTCGTCGAGAGGCACTGGCCCAAACGGGCAGCATACTTGGCCACAGTTTTGATGTTGCTGAAGTCTCCCATCCAATCACGGACGTCTTGACAGGTTACCAGTTCCGTAGGGGCAAAGAAATATGCGCCATTTTCACGGAGCTGCGAGTTCCCAAAGGCCAGGAACTTGAAATGGCGTCCTCCAACGCGGATACCGTTTTTCAGAGCTCGAAAGGCCCGCGTGAAACACTCGTCCGTTCGCGTCGTATCCGGGCCACCGCTCAACCTGCCAATGTGCAATTCATCTGTGAATTGGACTCGCAAGAAACGGTCGTGGTGCTCTCTGTAGTGGCGGAGCACACGATTGCCAGCCTCCAAAGCCGGTGTTGAAAAGACGATGGTGGTTGGTGTGACAATTGCCTTGCGAATGTAAACTGCTCGGTCTTTGTCAAGAGTGGCCTCAGGCGGGGTTTTGCGCCAGTACGAAGCAGCTTTGGGGTCTCGAAAGATGTTGTGGGGTTGGTAGATCCGTTTGTCACGCTCTGCCACGTATTCAAGGACGCGACAGGCGCGATCAGGAGACAGGGCAGCCAGGCTCTCAAGAAAAACCACGTCCAGGGAGTGCTCCTGGAGGATGCCACGCGATATACACACTTCAAGTTGGTAGGATACCTCGAAAGAAAGCTGACGCGACAGGTGATGCGTATTACTGGACGGGACAGTTGCTGGCGATATTCCCAAGAGACTGGTCTCGAGACAATCCCACATGCTTCGATCGTCGCGTGAAAGGAACCGAAACTCGGGACAGGCGCTGACACGGATGTCGTAGTCCTTCAGGGACCGAGAAATGGTGTTCCACTCGCTGACACTCACCTGATTCAAGCCCAGACGAAAAGTAGTCCAGCGGCCGAGGTCAACAGCGGCCCCTTTGGGAAACTCACCACGTAGCGAAATGGCGCCATCGCGGACAGTTCTCTGGTCCATGGTCAGGTATGCCATACGGACCCATTGCTCTATGCCGCTCCAGCTGAGGCGGTCAGTTCCATGAGTCTTTGATAGGTCCCTTGCCCTGTGCCAGTATTCAGGTGGGGACGTGAGCGCGATCATGATGCAGATTCTCCCACCAGGCAGATGCTGTTGCCACACGGTCTTGATCCAGGAAAACCGGATGTTGATGCGGTAATGGACGGGCCTGCGACGAGCTGAGCCGGCCATCGGCGAAGTCCCTCCATTTTCCCAAGTCTCTTGAAGGTGGCGTTTCACGAATATGCACAGCTCACGACGGGCGAAGTCAACAGTGAGGCTGATGCTGACATCCCTAGGGTGATTGCGCCCAAGGTTTGGACTGTCGTAAACCTCGTCCATGACCATCATGGCACGCCTCTGGTGCATGAACCCCTGGCTCAGGAGAGCCACCCTAAAGTCTGTTTGCGGTTGAACCCAGTGGCGCAACGGAGTCTGGATGCGCTCGCTCAAAGCGCCCCGAAAACCGCTTCTGTCTACAGAGGCGTAAACGTCTGTTTCGCTCGGTGGTGGTCCAGCCAGTTGAAGATGCCAGGAATGGTCGTACCAGTAATCGAAAGGGGGGGGTACTACACGTACACGGACCGAGCCAGTACGTTCTCCCCTGTTGCTTTCCATGATGTCGATCGAGAGGACAGCCAGGGGCAGCATGGAGTTGTAGATGTCGAGTGTGGTGGCTTCGGACGGCACCCGGTGAAGCATGATGACCATAGATGTATATCCCTGTTTCTGCCAGGGTACTCGTCGAGCCGGCTTGTTTTTGGCTCCAGCTGGAACCTGTGCAGGAGAATCACCATTGCTGCTTGGGTTTCTAGTATTTTCGTAGGCGGCGCCGGGGGGCATGCGGCGGAGATCGTCTCCGTAGAGAGCAGCCATATTGACAGAAAAGTGACTGAGAACCCACATTAGCTTCTTCCCATGAAGTAGAGCTGAAGAGATTATGAGATTTGACTTACTGCCCGTATCAAGAGTTCGTTAGGATTCATATAGTAGATTTATGGTTGCGCCAGTAGATGTCGTATATGGTGAAATTTACTATTGGTTGAGATAATAGATAGAAAGGACATACACCTGAATTTCTGGGCAAAGTCGGACGTACTCAAAATAAAGATCGCAGTTTGTGAAGAAGCTAGAAGACAGCAAGAGCCGAGCAAACAACTCGTCGAAGAGCTGTGACAAGGTGCTCGGGTTGGCAGGTGCGGGTATCAGAACTCGTTCCCGGAAGGTGCGATGGCCACTCTTGAATTCTTATCGGAGGTGTCTGGAGTTTTATGGTATCTACTGTCCAAGTGAGTACGAGATAGAGATGAAAGTGAGGATACGAAAGTCTGACGGAAAAGAAAGAGGTCATCAGCCATGGTAGCAGATGGTCAAACGGAACTCGATAGGCCCACGTCTGTCATACGAGAGAGCACGCGGACGCTTTTGGCAGATATTAGCAGAAGACAGGACTGAAAGCCAACAATGACGAAATAAATCGAGACAATACAGGACGTCATTGAATATTTTCATTACGCAAGCGGCCCTGCAACAAAAGGATACAGATAATGAATCGACCGTGCAGCGCAGGCCACCGACCCCGCCGATGCGAGGTATCTGGGTTGCCCAAGCGGTTATACTGATCAACCTCCATTGGAACAGCCCCTTCACCGATCGAATATCTTCCCGGGATTCCTGGACAGTCAGCATCAGCCGCGAGAAGAGGGGTGAGACGGACACCCACATGATCCAGCGCGGGTCCAGCGCGGTCTTGATGGCCTTCATGACGTCGACGGTGGCGGGGCCGAGCTCCAGCAGCAGCGCGTCCTTCTTGCCCCAGCCGATGGAATGCTCGCCGGTGCAGGTGCCATCCATGTCGAGGGCGCGGCGAACCATGTTTCCGACGCAGGCCTCGACCTTTTGGCGCTCGCCCGGACGGGCCGGGCTATAGAGGATGCTCTCGTGGAAGTTGCCGTCGCCGATGTGGCCGAGGATGCTGGCAAAGAGGCCGAGATCATCCATCTCGCGCTTGCTGACGTCGATGATGTCGGCGAGACGGCTGAGCGGCACGGCCACGTCGGTGCTCCAGACCTGGTCGCCATCGCGGCGCAGCGCCAGCATCGACCAGAGCGACTCCTTGCGCGCCGACCAGAGCAGCTGCTGCTCGCGGGCATCACGCGCAAACTCAAAGTGGCCACCGGCATGGGCTCTCGTGATGGCCAGAACGCGGGCCACATTGTCACGCACGCTCGCCCGCGACCCGGCGAGCTTAAAGAAGAGCGTCGGCTGCTCCAGCCAGCGCCGTGGCGCCGTGGCGCCGCCCAGGTTGACCACCCGCATCTGCACCTCGTCCATGATCTCCATGGCTGCTACTGGGACGCCTGTCTGCATCACCTCGGCCGCGGCTGCGGCTGCATCGCGCATCGTCGGGAACGCCACCACTGCCACCGTCTGCTCCTCTGGCACTACTGCCAGCTTCAGCGTCACCTCTGTCACTAGACCCAGCGTGCCCTCCGAACCGACAAAGAGCCCGTTCAGGTTGTAGCCGGCCGACGACTTGCGCGGCCGCCGGCGCGTCTTGATCACTGTCCCGTCTGCCAGCACCACCGTCAGGTTCACCACCCAGTCTTTCATCGTGCCGTATCGCACCGCATTCGTCCCCGAGCAGTTCGTCCCCACCATGCCGCCGATCTTGGCACTCGGTCCTGGATCCACCGGGAAGAATAGCCCGCTGTCCAGCTCAGCCAGCTGCTTGTTGAGGTCCTGCCACCCGAGGCTCGGCTGCACCACCACATCCATGTCGGCCTTGTTGAACTGCACCAGTCTGTCCATGTGCGCAAAGTCCACGCTGATCCCGCCGAACGGCGCCGAGAAGTTGCCCTCCAAGCTCGACCCGCCCGAGTAGGGGATCACCGGCACCCGGTGCTGGAAGCATACGCGTACGATCAGCGCCACCTGCTCTGTCGACCGTGGATATGCCACCGCCACCGGTAGGCTCTCGGGGTTGCACGTCGACCACTCCGAGTAGCCGTGTGCTTGCAGGTCTTCGGGATCGATCGAGATAACGTCCGCTTCTGGGATATCGCGGCGAATTTTCTCAATGGCCTGCTGAGAGTGAGCTGGAAAAAGTCACAGGAGGTGTACTGGCTGGGTTGGTTTACCTGTTCCATCTCAGGCAGCGTGGCATATTTTATCGATAACTGGCTGTTCGGCTGTCTTTCAGAGTACGCCGTTGCGAGGCCCCAGCCAGTCAATGCTGCAGCGACAGCCACGAGGACGACGCGCTGACCGGACCACGCGTCCACTGCTTGTGTTGTACTTCTGTCACCGTTGCTGGCTGATATCAAACCTTGGCTAAGAGCTGATGAAGAGAATTGCCGTCTACAGCCTGCCGAGACGAGTTGAACGGCCAGTGGATAGGCCTTGGCTTTACTGAGCCTCCTCACGGCTCGGAGTACGAGACATACCGCCATTCTCAACGATGTAACTCTTCCAGGCTGTCCACAGCTCCAGGCCTTTCCTCCCAAGAGTCCTTGAAGTATTATAGCACCTCTGGCTGATGCGTTCAGACCTTCGTGGTATTAGCAGCCGACCCCGTATTAGTAAAGTCTAGCTTGTATTTCAAAAAGGGCTACCTACTCAACTTTGCGGGGAGAAGGCTAGCTCGGGGTTGCTGGTTTTGTATGTCACACCTTAGTACAAACCAACTGGCTACGTCCCGTACTTAATTGGATGAGGAATTAGTCGTCCCGGTCAGAAAGAGGAGGCAGAATGTATGGTCTTATCGTGAGACACATGTACCAAGTCTCCGGGAGTCGAAAATGGTACAAAATGGTATACATAATCCGAGTCTATATACATGGCCACTCTTTGTAAATCTTTCTGAGACGGGTCCACGAGTGTGACATACAAGAGACACACAAACGGCCGGGAGCGGTCAAGAATTAGGTACGAGAGGCCAAGAAACGGTAAAGATGTGCGAAATGTCATCGTGTAAGTACCTGGGACAGGTGGTCGTACTTAAGACCCAATAGACCAAGGAAGGCTTTCCTGCACTTCAAGTTGCCTGAAGAGAAATTGTAGGGGCTTCAAATAAGTCATCATTAGTTCCATTATATCGATACCATAACGAGATCCATCCACACAAGAAGATGCCGGACTTGCTTCTCAAAGCCTTCCCGTTTGTTCTCATTGTTTTCATGTGAGAGTGAAGCTTGGGATGGCTATCCAATCAAACTTTGAGTTCAAACAGAGCAAAAAAAAGGAACGGTTCTACAGACAAGCAACTATGGTTGAGCATAAGGTTTGCGCGTACGGCAGAGAAAAAGAGGCCACAGACAACTTTACAAAGAAAAGTGTTCCACGCCAAAAGATTTGTTGACAGGAAGAAGCATAGAGCTGCTAACAGACAGAAGCAGCGAGACAAGGCAAGTCCGTTGTCTCTACTTCGACCGGCATCATGACTCTGTACGGAGTGTAATAGTGCATCACCCATATGCTCAGAGTAGCCTCAGAATCATGTACAAAGAGACGCCGTCGAGCTGCCGTGGTCGCATGTGTCATGAGGTGCTCGCACGACGCCGTGTAGCCTAATGGGAGTTTAGCCGCCTAAATCTGTGGCTTTCCGAAAACAAAGCATCCAGGCCGAGACACTGCGACTTTTAGCGGTGTCGTGCAACTGTTTCTGTCTGGGGGGGCAAAGGCGGGGAAATACTGCATGGAATCTGGCAGTCGGTCAGGCTCAAGAATTCTATCCTAAATCCTGTCCACGGGCAACGCACTGAACAGCAGTGTCCACCGCTCTTTCTTCCTGTGATGGGTGCTGAGACAATCTTTCCCCCAAATGCCGGCAGATCATAAACAGACGCTAATTGGGATGCTGTAAAATACTGTGAGCAAGCCTAAACTTGCACGGTCAAATCACCGCCTGATCCATTCGTGTCTGCCCTTGATGCATCAGGAGTGTGCAGACGGCCAGACCGATGACAGAAGGTATCGTAATACTCGGATCCTTGATCCCGTGGGTCGGCTGTGTTCTGCAGCTTGATTGCGCTATTGTAACATGGATGGTCATGCTGCATAGGAGAAGTGAGCACGAAACCTGCCGAATGGCGCAAAGAATTACTCGTTTTGCGTGCATGCAGCAATTGGAGAACATATACCGAGCTAGTAGCCATGAGGGGTACTCCGTACATGAGGGAGAGTACTTTGTCAGTTGACTCGAAGTAGACGAGCAGATGTACCGACGCAAAGGGAGACTCCTTGAAGCCAACACTGTTTCGCAAACGAGCTTTGAAATTTTACTTTTTTTTTCGTATCAGAGCCACCGTGATAAGAAGATTACAGCCGAGATAAACTCCTAATGAATTCTCATTTTCTCGTTGTTCTCTCGCCCTCCCGACTTTTACCCTGTCCTATAAGCCTTCCCTCGCTTTCCGTAGAGAAATTCACATCATTGGGGGTGCAAGAAAGGGACTGTTCCGAACCCCTATTTTTGCCTTGTCCTCGCCGATCGCACGACCCGCTCTGTGCCCAGCGGAACGGGCTGGCCGAGCAGTCCGGCCACATACGCCATCGCACCACAAGGGAAACCCCTTAGTGCTGGGCAGCGCGCCGACGGTCACGCTCCTCGGCGATCGTCAGCTTGACACCACGGCCCTTGGGCAGGGAGATCCACGGCTTCTCCGTGCCGATGACGAAGACGTTGCTCTCACGGGTGGCAAACGTGTTGTCAATGGCGTCCTTGAGGTGGACAATGTTGAAGCCACCATCGTGACGTTCACGGTGGGTGATTACACCAACACGGCCCATGTTGCGACCGCCGGTGATCATAGCCAGGGCACCGGTATCGAACTTGACAAAGTCAGTGATCTTGCCGGTGGCAAGGTCGATCTTGACAGTGTCGTTGACCTTGATGAGCGGGTCAGGGTAGCGGATGCTGTGACACGGAGTTCGGGTTAGCAATGCCACCATACAGATACGTACCAGCCGTGTCTCAGTTTTGGTCTTCGCTGCCACCGCGTGGGTTACATCTTCATCCATTTCGCCAACATGCTCCCCACTCAGAACAGGAGGAGAAGCTAAACCATCCCGTCCCAGCCCAATCGAGAGATCGGGCCGTTTGGGGGCGGGTTTGCCTCTGCGAGGATCTCAGAGAGCAGCAGGAGAGATGAGTCGAGCAGACCGGTCGAGAAGACCAGTCCAGCAGACCAGATACCAACTCTCACCCCGCTGCCCGCTCACGCTCGTCTCCTCCGGATCCATCGGGTCGGTCTGAAGATGTCCCACACGGTGGCATCCAAAGCTTGGTCCAACGGCTGATAGATGGGTAGATGAGAAACGTACGTTCTCGCATCATGCGTAACCAAGAATGGAATGCCGCCGCGGCCCAGCTGCACACGCCGGACCTTGCCCAGCTTGTACTCGGCCTCCTCAGCCTGGATGCGGTGCACGGTGAAGCGACCCTTGGTGTCGTAGATCAGACGGAAGTTCTCGCCCGTCTTCTCGATCGTGATGACGTCCATGAAGCCAGTCGGGTACGTCGTGTCGGTGCGGACCTTGTGGTCGACCTTGATCAGGCGCTGCAGCAGAATCGCCTTGGTCTCGCGGTAGTTGAGCGCGTACTTGAGCCGGTTGCGCAGGAAGATGATGAGCGGCAGGCACTCGCGCGACTTGTGCGGACCCGGAGACGCCTTGGGTGCGTACACACCCGACAGCTTGTCCAGCAGCCAGTGCGAGGGAGCGCTAAGGCGCTTTTGGTGCTTCTTCCTGCATCGAGAGTCAGAACATCCGTTGCCGCTTTTGCTCCCTCCTGCTGCTGTCGTCTTTCCGTAGCCGGCATGGCCGCGAGAAAGACAGCCGGGATACACAGGGGCAGAGCAGGACTCTGGAACACGGTCATACTTACATTCCCTTACCCATCTTGACGGTGGTTGTGCTGTCGTAATTTGGTGATGGGAATCAGAGTAAGAGGATGGAGCGGGAACAAATTTTCTGAATAGCAATATGCCAATTTTTTTAATTGATTTGTTAGTCTCGGTTCCCGCGCGGGCACAGAGGGTTTCAAGCCCTGAAAAAAAGCCCCAAGTAGAGCCCATATAAACACGTGATATTACCACACCGTGCGCTACCGTATAACACTGTAGTTGTCCGTCAGATAAGATACGGGGTACTTCGTACATACTTGTACATATTTCAGATGCTACCATCCCAATGGGTATATTGACAGGCAAAACCGCCGCCCAGAACCACGTTATCCTAACAGAGATTGCTCTCGTTCTCTACGTGTGATATGCTGGTATAGCAAACGCCGGCGATGAAAACAAACCCAAAGCACAAAACAGCTACCCTCGATTACCTGCTCGCTTTGAATAATAAACAGTGTGACATGGCTTGGGTGCATCACATAGGATACGACGGGATCTGGGGATCGTCCAACAACAGCCGGGAGATGCCCATTTCGCCGACATTTCCTAAAAACGCAGAACTTGATGCCTCTCCAATATCAAAAGCCGACGGCTCGTGTGATTCCAAAGGCTCGACGTGTAGCAGTGACGGCAATGATGGTCGAGAAGGTCGAGAGTTGTCCATAGTCGTATTGACGGACGGCTCCAGAAGAGTGCTGGCTCCTGATATAATTGTGCTATCGTTCGCAGTACTCCCGCTGCCGGTGCCACCTGCACCTGTATTCAGGTCGCCCTGTTCAACTTCTTGTGGCTGTAGCTGATACACGCCCTTCTCAATGTTGGCATATGTCTCTGGGTACTTGTTGCGCACTCGGTCTCGAAGGTCTGTCGGTTGGCGGCTTGACAGATTGAACTGTGGATGGCGGTGGATTTTGGTCCAAGCTGGGCCATATAACTGAAGGCCCTCGAGAATCTCTCGATCGTCCTGTTCTGTAAAGGGCCGCCGCTCTCGACGATGCGACTTTTTAAACGGACCCTGGATGCCCAATTTGACCATGTCTTCCATGTTTCGTCTGTGCACCCGTCTCTTGCGTAGTTTGGGTTCTAGTCCCGTCGCTGATGAGGACTCTGCTATTGGCACGTCTGGGTGGGGAGGCTGGCCATGTAGATCATACTGGACATCCTGCTCGATCAGGATGTCCTCCAGCGTCAGGCTTGTCTTAGTTTTCAGCCGCGCTCTTGTTGACGGCCCGGTCGTCGGTAGATTTGGAGCTGCCAAACGGTCCGCATGGTTGAGTTTTCCGCGAAGTTCGTCAGGACAGCAGGTTCGGAAGCGGTCTTTCAGGTCGCCAGCTGAGCGGTTGCAAAAGGAGAACTCCGGGTCTTCGAGAATCGCAGTCCATTTGCCTAGACCGTGCCTGCTGACGCCGATGAGCAGCTGGTTGGTCTCTTCCTCCGTCCATCGTCGACGAGGCTTTGCAGCACGCCGTTTCGGCTTTGTGTTTGAGGATGATACCGACGATCCATGCGCCCAGTCTCCCGTAATTCCCCCCTGATTGAATGCACAGGACGGCAATGTGGGCGCTGCTGTCGTATACCCGGCTGCCGATGACGATATGCCCGATGCTAAAAACGGTTCGCCAAATCTGTCTGTTTCTGTAGCAGAGGCGGAGGTCGCTCCCGTCATCAATCCTTCATATCCGAGATTCCCACCAACGCCTCCGCCACCCTCTCCGCCATTAACAAAGTCGGTGGTTAATGCTCCCCGACCCAATGTAGCATTGGCGTCGAAGTCCGAGGCGATGGGTGGGAATACGGCGGCGTTTGGCGGCGGTTCATGCAAGCCGTTGATGATAGGAGGAAAGACCTGGCTGAGAGCTCCAACCTGCTGGTTGGATTTCTGTTTCTTCAACGGCTGGGGAAGCTGGATCAGCTCGTCGGTATGTGGAATCACGCGAAGTCGTTTGCCATTGATAGACGCAGACCCTGCCAGCGAGGGATCATCAGGACTGCTTGGAAGAGCAGAGAAGTCAGCACCACTAACGTCCCCAGACGCCATACGAATAGCGCGTGCAGGCCATCCACTTCCGGTGGAATTGTAGTTCTGGTCATCTTCGATAGACAATGGATATATGGAAGCGCTTGTGGTAGCCAATGCAGCTTGCTGCTGTTGCTGTTGCTGTTGCTGTTTTAGAGAAGTCGGGGAGGTACCCTCAGAGACGTTGAGCTCGAGGGGTGGGAGAAGAAGAACATCGCCATCTTCGGCGTTGTTTTGGGAGCCAAGAGTGCTGTGGATAGACGGCAGGTGGTCTCTGGAGTCATTGACATTTAGCAGATGCATAAGTCGCGGCTCGATAGTGGCCATGATGATGGTAGCCGTGATGCAGCAATGGCTGGGAGGTAGGAAGGGAAAACATTGGCGTCTGGAGAATGGTAGGGTAAGCAGACGAAATGTAAAGACAAGAGAGAATGAAGCCAAATGGAATCGAGAAACTTGGGCCGACAAGGCTGAAGGCGAGAGGGTTGCGACAGTGAAAGAACGTTGCTTGTTTCCGTGTCCAGATGTTTTAGCCTTGGCCTTTTCCAGGACCTCCCAGTCTTGCAGATTGTCCCGTGTTCTCTCGTTTGTCGCCTGGGACGCAATCCGAAAGGATGCTAGTGAGCACCCGGCATACAAGATACAGGGACACTTATCTCCTTCAGTAGGAAGAAGGGGTCAGATCTGAGAGAAGAGAAGATGCAACGTAGGCGTTGGCCAGTTTCTGTATTTTAAAAAGGATGGTCTGCCACACCTGCACGTGCAATGGCAGCATAGAATGAAGCAAGATACAAAGCGGTTTGTATTTTGGAATTAACCGCCGCAAATCTTCAAAGAAGGAAGAAGCCTGGTGCACCCCAATTGCTGCCGGAATAGAGTCTAGAACACCCCATTCAGCTGGTTTTAGTGGCGATAACGATGAGGGGTAGGAAGGGTCCACTGGCGAGTGCACAGGCACTACGACGTAGGTGCACTGCTTCTTTCCAGGTGAAAAGTAAAACCCGCTGGGGCGATACCCATGTCTAGCGCATTAGTTGCATTCTCTTGCGGAGCTTCTCCATTGCCCCTTACAATTTCCAACGCTTGTGGTGTGTGAGAACAGGTCTCGCCGAAGGCCAAGAAGCTGCTATGTACTAAGATACGCCCTGCAGAATGCACCGATTCTGCAGGTGTTAGCGAGTGTTCCGGCGATGGGAGGCAATCTCCACTGCAGGTGGAAAGGCTGTCGACGTTGTTGTTTTTGTGCTAGTAGTTCAGGGATTTGGCATTTCTTTTGGGCCACTCTTTTCTGGTGCCTCTAGATACTATCCGAAATTAGAAAGCAACCCAAAAATATCTCATAGCCTCGTATTCGAGGTGCATCAGCAGAAAATCACAGGGAACAGGAGTGACGTGGCTGACATACTGCCCACTAACTAACCCCAACGGCTTTCAGGATGGCTTCTCGGCTGCCAGCTTTTCCCCGGGTTGTGTTCACTATATTCGAACCTCTGTCTCTGTAAGGATCCTTGTTGGCTAGCCAGGCAACAGCTGCCTTCCCTACACTGACAGGCGCTCTTTCTTACTCTCTCCGCTCGCTGCTGCAGGATAAGCGGCAGTCTTCCAGCCATTCTCGCACCGGACTGGTTTATCCAGGAACAGATCGCCGGGACCTCCGGGACGGTTGCATCAGACCGCAGCCGCCTCGTGGCCCAGCAGCTGGGGAACACGTATGGGCTTCTGTTCCTCCTAGGCGTTGCCGTGCTCTACACCAGCACAGAACTGAGAGTCGTGCGGAATTATCTCGTAGCGCTGCTCATCGCGGACGCCAGCCACGTTGGGTTTACCATCTGGGGGCTTGGCCTAGCCCGATTTATCGCCGTCGATGAGTGGAACGCGATGACGTGGGGGAACATTGGTGTCACTGTTCGTCTTCACCCTTCCTGCACCCCTGCTCCTTATTTCCTTGTACTTTAGACACCATACGTATGCCCAGCAGAGGCTAAGCTCTCGAGCCGCTACTGACATCCAATCCTTCTGCAGACTCTCCTTGCCCTCACCCGGGTAGCCTATCTGCTGGGTCTCTTCGGCCCGGATAAACCGGGAACGGGTGCCATATCCAAGAAGGCTGATTGAGGGGGGCATTGTGTTCCGGCTCATACTATGAACCAAGGACGGTTGTTCCTTACCTCTGGTAGAGTGGCTGGACGGAACTCATACTTTTCCTTCTTTTGCGTCAGCCTGCCTCTGTTGTACGGCTTGGATCGAGGATGCAAGAGAAGGAAATAAGAGCACATGAGGCAAATGAAATCCAAGCAAATCTATCTCTGTTTTTAAGGCAGAAGGTAGCTGAGGAAACTTTGTATCACGACCCATTCTGATATATTGGGACTGGCATGTATGTATTTGATGCATTTATATCCGATCTACATCTCCCCTACCCCGTACACATGGCCGGTCATGCCAAACCTATGACGTGTTGCTCCATGGGTAAGATTTAGTAAAAACTGGAGCAGAAACGATTAGTCGACAACGGTGTAATACCATGGTTCCTTCTCCGGCTCTGTATCTACTAAACGCCGAGTATCACAATAGCCAGGAGGTTGTGATACATCTGTATGGTGTAGGCAGAGGTGCCGAGTGGTGGAGTAGCCAGTCTGTTCGGCAAGGCAGAATGGCATGGTAGTACGGCAGTATGATGGTCGATAGTCCGGCAATCAGAGAAAAAAATCTTACGCGGTTTTCTCACTGCATCTGAACCTGTGATTTCACATAGACAGAGTCTGGACTGGAAGAAGAGAGAAGCTTGGTTCTTGAGATCGCCGTCTTTCTGTGCCAGTTTAGATGATTAGCGGCACGACTTATTTTTGCAACTGGTCCCTCCATTTGGTGGCCTTTGCGTATCTTCTCCCAAACAAGTTCGATTTCGTCAGCGCCGATGGCATTTTCGATTGCCGGCTTTGCGTATGTTACAGCTCTCCTGTTCTGGGAACTTCCAGATTCGGAACTAGTCAGAAGATGTTTTGCCATCATCCGGAGATAAGCGTCACTACGTATGTTTGTGCACCGACAGGGGCGGCACCTTGACAGAAAGTGGGTTGCTCCTCCCCACACTCGGAGGGCCGGCGATAAAGCACCTTCCTTGAGTATCTGGATTGGATATCTCGAGTCTGAAAAAGTATCTCCTCTTCAGTCTCTTCTTGCGGATAGACCCTGTCCTTCTATACTTACATATTTACCGGCGTGTACATCATGATGACCCCCAATTCTCCCTAAATTATCCGATCTTCGCGCCACTGCCCTTCCCCTCCGCTGGCCCCGCTGTTACACATCTCTTGTCCAGCCCGAGACTTCCCCGACTGTCAGAGAAGAGCAAACAATCCTCAGCCAGGCGGCTTTATCCAATCCCTTGACTAACAATCGTCTTCACAACTTATATCACCCAAGTCCATCAGCGGCCGGCATGTCCGTATCCCAAGCTCCAGGCGAGGATGGTGGCTCCCATCATGGCAGTGATGGCGAGGAGCCGAACAATTTCATATTGGATTTCATGCAGCGAGCGTGGCTTGCCGGTAATGGAAACTATGTAATCCAACTTGATGAAGGAAGCGGAGGGGCTGACGATGTGGACGACGGTGAGGATGAAGACTTTAACGGTATGAGCTTGTTTTCTCATCTAAGAGGCCAGCAAGCACACGCTGACATCCCTCGCAGAAGTGGAAGACGATGATGAGGAAGGGGAAGAAGGCGAAGAGCAAGGTGATGACGATGATGACGATGATGACGATGAGGACGAGGACGATGATGACGACGATGACAACTTCGTAGACGAAGGTGAGTTGCGATGAGCTCTGCTAAATGGACGGCCGTTTTCCCCCATTGCTTACGGATAACAGGCGACACATTCCCACACCTCACGCGCCGACAGTGGAACCTGGTATTGCAAGGCGGCTCCCTTCACAATGTGCTTGTCCGTGTTCCAGGCATGGAAGGATATGGACCTGGCCGGCTGCGGAGACGTCCGCCGGCGGACCCGAACCGGTTTCCCAAGGTGCCTAGCAAAGTCGGCCGGGATCTGATGTCCTCTGGCCTCTTTGGCGTCAGAGAGCGGCCGAGGACGACGACAACATTTTCGAGCACGCCGTATCATGCACGACCGGTTCCGCTGCGGCTGCTGGACCGAGAGCTAGGCCTGGCAGACACCAGGGCCGACCGTTGGCGCAACGAGAAGCTCATCGCCCAGAGCATGATCCCCGCTACCAACGCCGACATGATTGTGCGCTACAGTGCGCCCGTCTATCTCGGCCAGTTCTCGGACGATGGCAACTTTTTCTACAGCGCCACCAAGGACTTCCATGTGCGCATGTACGACACCGCCAACGTGAACGAGTGGCAGCATTACAAGACGGTGGTCCACCCGTCCGGCCGGTGGACCCTGACGGATTCGTCGCTCAGCCCAGACAATCGCTGGCTTGCCTTCACGTCCATGATGCCGCAGGTGTGTCTGGCTCCGACCGACCCCCACGACGAGGGCGAGCCGTATCTGCTGGACCTGTCGGAAGGCGCCGACGAGCACGGCCATCACCACTCCTATGCCATCTTCTCGGTGCGCTTTTCGGGAGACGGCCGTGAGCTCGTAGTCGGCACCAGCGCCAGCACGATCGTTGTCTACGACATCGAGACCCGCCGCGTGCTGCACAGCATCTACGGCCACGACCAGGACGTCAATGCCGTCTGCTTCGGCGACAAGGCGTCACCACACCTGCTCTACTCCGGCTCAGACGACGCCACCATCAAGGTATGGGACAGGCGCAGTCTGGGTGACGGCCGGCCTGCGGGCGCCTTTGTTGGCCACTGCGAGGGCATCACCTACATTGACAGCAAGGGCGACGGGCGGTACATTCTCTCCAACGGAAAAGACCAGACGATGCGGCTGTGGGATCTGCGCATGGCCATGAGCACTGCCGACTTTGAGAGCAACAACCCGACCCGGCTGACGCGCGACAGCTCGCATGACTATCGCTTCGAGCCATACGACGACAGGCAGTGGTTCAAGCACCCGTTCGACAACTCGGTTGTGACGTTTCGTGGCCACCGCGTTGAGCGCACCCTCATCCGCTGCCACTTCTCGCCGCCGGGCAGCAGTGATGGCTCCTACGTCTACTCGGCTAGCCATTCCGGCAAGGTGTACATCTGGAACCTCGATGCGACTCTGGCCGGTGTCATTGACGTTCGCATGGCCACCTCGAACACCATCGCCAAGCTCGTCGCCGAGGAAGACGCGGCCGGCGAGGGCGGTCGCCGTGCCTCCCTCCATCACCACCACCAACGCAATCCCGACGGGCCCATCTGTGTGCGGGACGCCAGCTGGCATCCGACGGCGCCCGTTCTTGTTGGTATGTTAATTCCCCTTACTGCTGCGATTTGCCTTTCTCCTTTCGCTGACAAACTAGCCTCTGGATTCGATGCCGATAGTATGGAAGCCGGCACCTGCTCGGTACACTCCTGTGCCCTATCTCAGGACGGGGATTCCGGCGGGCCAGAGCAGAGACTGTACGACGAAAAGCTACGTCCGATGCCTGCGTGGAAGGCAAGGATGAGAGGCGTGCCCTGGTTTCGGTAGACACCTGTCGATAGTCAAGGAATATATCTTACATCACGGGTAGCAAGTGCATCCCAATAGCCTGTGATACGCCTTACAAAATGCGCAGCAATTGAGCCCCAAAGGAACCGAAAATTCTGACATGTGCTATACAAGACGCCTCTTCCGTGGACCCTTATCAGGTGTCCTGTTCCTATACAACCGCCGAGTTATGCGCCGCTTCCGTCGTTTGCATAGCCCCCATGCCCCTGTCCATTGCTGATATTTTCCAGCTATAAGCCATGATGGAGACGTCAACACGATACATACACGAAGCAGACATACAGACTGCCCAGCTGTGCTTTATTTTGTTTGTTTTGGTTGATAATGTCCTTCTCCATGAGCAGGCTCGTCGCACACCTGTCCAGGAATCAAAATTCGTTCTGTTTCTGCACACGATTGGCGAACAGCCTCGTCGCGCAGAGTCCCCCCACGACACGAACCCGTCTATGCGCCGCCCACGAGGATGTTGTTCAGGGGAATGTGCACTGTCCAGGAAGTCTGATTAGTCCTTGTGCTGCGGTCCCAAGATGGATGACGACGGCAACATACCCAGCTTGACAAAGTAGCCCACGGCGCCCATGACGATGAAGCCGACACCGACGGCCTGGCTGATCTTGACAAACTCCTTGACATCGGCTACACCCAACAACACGCCGTTAGTTATTGCGCATTCACCAGCGATGATGATGCCCTCTCGCAAAAGGGTACGTTTCCACTCTTCGAGCTGCCCCTTTCTGCAAAGCATCTCCTCCACTCCATCTCCGGCAGGGTGGAGAGGCTCAGATGAACGTACGTTTCTGGCAGCGGTTGATGAACTGCAAGCCGTCCTTGACAAACTCCCGCGGGACGTCCAGGATCTCCTGAATCTGGTCGGACATGGTAACGAACGGGCCGACGGCGACTGTGCTGTGGAAAAAAGGTAGGCTAGAAAGCGGGTGAAATGAGCGTGGAACCGGTCGTGAGAGAACAGGATTGTGGTTGCAAGAGAAGCTAGCAGTTGGGTCGAGAGGAACGCGAAAGGAAGGCTCTCCAGACTAATGAATGGGAAATTTGCGCCCGTGGCACTATGTAAGCTGGCCAATTGGTGCTGATGCCAGATCGCCCAAAAGACTCCCTGGAGGGCCTTCTAGGCTCCGGGTCCGTGCGCCACAAAAGCCCGATGCGCATATCCGCACTGTGCGCACATGTTTTATCGGGTATCCACTATTACTGCACAGGAGAAGCTCCTTCCTCCAAATCGCCATGACTTTCTTTGGGGCGTTTTGCGACATCATCCGTATAATCTGTTTCTTCTCCCGTCGTCGAGCAAGCTTCATCCCACATACTCCCCGACTGCCTACTGTATTGTCTGGTGATAGGAAAGCCAACGGTATTAATCTCAATTTCTGATTCCGCCACTTCGTCTACGGTGCCGACGACAGTTTAGGCCGAGGAGCTTGTTGCGGACGGTCCTTTCGGTGCCCTTGACACTTCCCGTCCTCTTTTTTACTCCCTCCTCTCACCTCCTTCCATTCGCTTCGCAGGACAGTAGCGACCAGAAAGTGAGGAAAGGACGCGTCGCATCATTTCGCACTTCCAACCTGTCTTACCACCTGCTTCGATCACCCTCGTTTTCGTCTCTGCCCATCAGAGCCCATCGAACGCGTTTCCAACCGAGAAGGCCAAGACAGTTTCGCACAGCCTCGTCTGGCCTACCCAGGCGCTCTCAGCTCGACTACCTCCGCCTCGGCTCTGTTACTTAGTGCCATCTGAAATTTGCTTATTTACTCTCTGCTTTTATTTGCTTCACATCTTGTTTCCAGATCTCGCGACGCGGCAAGGAGCTTTTCCCAAGAAGTTAATACATGCCCGCCATCATTTTATCCGCAGTTCAACCAGACAGATTGCAACCTCCTAACACAGCCTGTACTAGACTCTTGTTTGTCCACGGAAGTGAAGACGAAAGGTGCTAGAAGAAATTCTGAGGTTCCAGAACACCGACGGGTCGGACTGCAAGCACAGAGCTTCGTCTACAGCGCATATCGTCCTCTTTCTTGAGCAAAGAAGCTTCTGTCATTGTATCGAGTCACTTGTTGTCCGGGAATACTGGAGTGTACGTATCATTGGTTCTTGCATTTCTTTCTCACGTTTCTTTGACCTCTTCCTGAAAGCGTTTTGTTTCTTCCGATTCCGTCACACGTTCCTGTATTTTCGCATGTGGATTCCTGGGGTAAAGCTTTGGTGTCCTCGGTTACTGATACCAAATCATGGGGCGCCTACAGAAACAGCGTGTGCCTCTGGTTCCGGCTCGGGTCTCAGCACCGCTTCATAGGACGATATTCTTGTTGTGTCCAAGTGCTAGGATTATATCCACCTATACTAGTTAGTGAAACGGCAGGAACGATGGCAGAAGAAGACTTTGAAATCGACATCTACGGCGATGCCAATAGCGAACAGGCCCCGGGAGCTCAGGACGAAGGTGGACAGCAGTTACAGAGCCACTACAATGGCGACGACAGCGGCCACGACAATGGCCAGGGACACGGTCACGGCTATGACGATCAGAACAACCGGCAACACGACGACCAGCCACGACTACCATCCGACAGCTCAGCACCAACATCCTCAAACCTATCCCAAGGTGTCAAGCGGAAAGAGGGCTCCGACGACAGACCGATAGACCCCGGTGCTACGACAGCGATTATGGTGTCCGAGCTGAGCTGGTGGATTACCGACGACGACCTTCGCGGCTGGATTCGAGCAGTGCAATGCGAGGATAAGCTGAAGGACATCACCTTCAGCGAGCACAAAGTGAATGGCAAGAGCAAAGGGTAAGGCTCGTTCCCATGATCACGACCTTATCCAATCAGCTAGCTGACCCGTTTGGCGAAACTATAGGCAAGCATATATTGAGTTCACATCACAGCAAGCGGCGACGGCGTCCAAACACAAGATAGAGTCCCTAGCCACGGGCGAATACCAGCCAGGCCAGAAGAAGCACTCAGTCATATACTCGTCGCCGACAGCAAATCCGTTCCGCACTCTTCCGAAGGAGGCACCCAGCCGTGGCGTACGGGACATGCAAGTGCGGACTACGCCAGGTGGTGGATATCAGGACCGTTCTACGGGCAACTTTGGTGGCAACCAGGGTGGAAGCTATGGTGGTGGCTACCGTGGTGGACGAGGTGGTGGGATGTATGGAAACCCGCGCGGCGGAGGCATGGGCAACCCGAACTTCAACCGAAACTTCAGTAACGGCGGTGGTGGCATGAACTCATTCGGCAACAACGGCGGCATGAACTTTGGCAACCCAATGGGTGGCGGCTTCGGTGCCGGCGGAAATGGTGGCGGGTTCCGAGGCGGTATGGGAGGCGGCATGCGCGGTGGTCCGGGCATGCGTGGAGGCCGTGGCGGTCCGATGAACGGCATGATGGGCGGCATGGGACCGGTGATGGGCCCTATGGGCGGTATGGGACCCATGGGCGGCATGCCAGGTCCTATGGGCGGCATGGGCGGCATGGGAATGGTGGGAGGTGCTATGCCTGGTAAGCAGTCCATCTGACGCTATGTTTTTGACATCTGGCACAGGCCACTAATCAGACGTGTGTTTCCACGCAACAGGCTTCCAGGGAATGCACCCGAATTTCACACCCAACTTCTTTGGCGGTGGTCAAGGAGGTGGCGGTCCCGGAGGGAACGAGTGGCAGAACCCACATGGCGCGAAGCGGCCGCGACCAGAGTAGGCATCGGCGTCGGTTCCTATTCTTCGTGGCCGGTACTAGGGCACTGGTGCAGCGTCACCTCAGCGCTCCTGTTGCCCATGTAGTATTTTCTTAATTATATCTTGCGATCGGGCCGGCACATTCTATCAGCTCTCTCTGGCTCGGAGTCGACCGCGAAAAGGAGTCGAAGGCGAGAAGCCCTGCCGAGAACTGCGATGCCGTGGCCATGATGCGACGGGAAAGGCGTATGCTGGCTGTGGATGCCGGCAAGATTGCTGTACGCATCGCCCTTTTCGCCTCTGTTCTTTTACTCTTATTTGTCGTCTCGTGTAACCAAATGGTATCTTATCTAGTAGGACGGTACTGGGCCGAGGCCAAAGGATGGTGTTTTGCTTTTGTTTCTTCTTTTCTGTATTACCGTTATACTGTCTCTGTCCGTGGAGCAACAACATGCATCAAGGTTTCGAATTGACAGCAGGCTGTGTGATGTGCGAAATCGATCGACCGATCTGCTCGCCACGTGAGCAACACGCGACGCATGTGCAGCCAAGACAGTGTGTATCTCTTTGAGCTGTAACGAGTCTGCTCATCGTTGAGCATGTTTGCAGCTGGTTTCGCCTAAAAGAGGATTAGCGTGCACGGATCTTTTAGCGCGCTCAGAAGCCAGGCCCCAAGGTACTGTTACTGCGGCAAGGTAAGAATATGGCCTGTACGGAGTACGGAGTACAAGCCCTCATCCATCGTGCCTGCCGTTGCGATGTCTCGTTGCAGATGTTAATTTCTGCTCGCCAAAAGCAACAAGAGAGCGAGCCGAGACGAGAAAAGTAGCAAGGCGGATCAGACGCGACCTCGTCCGTGCACAGCTAGATCCCGTTGAGCAAGTTCAATGGCGAAAGCACCCCGTGGGAGGGCCCCATTCGCAATGGCAGGTTGGGCCAAAGACATGAGCAAGTTTCTCTGACGCCGGCACTAACAAGCGGCCACCCAGAAATGGAGCAGGAGGAGCAGAATAAAAAGATCCAGACAGCCAGGCCAGCGGTCGTCTTCTCTCGGACAGGAATCTACCTTCTTCTGCCGCCTCCGCGTGACATCCGCTCCACCTTGATCTCAGCATGGACATGACCGACAGCATGGACGGCTCGTCCTCCGCCTCCACGATGAGCGTCTTCACCGTCTCCACCAGCACGCCTCTCTACTCCGCCAGCTGGACGCCCTCGTCCACGGGCACCTATGCCGGCACCTGCATCTTCCTCATCGTCCTCGCCACCATCTTCCGCCTTCTGCTCGCCAGCAAGGCCCGCGCCGAGACCCGCTGGCTGGACGCCGAGCTGAACCGCCGCTACGTGGTCGTCCCCGGGCGGCCGACCCTGTCGCAGCAGGTGTCGCAGGACTCGGACACCAAGCGCATGGTCCTGTCGGAGAACGGCCTCGAGGAGGACGTCATGGTGCTCCGGAAGCGGCACAGCCCCGGACGGCCATGGCGGCTGTCTGTCGACCCAATCCGGGCGCTGCTCGACACCGTCATTGCCGGCGTCGGATACCTCTTGTTCGTTGCTTCCTCTGTCTTCTACCTTGTCTGCCTATGCTAACACGCCAGACAGGATGCTTGCTGTCATGACCCTGAACGTCGGCTACTTCATGTCCGTTCTTGGCGGCACCTTTCTCGGCAGCCTGCTGGTCGGCCGCTATGTCCTTCTCTCGGAGCATTAGACCACTTCAGCATGCAGTCTCTTGCTTCTTACGACTTGTTTCACTACCAAGACCATCTCCAAAGGTCCCACATCACGACATTTGCATAGGGCGTTTTACGGTGGCAGAGCGATAGGACTTGCTATATTATTTCCAATCATTTCATTCTCCCGCTCTTATGTGAAAAACGAGGGGGTTGTTTTCTATTCCGGCATTGGTGGGTTCGCTCATTGAAGTCTTGGCCAATTTCTGGCCCTGTTTGTACCTATACTTCCGGTTTGGGGTGGTACCACTAAGTACTCCGTAGATCGCCCGCACAGAAATGCGCGCAAATGTGCTCATGGCAGTGCGCTATCCAAAAAAGGCATTTGTCCCTTGTTAAATCCGGAGCCTGACTCAACAAGCTACCCGTATAGGTCCCAGGCCCGTTCCTCCAGGGTCCCGTGTACGGAAGATTGCCGCCGCTTCTGTTCCGCCTTCGCCCCACTGGTCCGGAACGGGTACGTGTATAACCGATATGTGCATGTCCCTGTATCAGCATGTTTTCTTGTTATCATTGGTATTTTTCTACAGCCCCCCCCCTCAGTCAAGAGTTCAAAAGTTAATAGCAATTATCACGATATTCCCATCGTATGTAATGCACATCTATCCGTCCTATGTATTAGCACTGCCAGATCTACACATAGTATTTCGTCTCTTGGCTGTGTAAGACTTAATATCACACCGTATGGAGCATTTCTGTTACCTACCACAAGACCACGCCGGAAAGAGACAAGGTCCCCAAAAAAGAGCAAATCCAACCTTCCGCATTTGGAAGGTTGGCTTACACGTCTAAAAGGAGGAATTACTTGTTAGCTTCCATGGAAAGACGTGAATTAGAATGAAACTGTAAACCTAGATACAGCCTTAAATACTTAGGAGTGGCAACGTACATCCTCGATATCGTTGTAGGATACTCGAGGTGTGCATTGCCAATGTACATGTTATTATGCCCAGCTGTACAGATTGTGCATCCGAACTTACAGTAGCCTCCCTCCCCATTATCCGTTATTTGCAGGGAATTCGAATAGACCTCTCGAGTTATTTTTTAAAGGGTCACAAAGAAACAGGCTTCGTCCACATTAATGACTTTGGTCGACGTATTGCAATGGATATGTAGGAGTGTATCATTACGCAAAATCCGGAAGAAAAACCTCGTCCTAGCATCCTTGATGACCTATTCGATATCCTTCCACACCAAGGAGCTCACAAAAACCTGCCCATTTATGTACTTTCCACCGTCATTCTTCTCCCCTTGACAGATGAAGAAACGAAAGTGAGGATATAAAAAGCACGGAGCACAAGAGCAGACACAGAAACTTTCAAACACCACCGAAGCCGTCCTGCCTAGACAAAAGCCTAGCAACTGTCATAGAGCCAAGGAAACTACCTACAACCACATACCTCAACCTCCGTGTCTCCCATATCACAAACGGGACACTTTAAGCACCCATAGAATTTCCATTTCTGGACATAGCCGGAGTGATAGCCACTCCGTTGGCGAGGTCAAAACGAAAATGGGAGACATGGGAAAGACAAAGTATGAGATTATATGATAGCGGATTAAAAGACGCAAAGCTTTTTGATATTGCGTCAACCGACGGTTGAAACAGTACACGAGGACGAAGGCGCGAAAAGGGGATTGAAAACGACCAGACGTCGGCTTCCATCGCATGGTCAAGAAGCAAAAAACAGCAAGTAAAACAGACAACCCCATACAGAAACCGAACGGGATGAGATGCCAACATGGCCGAGAGACATCGCATATTATAAAACGGAGTGGTATGCATTGTATGCTGGGTATCAGCGCAGCATGATAAAGTAATCCGTGAGAGCCTGGCAGGAGGGAGTAAGGAAGGTATGCGTGGAAGGGTAGAATCGTTAATATATGGGACCTTGTGGCCCCATGGCAAGACCGAAATGACGAGATCATTACATCCTGCGCCTGATCATGACTGGTGACCAGAATGCTGAGGCATGGCGTATTGGTTGTTGCGCTGTACGTAATTGGAATAGGCCAGCGCCTGATTGGGGTCCATGGGCACACTGGGAATGTAGTTTGGTGCCATGTGTGCATTTGGTGGCAGTCGTGTCTGCTGCGAGGCTAGATGGCTCGGGCCAGACTCCTCAGGAGATTCTACCTGGTTGGATTCTTCGACGCCGTTCTCGCCAGCGGACGCGGGTTCCGGCGCGTTCAGGCAGGCCTATGGGTAGATACAACGATTAGCATGAAACTTCCAAGTACAAAGTATTTGTCTGGTGTCAAATTATGAATGCCTACCTGGATCAGGTTCTTTCCTTCCGCCTTCGTGACGAGAGGCTGCAGCTTGGGCGTGGTAAAGGTGTAGACAAGACCAGTTTCCGAGACAACCAGCAGCAGGACTTGCGTGCCAGTGAGAACCGACAACTCGTAGGCCTGGGCAAAACGCGTCAGTGGATACAGAGATCATCAGAGTGGAAACACAGGCCGAAGCCGTCAATGGGAGGGGAGCTGCGAACCTTCTTCATGATGCCAGCCTTACGCTTGGAAAACGTGATGTGGCGACGAGATTTATCGCTGATAAACTTGATCTCAATCTTGCGACGCTCACGACCTCCCTTCTCATCATCATCGTCATCGTCGTCCATCACGGGGTTGCGAGGACGCTTAGTGCCACGGCCCTCAGCCGCCGCGCCGTTGCCGATGGACTGTGACTCGTCCAGCTCATTCGGCGTGGACTGGTCGTGCTGCTCAGCGATGTCGGCCATTATGTCAGATTGCTGTCTCTTCCCAGACGGTCGTAATAAAGGTTTCGACGGAAGGTGCGCGTTGTGGGCACGAAGGCACGGACGTGGTCGCGCTCTCGAAATAGGGAAAAAGGAGCGAGAGAGATCGTGCAAGAGACTAAGCCCTTACGGTATCACGAAATGGGAAGGAAGGTGAGCAGAAGGTAGCAGATGCAACGAAAAGTGCGAAGCTGGGCAGTGGAGTGATGCTGTTTTGAGCGTTGTGCCGACGGGCCTATACTGGATATGGGTTTGCGTGGAGAGGTTTTGGCTGTTAGGTTGTCTGTGTCGCAAAAAAATGGTTGGGTGCTGGCCAGCCTGAATCGAGACTGGTACAGTTCAGCCTTTTGGGATTGCACGCGCAGAATGCGTTCTGGTGCTGCTTTTCTTGACAGGAGGACTCAGATATACTGTCCTTTATGGCAAGGTCCTTTTTGATCGGTTGCTTTTTCGTCTGACCGTACTGATTTTTTTTTTTTTAAAAATAAGAAAAAGGCACAAGAAGCCGTTAGGACAGGGCGGGTAGTAGAAAAGAGCAAGAAGGGTTAAGTTGAAAGTTATTTGGGGGAAAGCGGGTTTCTTTTTCAAGAAAAAAGAGAGAGGAGGGAGGTTTTGTGGCACGCGCAAGGGGGGTGGGAGAAGAAAGGGAAATGATGTGCCCTTGTCTCGCTGAAGAGCGTTAATGAAAACGGGCAAAGAGCAGTAGCCAGGAAAGTGGTCACAGGGGCAGGAAGGAACAATACAGAGACTGATAGGTATCGACGGCGGCGTCGGTTTGGGGGTGGGTTTTAGAGCCGGCCGGTGGAGGTTGGTGGCGGCTGGGAATTCCGCAACAGCAGAGGTTGAGCGGGTAAGCACGCTAACGAGCAAGACAGAGCCAACGGCCCAAACAGGGAAACTACGGTCCAGCTACAAGGACGGGGAGACGTGAAAGGCAGTACGATAAGGCAAGCAGCAACAGCCGAATGTCCAATTAGTATATTGAATTTCATTTCAAGCGGAAGCTACCCGGGAGCTGCTCCTGCCGTTGGAGGAGATGACAACTTCAGCTGCTATGTGCGAGCGCGTACTGGTAGAGGGGTATTAAGCTTTTGCGAACACGGCCCAGCAGGCAGCAGAAGGGGTGGGTGAATTGAAAGGGGAGTGTGCAATGATGTATAGCAGGGGTAATGCAATTCGTTGGATAAACACTTCGTAGTGTGGGACAGACGAAAGACACCCTGCAGACGGGGGGAGGAAGCAGCAGCGGAGAGACACCGGTACGGCACAAGCAAGATACGCAGTAGGTGTACATACATCGTAGCATCGAAAAGCTTACCGTGCGACGAGGGGAAGGAACGGTGGTGAGGATGAAAAGAGGCAGTGAGGGAGGGAAAGAGCGTGGGGAGGGAAGCGAGTAGGCACGAGTGGTTGGATTGACGTTGCCGAAGTAGGGAAGGTGGTAGGCCGGGGTGTCGACCGGGATATGTGACAAGGGGAGGAGCAAAGAGGGTCGCGCACGAGTTAATAGCGTGCTTTAAAGGAGGGGGCCACGGCGTGCTAGGATCTCTTAGGGCCTGCTGGCCTGTTAGCACGAGTATGAAGCACGATACTATGTATGATTTTCCGCACACAAAGGCTGTGTCAAGGCCGAGCGTAAGTGTGCGGACGAACGGGGGACCAAATCCCGGGTACACACCCGAAGGCAAGGCGCAAAAGAAAATGAAAAGTCAGAATTGATAAAAATACTACTATGTAGAGAATAGAGGCGTGCTCGGCCATCGACAAAAGGGTGTGAGCAGTGTCCAGGGATGAGTGTTGCTAGAGGGCAGAGGTCGACGCTGATTGGACACTGTCCGTCAACGTGCCCGCGACCCGCCCACCGATGCGGTTTTTGTACTATGTACGAGGTAAGAAAGATACATACGGAGGGAGTGGTAAGAAGGACGACACTTGGCCGTGGTAATGGCGCGCTATTGTGGACTGCGACTGTCAGTTGAAGGCCACCGTCGCTCTCGTCCATTATCCTTTTGGCTTTCCCTGTACACGCGTATCCTTCTCCCCACCCACCACCTCTTCTAGGCAGCGTTGTAGCCCGGCGTGTCTCGACCAACTGATGGGGCTGCAGGCACTGTCTCTGTCGACCAATGCAGTACTCTGTACTAATGCATGGCAAGGTACGGAGTACGCAGTATGTACATACATAGTACTAGCATGATGTCTATCCTATTTATCAGCCAGGTACTTCTACATGCACAGCCGCCGCTTTGTTGTTTTTGCTTCCCGTTTTATTACCATGCACTCGTATCTTTTTCAGCTTTTGCCCCATACGAGCATCGCAACTTGCCACGGTGATATGCAAATAGCGGGTCCCTTGAGTGTGTAAGATACGACGTACTCGTAAGGCAGAAAGCATCCCGTTGCAACCTATATTACACCATTCCTTTTCAGTAATTGGCAGAGTGCTTGAAATAACCCCCCCCTCCCCCCCCCCAATGGTGCTTATGCGGAGTATCAACAGTTAATACTAAATGGGTGGGAACGAAGATTCCCGGAGAGCGAGAACAAGCAAGAGTACCCGTAACTTTGCTCCGTGAAGGGCACAAAAATGAGCGAAAGGGGCTAGCCGGCTAGTGTTGTAAAGACCTCAATAGACTGGCCAGGTAGCGCGCCGAGCGAAAAAGGGATAATAACACAGTGCCCCACAGGAGCACCACAAGCAAATGACAGCAAAATAATTTGGAGCCGAAATGTGGGTCTTAATGGGGTGGACATGGTCAGGAGGTGCCCAGTGCGAAGGCCAGCATGGCCTTGTCCAGCGTAAGAGTGTGACTGCCGATTTCCATCCGAATTACGACAACAAGGCCTCCAGTCTCGAGCCTCTGAGATCGGCCGCCCCTCAGGTTTCAGCTTGTTTTTGGTTAGAAGGAATACGGAGTAGCAGCACCGGGAGGAACGGATTGCCAAAACCACTTCCCGATTCCCGCGGATACGATTCGCAGGAAGCTCCGATGCATGCCAATGGGTCACTGAACTCGTGGTCGCTTGTAATTATACTTTTCCATATCTTACTATGTAGTCCGTACGGTACTCATGCCCCGTGCTCATGGCTACGGAGTAGTAGCGGAACGCGAGGCGGTAGAAAAAAAATAGAAAAAAAAGGTAGGGGGGATAGAAAAAAGGTACAGCTATCAAGCGCGTAAGCCTTCCGGCAGGTTGCCGTAAGGACATGCAATTTCAATGATTGCTGCCGCCGCTGAAGACGGCCTGGGATACGGTCAAAGTACAGATACGGAGTAAGAATGCAGAAGATGAAAACAGAGGGACCACTACTGCCATGCAGCCCGCAGGGAACAAAAGCGGCCGGGCGGCCGGGACACGGACGAGTACATTCGCGAGAAAGTGGACGAGTATGGTAGACAGTATGTGTAATCTCGGCACTGTTTACACACTGTGAAATCTCACACACAGCAGCATGGGTAGGGGAGACCCCAGATGCCATCGGAACCGCAGGATTCTGGGGCAGCTGGCAGAGGGAAAGCGCATATGTCGTGGGATAGCCGTGATTGCATGCTGGCGTCGGCGGTGAAAATAAGCAAAACTAGCATGTACTATTTCGGAAGTGCGAGTACGAGTCTTACGACCCGGTGGGAGAATGAAATGGCTAGTCGCGGCGAAGACAAGCCAGTCGAATCGAAGTACGAACTGAGGACCCGTACGAACTCGCCCTCGTATAGGATAACGTACCGAGAGCCCGAGCTGGTATCTTACTTGTCCTTTCGAGCTTCTGTACGTGCGCTTGCGGGTCTTTCCCAGAAGGTGCAGCTCTTCCTGTGCAGAGTATTCTCTTACATGCAAGCGGTCCAGAGCAATCTTGGCGGAGCTTAGAAAACCGGGGCGCCGTCTCTCAGTTGGCAGGAAATGCGAGAGATGATCTCGAAGCAAGCTCGATACCTACTCCGGATAGGCGCTGGCAGACGCTCAGCAGCGAAGCCGCTTCTAGTATAGGCCAGCCCCTGGCTCCAGGCGTTGCCGTGCTGTCTCAATAAGGGAGACTAAACGGGAACACAGGCTGCCACTGCCTCCAAGTGAGTGCTCGTGTACAAGGCTCGCACAGTACTTTGACTCTTTCCAGATACCATGGTGGCGGCAACTTCCAGCCTCCCGGATCGATGTGTGTGAGCGCCATGCAGAAATGGGAAATTACCTGTCCTCGACGGGCCCCACGCTTGTCAACGAGTGTGAGTGGATCGACCAGTGTCAAGCTCGTTGGCCAACGTGCGGAGTCAATCGATGAGGCCTTCATGCAAGCGAAAAGGAATAACAGTGAGAGACTCCGTAGCATGGCGCACGGAATGACACTGTGGCCCGAGAAATGGGTGATGAACCGGAACGAGCTTGCAGCGTGCAGGATAGCAAAACGGGGGTGCGACGAGGACGATGAGGGGCATGGGAGGAGCAGAGACAATGGAGGGTCGCTATGGCGTGTGATTCGAAGGAGCCCAGGCAGAGGAGGCCCTTTCATGGCCGTGGCGATTTTCTGAGATTTTGCGCGGGTGCATTTAACTGGATGCGACGCTGGGAAATGGGGGGGCGATGGCCTGCACGAGGACGGAGCATTCTTAGGGGCAAAAGCAATCATTGGTGCTTTGTAAGGCGGAGCTCGGACAACCCTGGGCCTGGTATTCGATGCTCGGCCTTCTGGTTGGTGGCTCCCGTGCAGCTTCCTGCCCTGTCTCGACGAGAGCAATGGCGTGTCTGACAATGCGACCATGCGACAGTGTGCAATGTCGAGTGGCAGGCGGAGACCAAGACACACGAGAGGCTTGCGGGCGACAGGCGAAGAGCCTGGAGCCCTGGAGTCCTGGAGCCCTGGAGCCTAAAAAGGGAAAATATTTCACTCACGCTGTGCCGGTGCGATATGGCGTAGCTCCCTTCCAACGACCGTTATCAACCCTTTCCCCCTCTCCTCCCCAATCTCCTAAGCCTCCTTCAGCAAAGCCCCAACGCGACCCCCCCCTTTTTACCGGGGCGTCAGGGCTGGCAGGAGACCCTGTCCGTTTGCCGAATGCCCCTTCACTCGATGAAGAAAGGTGGAAAGCGGGTAGAGACGCTTATGGCCTAGCCTCGAATAGGAATGGCGCTCACGCCCGCGTCTACTCGAACTCGTATGGAGCACGATCCGGGTGCTAGAGACAAGAGATAACAAATTGCGCTTTGGCGTGAAAAAAATGAGGAAACCAAAAAGAACAGGAAAAACGGGGGAGGAGGGGGAGAGGGCAGGGCCGCGAACAGCCGAGGACGGCGTGCGAGCGTGCGAGAGCGTCTCACCACTACTGTAAGATACAACAACCGGCTTGTAACATACCTGTAACTCTCTTGGTCGGCGAGCCTAAACAGAGGCGACCAAAGAGCGGCTGGAGTGGAGTTAAGGAGGTTGGGCTGGGGAGGAATTACGAAGTAGTCTGCAAATATATGCAGCTCTTTCTAGCAATACTGTGTGCAGCACTCTTCAGATTGCACATTACGAGTACATCGTATGAGCCTAGCAAAGCAAGTCTGTCTGTTTCCTGCAAGTCCGTGACCACGCACAGTGGGGCATGCTATGTATGCGTGCGGCAGGAGCAAAAGCTGGACAGGCTGGCAATGGGAAAAAAAGAAATATGACAATCTTTTTGAGATATCGGGAAAGAGCATACTGGCTAGAATAGGAAGCAACCACCCCTTTTCCTCCCTGGCAAAACAAAGAAAAAAGCACACATCCGAAGCACACACCGAAGAAAGGGCACTGTGGCATTGACGTTGTCTTTCCACGTGCCGAGATCTCCTGTCCAGGTTGGCCTGGTCAGCACTCCTCCAACGCACTCCTTACTGGTGCAGGCCCCTTCTTTGTTGCCTTCCAAAACACATGTGCATATGGCAGCCTGCAAGATGTTTCAGGCCAGCGGCAGAATGCCGAGGCGATGCGGTAGTCGGGACACACGAATGAATTGCGCGTGACCAGAAGCAGAAGCGAGATCGGTTGTGCCGGCAGAGCAGTTGTGATACTTGAATTGAAGGCATTTGCGCGCGCCTGTGTGGACTCTCAGACTTCACCACTTGTTTCGATCATCTGCTTCTTCTTCACGGACTCTGATTTGTGCTCGTCGATAGGATCAGCCACCGGGTGCTCAGCCAGCACGTCGCCGTGCTTGCGGTATGCGTCTTCCATGTCCCAGCTAAACGGACTGCTGGTCGAGAAGAGGGCGTCGATGGACTCAAGTGAGCGGTCGGTCGTTTCGGGATAGACTTTGTTGGCTGGTCAGCAAACAGCTTGCTCGACAGCTGCTCAGTAGACGACTTACAGAAATAGACAATCGGGATCCAGAGAAGGTTGAGCCCGGCGAAGAGAAAGTACGTCCTGTTCTCGAGCTTTGCAAACATGATGGGGTTTACGAGCACGGTCCAGCCAACGCCAATGGCCCAGCCTGTGATGCCAAAGCCATTGCCCTGGGCACGCATATCGGAGGACCAGATTTCGGTGGGGATCAAGAAGGCCACGGTGCCCCAGGTAGCCGCATAGCAGATGTTGAACAAGAAAAGCATGGCCACGGCGGCAGGAGCAAATTGCGACGCCTTGGCGGGATTGTGTCGAGAGGCTTCGTAAACGCTCGCAGCGACGAGGTTGACCACGAACAGGCCAAAGGCGCCGTACATCAGACAAGGCCGGCGGCCCAGGCGATCGACGATCTGGGCACTGATGATGGTGCCGACAATGCCGATCGTGTTCAGGCCGCCGGCGAGGCCGTTCTGGGTCAGGGTGTCGTAGCCGGCAGCGGACAGCAGCACAGGTGAGTAGGCAGTCACGGCCGTGATGCCGGTCCACGAGGCCATGATCTGCAGGATGATGCACAGCCAGGCACGTCGGCCGAGATGGTGATTGGGCTTGCCACCGCGGCCAGCGAGGATCTTGGCGAACTGGATGGGCGAGCTCTTCTGGCTCTGCTGGGCGACGGCGACAATCTCGAGGAACTCGTGATGCACTTGATCGTCATAGCTGCCGCGAATGTGCTGCAGCACCTCGCGGGCATCATCGAGGCGACCGACCGAAGCCAGGTAGCGCGGGCTGTCGGGCAGCATTTTGACGCCGACCAGCAGAAGAAGGGCGGGAAAGCATTGGAAGGCCAGCAGGAAGCGCCAGCGGACATACGAATAGCCGCCGTCGACAAAGGCCAGGCCGAAGGAGAGCCAGTAGGCGATGGAGATGCCAAGGTAGTTCGCAATGAAGACGTAGCCAAGGTAGCCGCCACGGTGTTTGGCCGTGGATGTCTCGGAGATAAGCACGGGGGTGATGCCGGTCAGAGCGCCGGTGCCGATGCCCGTGATGACACGAGCCACGAGGATGAAGTTGCTGGACTGTGCAGCGGCCTGCAGGGCACCTCCGACGAGAGAAAAGAAGGCAGCAATAAAGAGGCTGGCGGTCAGTAAGACGCAAAGTAGTTGGATAGAAAAAGAGACGGTATACCCATTGATGCGACCGATGCGATCGGCAGCCCAACCACCAGCAAAACATCCAAAAATGCAGCCGAGGTAGTAGACAGAAACGATGCCACCCTCGTGAACGGTATTCGTGATGGTGCCGTCGGGCAAGCCAATGCCGACAGTGGTGACATAGGTCGGGGCAGAGTTGACGCCGCCCATGACGCCTTGGTCATAGCCCTCGAAGAAGATGCTGATGAGGGAGAAGACCTGGATGGCAATGTTGAGCTGGCGCGCCGAGAACCGCTTCCAGGCGGTGGTGAAGCCCATGACGGCGATGCGATGGCGATAGTGCGGTGAGAAAGCAAGGCCAGGAACCGTTTGCCCATAGGCCGTCTTCGTTGAGCAACAGCGAGGCTGTGACCTGTGGATCGTAATCGTGGTACCGCAAGTGGCCCAGGTGGGGTGCGACGGTGGATGAAGGCGGCAAAGACATGCTCCAGCCCTGTGTCCCCGCAAAAGGAGCAGACAAGAGCATCGTCGTGTATGGAGACCAATCTTCCGAAAGGGGATCCCTTCCGAAAGGACCATACAAGATACATAGGCTATGACGTGTGGCCATGGCCTTGGAGCCTAGCTTTCGGCCACTAATACACTGCTCCGGAAGGTGTGAAAGGACCCGCGTCGCCGTTGCGACCATGTAGCCGCTTAGCCGGGGAGCGTTTTTCTCCTGCTGATATAGTGCGGTGCGGTATCTCTGTGGTGGTTGTCTCTTGTGATGCCACGAGATCACGGGCAGGCCGGCTAGAAGCCGGAGGAAGCGGAAGGCGGGATGGGGGTTACTGTTGTTTCCCCCAAGAAGGTGCGACGGGACGCTTTCTCTCGCTCTTTCCTTCGTTGCACCCGTCGCTTTACTCTCCCCATTTGGCGATACAGCCGACACCAAACTAGCAGCCAACAAAGAAAGCCAACAATCGCAATAAAAAAAACGAGTTGTGACGGGGATTACACAGACACGAATAGTCCTCTCCTAAGCAGCCCCTTCCGACAGAGTGAGCAGTCGCAAACACCAGCATGGCGCCGATAGAGCTCACGGTGTTGGGCATGAACAGCGGCACATCCATGGTGAGATCGCCGGTGAAAGCATCGCAACAACTGGGCTAACGATCTCCTTGCAGGACGCGATCGATTGTGCGCTATGCCTGTTCCGGCAGGAGACACCACACTCGCCGATGCACTTCTCGCTGCTGAAGCACGACGAGGTGGCGATGGACGGCGAGCTGAAGAAGCGGGTGCTGGGGATCATCAAGCACGACCGGACGTCGGCATCGGAGCTGTCGGAGCTCAACGTGCGGCTGGGTGAAGCGTTTGCGGCGGCGGCGGCGACGTTCTGCCGCGAGCAGGGCATCAAGCTCGAGGCGCTGGACGCGATCGGGTCGCACGGGCAGACGATCTGGCTGGACAGCATGCCGGCGGCGGGAATTCCACGATCGGCCCTGACGATGGCCGAAGGCAGCATCCTAGCAGCACGAACGGGAGTGACGACGGTGACAGACTTCCGGGTGAGCGACCAGGCAGCAGGACGACAGGGAGCGCCGCTGATAGCCTTTTTCGACGCATTGCTACTGCACCACCCAGACAAGATGCGGGCGTGCCAGAACATTGGCGGCATTGCCAACGTGTGCTTCATCCCGCCCGAGGGACCGGACAGGGCGTACGACTTTGACACGGGCCCGGGCAACGCGCTGATTGACGCAGTGGTGCGCCACTACACGGACGGGGCACAGGACTTTGACCGCGACGGCGAGATGGGGCGCCGCGGCACGGTGCACCAGGACATGGTCGACCGATTTGTCGGCAAGGTGCCGTACTTTGCGTTGGATCCGCCCAAGACGACAGGTCGCGAGGTGTTCCGCGACACGATGGCCGACGAGCTGGTGCGCGAGGGCGCGGCGCGGGGGCTCTCGGCCGACGACGTCGTCGCCACGGTGACGCGCATCACGGCATGGGCGATTGTTGACCACTGGCGACGGTATGGACCGGAAGCCTCAGGCGGCCGCCCCGTCGACGAGGTTTTTCTGTGCGGCGGCGGCGCGCTCAACTCCAACATCATCGATTACATGCGCGAGCAGATGCCGGATGTGCGCGTGTTCATGCTGGACGCAGCCGGGATCCCGGGCGGGGCCAAGGAGGCGGTGACGTTTGCGTGGCAGGGCATGGAGGCCATCGTGGGCCGCAGCATACCGGTGCCCGACCGCGTGGAGACGCGGGAGCCCTACATTCTCGGAAAGATCAGCCCGGGTAGGAATTATCGGCGGGTGATGAGCAAGGGGATGGCGTTTGGGAGCGGCCTAGACAGCCTGGAGCCAGTCAAGTCGATGGTCAACTATGTGGACGGCAAGGTGTTTGACAACAAGTGGAAGTAGAGAGGAGATATAATTGGACAGAGGGACGAGAATGGATAGATAGGCGAGGTTGAATAGAGCGGCAAGATTGGTTAGAGGATAGCATTTATGGACCAGATACGAAGGTCTCTTATATGGAGTAGAAACGAGATCAAAGAAACGACTTGCGGTTGTAAAGCGACCAGGTTACAATGCAATTTGGGGCCCACAAAAAGCACAACGCTCAGAAGGAAAGGTAGCTGTTGGACGCAGCAAAGGGCCAGGTCCAGTCCTGGAGAATCTCGTCCGGCAACTGGAACTGCTGGTTGAGGTCTGGGGGGAGAGAGGGAGCGGCGGCAGACGGAACCCAGGAGCCGGCGTTGTTCTGGTGGTAGACAGCAGTCGGGCTGTTGACGGGGATGGAGACGACAGCGGTCGGGCCGCTAGCCGGACCGGGGGACGTGTTGACGACCATGGGGACAGACATGAGCGGAGCGAGCGTCTGGACGGGTGGCGGCGTGGGCAGCAGGTCCTGTTGGCGGTGGTCGAGAGCAACCGAAGATATGGACAGTCGTCTGGGACGTCGGCCGTTTCCAGGACCGTTTCCAGGACCGTTTTCGGTAGACAGTGACGGCGGTAGTCGTTGGCTGGCGACGTAGGCCTCAAGGCGGGCGACGAGGTTGCGCAATCGCTGGCCGGCGCCGGCGCTGCGGTGCAGAAAGGCCTCAAGACTTTCGAGCAGGCCGGCCATGGAGAGGAGCAGCTCGCGGATGAGGCAGCAGGAGGCCTCGGACAAGAGGCCTTCCATGACGGAGCCGAGGATAGCGCCGATGCCGCCGATGTGGTAGATGAATGGGGTGCTGATAGCGCGAAGATACGAGGTAGGCACGCGATGAAAGATTTGTAGGACGTCGTGCACGACGGCGCAGCGCTGCTCGAGGCTGGCGGCGTCGGCGTCGAGCGAGAGGTGGACCATCTGCAGGAGGCCGAGGGTGGCCTGGATGTTGGCGGCCTGGAAGCCGTACACGTCGCGGGCTGGCTCGCCCGTCGCGGGCTGCAGCTGCTTGAACACGGCCGGCAGGGTCGCGTACATGGCCGCGACCCGGTCCTGGCTCGAGGAAGCCCGAAAGGGGCGTCTCTTGGGGGAGGTGGAAGTGGACATGGACGTGGACGTGGCGGCGGTATCACCAGTCACGTGATCTGTGTCACCATCGACCGCGAGGGCGAACCGGGACGACCGTGACCGCAGCCGGCTCAGGTTGTGCTCCAGCACGCGGTACAGATCGGTGGTAAAGTTCCAGCCGACCATCCAGCTGGGCGCAGGGGCAGACGCGCTGGCGGGCAGCGGCGGCGAGGCGGGCGAGAGGCCAGACCAGGGCGGCAGTTCGGACTGGCCGGTCGGATAGGCGACGCGCGCGTGGCTCTCCTGGAAGTGGATGCAGCCGTCCCAGATGATGGAGGAGTAGACGTCGAGCGTGTAGATGGACCAGTACAGCCGGCGGCGCTCCTCGATCTCGGCGGCGTGCAGGCGGGCCGGCCAGTTGGCCTCGTCGTGCCACTGGTTGACGGCCATGAGGGTGAAGTAGAGCCCAATGTACTTGTGCATGGACGCGATCTTGGCGTCCTGGATGCTGGCAATGGCCAGCAGCGCACAGCCGCGCAGGTAGTCAAAGTCCTGGCACTGCAGCATGTCGTGCGGCAGCGCCTCTTCGGCCGCCGCCAGAAACACGGCGGCCGGCAGGTCGACCGCGCTGGTGGTCGTGCAGCCCGACCGGCTGCTGCCAGGCGTGCCGGCCGTGCTTGTCGAAGCAGGAGCGGCAGAGCTTCCATCCGTCGAGAGGGCACCGTCGCGGGCGCGAGCCGACGCCAGCGCGCAGGCTGCCATGACCGAACAGAAAAAGGCGCGACTGCGTACATGCTCGAGCATCTCGAGCCGTCGTTCGACTCGGACGGGATCGAAAAACGGGAAGCTATCGAGTCAGGGATGGATGACAAGAGAAGAAAGAAGAAGAAAGAGAAGAGAGGAAAAGAAAGAAAAGAAAAAGAAAAAAGAAAAAAAGAAAAAAAGAAAAAAAAGAAAAAGAAAAAAAAGAAAAAGAAAAAAGAAAAAGAAAAAAAAAGACCCAGGCAACGCACATCGGATACACTGTCTCGTGGTAGATGGCAAACAGCCGCTTCAAGGCCGGCGTCACCGTGTGGGCAAAGGCCTGCCAAGTCGGGCTGAGTGGCTCCGTGGGCACGGCGCAGTCGCCCTCGTCGGTGCTGCTGCCGGTGTTGCCGTCACCGTGGGCCGACACATGCGAGCTGCGCGTCGGCATGTCGTCACCGGACATTGTGCGCTGGTGATGGCTATGGCCGTACAACTGTCCGTCCGGCCGGCTTGGGAACACGCCCACGTCGGAATGTCCCGGCGGCGGAGGCGAGCCCCGGCCCCGTCGAGACGGCCGTGCATACGTGCAGGGAATGTCAAACTCGGCACAGTTCTGGCATCGATTGCCGCCAGCCGGGTTTTCCTGGCACTTGATGCGCCGCTTGTGGCAAAAGTCGCCTGCTTGCGTATCAGACACCACAGTCGATCCACGACAGACAGGAACAGAACAAACAGGACAAACGAAACACATAAGAGCAAAGGGCACACGTTCTTACAGGCTTTGGAGACGCGCAGGAGGCGCCGTGGCCGCTGCGCGGACATCTAGACCGATCGGCGAAGAAATCCAGCCGCTCGGGGCTCGGGGCGCGGGAGCGGTGCGAGAGAAGCACGGCTCTGGGACGGCGACATGCACGAAACGCTGCTGCTGCCAGGCTCAATGGAAAACGGACGGGAGCAGACGAGGCCAGCGAAGAAGGCTGCGGGCACAAGAACATCAGTCATCCTACGCTGACAGTCACGTGCAACGTGCCGCCAGATGCTGGATCCGGTACTTTATCTTTTTTATTACTACGATGTAGGAGCTGAGACATTTCATTTTCACGTGACATGCACGATGGGCGGATCGGCAGCCAAACCAAGAGGATGCAGGAAAGGACGCAAGTGAGGGGGAGGGGCGGCAGAGAAGAAAGAAGCCAAGATACTATGCACAGCAGAGCTGAGGATCAAGGCCTTTGGGCGCGACGGCGTCCCGCGACCAACGCCAGATCGCCGGCGGGTGGGAGCATGTCCCCACTTTTCTGTCCTGGCGGTACGAGAAAAGGGATGTATCTGCGATTGGTCCCAGCTGCGATGGAAGAATGACGATCGGCCTACAGAGGTCGCTACCAAAAGTCCTTTCTGACCGCCTTAGACCCACAAATCCAAACAATGCCGGCATAATTATTTGTTTACTTTTCCGTGCCGCTGCTGCCGTCGCGCCTTTTGTTTTTTCTTTACATCTAATTCATTATGCCTTCATACGATATTGCTACCCGGGCGCAGGCCCTTAGCTTAAAGCTATTCGGTGCTACGAATATTCAAATCGAAGCCTCTACTGGTATTTCTGCACGGCAGGTACATCTACTTCTTGATAAAGCTATTAGCCGTGGCTTTAATATTAATGCACGCCTGCCGGTTATACTCGATATCTATGTTGCAGACGGTAACCAAACCGGCCGCCTTTAAAAGCAAGAACTAGTTAAAGAAGAGGTTCTTACAAAGGTTTGCACCAACCGCTACGGACAAGAATAAACAACTGCTTATTTAGTGTAACGCCGCCCTAGGAAGGGGACTAACGCAGGCTACGCGCAAGCTATACGCAGTATGCGCACAGCGTATTAGATGCACATCGTAAACTAGAAGCGGTGCTTGTGGCGTAGGCTGCGTGGCGCAGTCTGCGCATAGGCTATAGCACGTGCTAGCGCACGGGCTAAGTAGAAACAGGGTTGCGCCTATCCTACACACTTAGTGCGCTAAAGGTGCGCCTACAATAAAGAGCGTGTAAGGGGCTAGTGTGCAATGCGTAGTTATAAAGGCTTAACTAGTTTGTACTATTATATTAAGACTTTAACTTAACAAACTATAAAGGACTAGTAGGCAAAGGCCTGCTAGTTAATTTATACGTAGCTAGAAGATGCGGTATAGCGCAACCCTAGTAGAGCGTAGCATAGCTTAGTAGCTATGCTAGTCCTATGCAACATGTTAAGATAGTTCGTTAAGTCTGACGCTTAGTAAGCGACTAGTTGCCGAACCGGTACGTAGGGTCACGTGTATAGAATACCCTTACAGAGTATAACGCCGCCCTAAGAAGAGGACCAACGCAGGCTACGCGCAAGCCGTACGCAGTATACGCACAGCGTATTAGATGCACATCGTGAACTAGAAGCGGTGCTGGTGGCGTAGGCTGCGTGGCGCAGTCTGCGCATAGGCCATAGCACGTGCTAGCGCACGGGCTAAGTAGAAACGAGGTTGCGCCTGTTCTACGCACTTGGTGCGCTAGAGGTGCGCCTATAATAAAGAGTGCCTCTTGCACTCTCTTAGAGTGCAGAAGGCAAGAATTAGCTATTAAATATACAGCTGCTTCCTTCTATTAAGAAGATACCTCCTTGCTTGCTTAACTTACTTGGCTTACCTAAGTATACCTTTAACAATTCCTAATTCTTCTACTATTAGGCTACCTAAGTTAGGAGGCAGAAGGAGCAATGGCACTTTGAAAGACTACGAAGCAAACGTTGCACGCACGTAGTGCGTAGGAAGAGAGCAGCTTTAAGGCAATAGTCAAGAACCTCCTTAACCTTATCGTCAAAGAAGTAAAGAATAAAGACTTTAATCTCTTAGAGAAAGATTACAAGCAACTAGATAACGACGATGCGGGTAAAGGCCCCTTAGGGCAGACCATTAAGCCTACTATAGACTAGATAGTAGCGAACCTTATTGCTAAAAATAATCGACTACGTAAAGCGGAGCGCTTAAAGCAGTAAATAGTAAACCTATAGCAACAGCTCTTAGATATAAGAGCAACCTAAGCGAAGGGTAAGCGTACCTATAGCAAGGACTTTAATAAAGATAGCTCTTGTAGTTAAGATATTATCTTAAAAAGCGGCATTAAACCGCCCTTTAAGACACTTAGTAGCTTCTAAGAGCGCGCTACCTAGCTATAGGCTAGGAAGTAATACTTCTATCTAGCCCTTAATAAGTTTAGAAGCGCTAGTTACTAGATTAATTATATGCTTAAATATATAGAGTAGTTATGCCGCACTATATAGGAAACGCGCCTATAGAGCATAATAGACGCAGTAGTAGCAAAGGCTTAGAGCAACTAGGATGCATTTAAGGCCTAAACCTTAACCCTTATAGCTAATCCTTATAATATAGCTTTTATTATTACTAATAGAATTAGCAAAGCTTACTAAAGATTAGGGTAAACCCTTTAAGACTTTAATAACTACCTTGCCTCCCTTAAAAACTAACTACTTATTAAATTAAAAGAGGAATAAGCGTAGTTGCTATTCTTTAAGCTACTCCTAGAATTAAAAGAAGATCTTTTAAAATTAAATAAGATACTATAGACTAGAGCAGAACTAGTAGCTAGAGCGATAACGTTTTAAAGCTTAAAGAAGCTAGAGGCTTAGTTAAAACAAGACAATAATAGTACGCACAGCAAAAGGGCGTAAGAGAATTAAAGAGGCTATAAGGGCAGCTATAAAAATAACACTAATTAAGAAAACAATCGTAGCAACTACTATAGTAGTGCTAAAGGTAAAGGCTAAGGCAAAGAGAGAGGCAGACTAGCTACTATAGCTACCAAAGGCTACTAAAAGAACCCTACCTATACAAATAGTAAGCGTATAAAATGCTTTATTTATAAAAGTAAAGGCTACTTTGCCTAAAACTGCTTAAAGAGGTAAGAGACTACATTAGTAAATTTAGTTTAACTAACTAAAAAGAATACTAAGAAGGTAAAAAACTAAAAACGCCTAGGATAAACTAAGACCCCTAGGCATTACTAGAGACGATTAAGATTAGTAATCCTTTTTTTATTTAAACTTCTTTTCTTAGACTAACAACTATAGAAGTATCTACTACGTAGGATACTTGCGCAAGTTTTAATACTATTAACTATAAATTTGCAAGACTATAAAGACTAAAATCTATAAAGATGTTAGTACTAACCCTTAAAGCGTATAATAAAAGCATTATAAGCGTAGTAAGAGCGTAGAAGGTGCCCTTATATATAAAGGACTCTTATAGGTACACCTATAAGATTATATAGGTTTATGCAAGAGTTACTAAACCTGCTAGGTATTAAGGTCTAATAATATTACTATTAATAATAACTCTTTAGAGTAAGAAAGTTTACCTAGAGCTAGCAGACCGCCGCTAGTAGTTCGAAGCACGCACGAAGACTATACAACTTGTACTATAAGAAATCTTCCTTACTATAGCGCGTAGAGAGCGTGTATAGGTATACATAATCTTGCCGGGCAACCTAGAAGTAAAAGGTTATTTAAAAGGCATAGGCGCACTACCTGCGCATTTAGCGTGTAAGTATAGCAACATGCTAAATTTATCTAACGCTAAGGTCTTACTGCTATATAAGGCTACCAACTATGCAATTAATCTTTTACCTAGTAGTTAACTACTATATAAGATAATATATCCTTTGTTGTAAAGAGAATTAAAAGAGCTACGCTAGTACTTAGACGATAACCTAGCGATAGAACAAATTTGCCTATTAAAAAGCTCTATAGGCGCACCTATCCTTTTTATGCCTAAGAAGGACAAAAGCTTATGCTTATGCGTTAACTATAGAGGGTTAAATAAGGTTATAGTAAAGAACTAATACCCGCTACCCTTAATCTCTAAGATTATAAACTGCGTAGTAGGAATAAAGGTAATGTCGAAAATTAATATTAAGGAGGCGTATTACCGCCTAAGAATTAAAGAAAAAGACGAATAGAAGATAGCTTTTTAGACTAGATATAGTCTCTTTAAATACCTAGTCTTACCTTTTAAGCTAACCAACGCCCTAGCAACCTTCTAGTACTATATTAGCTAAGCGCTGTATAGTCTAGTAGATACAATCTATATTATCTACTTAAATAATATCCTTATGTTCTTGCATAACAAAGAGGAGCATACAAAGCACCTAGACTAAGTTTTTAAGCGTCTTTAGCAAGCCTAGTTATTTGTTAATAGCAATAAATGCTTGTTTTACTAATAAGAAGTTAAATTCCTAGGGTTTATTATTAAAAGCGAAGGGTTTGCAATAGACCCGCGCAGAGTACGCGCAATTATAGAATAGCTAACGCTATAAACATTTAGAGAGGTGTAAGTCTTCCTTAGATTCTATAACTTCTATTGTTACTTTATTAAAGCTTACTTAAACATCTTGTCTTCTTTGTTAAGGCTGCTATAAGGCAGCAAAAATGGCAAAAAGCTAGGACTGGTGCAGCTAGAGAGTAAGGAGCGCGTAGCCTTTGCAATGCTAAAGGAGGCATTTATAAAAGCACCTTTGCTACGCTATTTTAACCTAGAACGGGCAATACGCGTAAAGACTAATGCCTTAAAGGTAGCTATTAGCAGGATTATCTTTTAATAAGACAAAGAGGGAGCCTAGCACCTAATTACCTTCTAGTTAAGAAAACTATAAGGACTAGAGCTAAATTATAGCACTTTAGATTAAAAGCTACTAGTAATTATAGACTCCTTTAAGCAATAGCAACACTACCTTAATAGTAGCAAAAAGACGATTAAAGTCTTATTAGACTATAATAACTTAT